TCCCATAAATTGCGTTGGCATAAATCCGAGCCCTAGTTCCGAACCCAAATCCCAATCGAATCCTAATCGAATCCCAACCGAATCCCAACCGAAACGAACAAAACTAAATGCTAACCCCAACTGAACTCTAACTCGATACCAAACCCTAATTCGAATTCGAACGCTAAACCCAACCCAAACCCAGCCCTAAACCAAAGTCCTCACTCTCACCCTCACCCTAACCCACACTCAACACAACACTTACTATTCTTGACCATGCCAATGTACTCGTCCTCTGTGGGACATGTTCCTGTGTCCCTCCAGTGAATCTCCATGCCTTGGCCCCGATGCAGCTGCAAGAGCTCTTCCGTGAAAATCTGCACCGCACGCGGATCGTTGAGATTGGATAGTTTTTGGAGGGCGAGAAAGTAGACATAATTTGCGCAATTTATTGTCGAGGGAATGCCAAATATCTTGTGGGCGACTTGCCAGTGGATTAAAACAGAGTGAGGACAGAACAAACGCGTCCCTCTCTCATTACTACTCACCAGGAATCCCTCGTCTCAAATCCGAGTCATCCTCGACATCGTCAATCAATAAACTAGCGGTATGAAGCATTTCCACACATTCACGAATGAGTTGTAGTTTGTCTTGAGGAACGTGTAGCCAGAGTCCGAATGCGTCTACGAGTTTGGAGCGTATTTCCTTTCCTGGGTGTGTGCACAAGTAGTGATACGGTTCCAAGAGGATCTTTCAATTGGGAATGCGCATGTGAATGAGTGAATTGCGTATGTGAATCCACATGTGAATGTGCATATGTGTGCGCATGTACCTTGTCTGTTGATGTGCATGTCATGTTGTAATGTGTGAGATGGAGTGTGCGTGGGAATGTGGTGAGATGGAGTAAACGCTTTCGTAAACCACAAAGAATCACGTGAATCAATGGTCTGCATCTTAAAATTAGAAACATCTACATTTACACGTTTTGTCTTTCTTTGCCTTGCTCGCTGTCATGTCGTTCTCTCACCAATTGAATACAGAGGTGTTGGCTTCTGCTGAATTCCAGTCGTTACGGAATGGTTCTCCTCTTTTGTCTCTCCTTGATATTCTGAAACGCTCTGGGTTTGTTTCCGCTAGCAAGTGGAACCAAGATTACTTTGACGCCCTTCAAGTACACTTGGCATTAGACCAACCACCTGAAAGCGTGGTTCCCGACGCTTTTTTTCCAACCGATGAGGGTATGTCGTGTAGCCTGGTTTTGGGTTACAAGTCGCTCATCGGTTGGCATTTTCTCTTTAAGAACTTGACATGCACTCTGAGATGTTCATGTACTCCACCAATGATCTAAAGTCTGAGCATTTTGTTCTGAAGAATATCCGAGATTTGTCTCGGGGTTTCTACAGTCGCTTGCTCAACGTGATACAGGCGGGATCGACGGATTCTTTAAGCTCGGTTTGTTCGACCAGTCCTGTGTCAAGTGTCAGTAGCTCTCGTTCTGGCTCGTCCACGGCAACTGACAAAGCCGAGTGTGTTTCAGAAGACATGCTCAGGGAGCTTTTGCGGTACTGGGTCGATGATGGGAAAGTTTTCTCTATTGGAGGACGCCAACTGTTTTTGAGTGTTCGGTATGCGCGAACATGTGGTGATGGCAACCATGGGCTTTCTAACGCTTTCCGAACAGAACGGAGCCCATTAAACATGGCGTGCAGTTTTGCAGACGCCGTATATCTGTCGTAACTGACGGATACTTGTCCGTTTCTGACAGAGGTGACAAGGCCAAGACGCTCTCGTCTGCCGTTTGCGCCTTTATAGAAGCCAAGAGGCACTGTCATAGGAAAACTGATCAGGCTATCCTGGCGCAAATCGCAGGAGAAGTCATATCGGTGGCCCAGTACAATCAATCTAGGCGCCCCCACGCTACGCCCGAAGTAAAGGACCAAGTATTATCTCCTTCCCCATATCTGACCAAGTTTCTAATTTCACCTTTTCACTGTTTTAGTCGTTTGGTTTCATGGTGCACCATCGGAAATGTTCCATAGTCTCTGGCGTATTCTCACCAAATTATCTGGCTAACTTGGAGAATGGCACTGGTCCAACGGTCGGGGATTACTTGATCCTCAAACGTACTGTAGAGTATGATATAGGTTAACCTGCAGAACGCAGACTATTTGCAAAGTGTGTTGTTGGACTATTAAGATATCTGAAAAGTGGACAGGCGTATGTAGGGTCATTACGAGAGTAACATAGAGTGTTTGACACTGTATTCACACTCTAATCACACTCCAATCACACTCCAATGAGCGGCTCATTGTGACTCGAATCTGAAACAATTGTTTCATAAAAACGGCAATGTTTCACCATATGATTATAGTAATCGAATATTGGGAAATATTCCCACCAAAAGTTCCCACGTATGAAGAACGTTTCAAAGAAGGGGAAATGGGGAGAGGAGGATGGGGGAACTCGGTTTTCTTCCTTGCTCCATTTCCCACGTCTTTTGATTTGGAGTTTGATTTCATTCTTGCAACATTGAACATTGGAGATTAGCATTCAGTGCATTCATTTGTCTTTGTTGTCTCGCCTACTCTCTCTTGCCGGTCATGAAGAGGGCACGCACAGGCTCTCTCGCTCCTATACTCTTGCTCATCGCTTGGTGTGGGCGTGTCGCTGCTCAAAACTGCTTTAAACTCGCTGGTTCTCAATCCTGTCCGGGTCTCCAAGACTTTTGTAAGAGCGGGAGAGAGATTATCGTCATTGAGAGAGACATTCAGCTCATTTATAATTTCCCTATAGTTGTTCAAAAGGTGCCCGATTTCCAGGACGTGAATTCTTTTGATGCCTATATAAAGACCCAGAGCGATGGGAATCCAGATTATGTGAATGGATTCAAGTCCCAGTTTGGGTGTCCCAACTGGGATGGACTCGGTCAGCGGTATCACATTTCCACTCTGTGCTTTTATGTAAGTTTGTGTGAGAGAGAGAGAGCGTTAGTTTGGGTTTAAGGTGCGGTTAGGATCAGGGTTTAGCGTTTGGTTGAGGTTTGGGATTGGGATGGAGAGATGACAAGCGTATCTAGTGGAGAGTGACATTGAGCTATGGCGAGAGAGGGCAACTGTCGCTGTGCGTGGGGAAAGAGTGGCGAGGGAATGAGAGGGAGAGATCGGCATCACATTTGCATTGATTGGAATCTAACGGTTTTTCTTTCTTCTTCTCGCTTCCTTTTTTGGTATCCCTCGATTTCCTCGCAAATCTCGCAAATCTCTTGACGTGCTCGCTCGAATCGCTGGGTTGTGCTCTTTTTTTTCCTGATATTCCCCTTGTCACAATTCTCGCATCCCACATCTCGCTTTGCTCGACATGTTTACTCTGTTTGCTCGTCCAATCTCGCATCGCCCATCTCGCTTTGCTCAATGTGCTCCTGCTCGGTACAGCTCGTGCAATTTGGGAGATGCCAAGAGAACCCACCGATTCAGCCATTGTGTAGAACGCAATGCAACCAATTCATCGCCTCGATGAACACAATCTTTCAAAACGGAACGGCTTGTCCACCGCAGGTCGACGCAGGCCTGACTGCCGCGCGGACCAACATTGCTCAACCCTCGACAAGCCCTTTTGCTGCCTACTGCGCTACGCTCAACGACAATAGCGGCTGCAAAAGTGGACTGGATACGGAACTTGTTACATGTGGTTTCTCGACGGCCGCTCAAGTCGCCCCCTACTGCTCTGCGAATGGCTCCGACCCCTGCTGTGCCAAAGCAGCCGAAGCCACCGACGCAACTCTGAAAACGATTGCCAAAGGTCTCGCTCCCGTCAACAACACCCCCTGGATCGCCTCGGGTATCGCACTCGGCGCCATGGTCTTTTTCGCCCTGGTCTTCATCTTTTGCATTAAGATGAAACCCTGGAAAAAAGCCTCCACCTCCGCTTCGGAGCCCCCGCCATCGGAAATCGAGCCAGGCCCACTCCGCGCCGATACACTCAAAAACGGCGCTGGAACGGGTCCATTTGGAAGTAAACGCCGTACATCCCTCTTTTCCGCCGTTCGCCAATCCATCATGGGTTTCGGCGGACGGTCCAAAGTGGCTCCACCGCCTTTACCAGTAAACTCGTACCCGACCATGAAATCCGCCATGCAATCCGTTTATTCCAACCCGGCACCTCCTCAAAGCATGTACACTGATGCTCCTCCCCCTCCCAGCATGTACAATGCCCCACCCCCCATTACGAACGCCTACTCTGTCTACTCGGCCGCCCCCCCTCCAATTCTCCCCCCAATCAACAACACACCCACCCAACCCCTCGTTCAAATGAAGGTCGTCGAAGCCTACGCCGCTCAACTAGGCGACGAACTCTCCCTCATGATTGGCGATGTCGTTACTGTTGAAGAAGAGTACGATGATGGGTGGGGTGTTGGGCGGAATGAATCTACGGGTGAAATTGGGGCGTTCCCTGTGACGTGTTTGGAACCGCTGGATTATTCTGTTGATGGGGAACGACCCAAGAGTGTTATTCGGGAGCGGACAAAGAGTTTGTATGCGAGTGGGTTTAGAAACTGAGGTTGGTTTTGTCTTGTTTTTGTGGTTTTTGGTGGGTTATATACTGATGTTTTGTGTGTTTTTTAGGTGGCTTGTTGATATACGTGAACAACAAAGTTCATACCGAACGGTTGTATTTTAGTTACTCTTGTGTGTTTTTTTTTGTAGATATGGACACGTAAAAAGGATTTACAAATGCAACAATGTGAAAAGAGTGGGAAGGGGGTGTTAAGGAAAAAGATAAAAGAGAGAGGATGGGGAGGAAAGGGATTTTTCTTTTGTATTTTGTTCTTTTTGGTTTCTCTGTAACAAACACGATTGCTTTTTTTTGTGCTCTTTTGTGGGTTCATGTTAATATTGACATGTTTTCGCAGAGTGAAATGTTGGATTCATCATTGCATATTGACTTCATGTTGGTCATGTTAAAGTTTTAAAAATATATTTTGTCGCGCAACAGATTTGTTATTTACAAATGTTCTACACAGTAGTTTCAAGGGAGAAACCCTAGTAAAGCATTCACCGACAGCCATACAAGAGTGCGATCTCGATAATGACCTTGCCAAGAGATGACTGGTATCCACTCGCAAAGTTCAACCATATAAAAAGATATTAGCAAGTGAAAAAACAGAGCAAACGACACTCTGGTATCCCCAAGGCTTTGTACGCTGCGTAGAGTCGGCTTGCGCACATGCACCACAACAGCCACACAAGTGCCCTCCGACTTGAAGCCAGCAGACCCTGCCACGGGATGGAACCCGTTACAATCCATCTCCGATACCTTTTGGCATTCGACCTCAGAGCTTCGGGATACCCAACCACTCGACAGACCTAGCATGATGCTCGCCCTTCATCTGGTATCCACTCGCACAGTTGGGCCATAAACGATATAAAAAGATGTTAGCAAGTGGAAAATCCAACTCAAAGATATTAGCAACTGAAAAAAAACCAAGCGAAAACGACACTCTGGTATCCCCAAGGCTTTGTACGCTGCGTAGAGTCGGCTTGCGCACATGCACCACAACAGCCAGACAAGTGCCCTCCGACTTGAAGCCAGCAGACCCTGCCACGGGATGGAACCCGTTACTGATTCCATCTCCGGCACCAATGGTACCACCAAGCCTTATCCACTCTGAGGCCAGCTGCGTAGAGTCGGCTTGCGCACATGCATCACAACAGCCAGACAAGTGCCCTCCGGCTTGAAGCCAGCAGACCCTGCCACGGGATGACGGTCCATCTCCGACACCTTTTGGTATTCGACCTCAGAGCTTCGGGATACCCAACCACTTGATATACCTTTTCACCTCTTGCTCCCAGCATGCTGCTTGCGCTTCATAGTCATATGGGTAGATAGACGCTGGGCCAAACAAAGAAACGTAGATGATGGACACGATGGAGAAAACCCACCCGTGGGAAACGCGCGCGTCTTTATAGCCCCTATAGGTCACATGAGTGGCACAAGCGTGCCGGATAATCCCGAATGTTCCGAGTATCACGGGGGAAAGGAGCGAATGACTCACAAGACGTGATCCCGGGTACAAGTACAGTACAGTACTGTACCCACCCATTATAATATGAATAATATCCACCCATTCCATTACGTAGCAAATTGCCCCGCTATAAATGCTACAAGCGCTAATACGACACACATGAGCACGCAATTCACCATGAATCGATCGCCTTTCATGACCTAACAAAAACGAGTGAATATGATTGTTTCTGCTATTGGTGTTTTTGTGGGCGATGACGTACCCCGTCGACAGCTTTCCGCATTTTAATGTTGAGATTGTCCACCTTGTCTAATGCTGTGTCTACACCTCTTTCGATCTCGTCTAGGACGTCGTTTTGGCGGTCCAGTTCCTATAAAGAAAATATTAATCACTTAATGTCCCCCCATTTTTAGGTTTTGAAACGATTGCATGAACGTACATTTCCGAGATCGTTTGCAATATCCTTTAGACGCGCAACACCTGCCCCAATATCATCCAAATCTTGGTCCTACAAAAAACAGTTGTCGTAACTGGAGGAACAGAGACGGGGAATATACGAGCTTACAATCATTTTATTCCGCTCTCCAATCCGTTTTAGGTCCTCTTCTACATCAATATCTGGTAGCTCTGTCGTCGTGAATGGGTCTGGTACGGAATCTTCATCTACGGGTGCGCCTTTATTGGGTCGAGCCCTGAAAGCTATTGTCACAAAAATAAAAGTATTCAACAAAGAGAATTTAAGAATATCTGCTTTTTGCACATACCAGGATTTCCTCGATTCCCAGCCAAAAGTTCCACCCGCGCTTCCGTATACCCATCATTAAACTTTCGTTTCTCGAGATTTTCGACTTCCTCAATATGTTTTTGTGCGAGTTCGAGGATCTCACGTCGATGAGCAAGTCGCTGTACAGACTCTGGATCTTTTTTTTTCTAAAAAGCATCCCCACCAAAAAAAAATACACAATAAATACACACATGCACCAGATTCCTCTTCTTTTTTTGCATACCTTTCGTTCCTCTTTTGCAACAATCTCACCCATACGCGCAACACCCTCTTTAACCCCCCTAATCGCAACCCGAATCCGATAACTCTTTTCAGCACTCTCAGTCGTAGTCCCACCAGCAGCCATCATCTCCTCCCGTTCCTTTAGGTCTTGTCGAACCTGCTTAACATCCCCATGAATCTTTTTTTTGAGGCGTGTGAATTCGTCTAGGGTTGTTTCTTGGGCGGTTGGTTCGGGTGCGCAGGCCTCGTAGATAATCTGGAGGCGCCGCATGGCGTCTCGCATGGAGGACATGGTGGACTGTTTGTTTTTGGGTTCAAGGTTTTTGTTGGGTGGTCGGTAGGAAAAGATGTGTAGCGGAGGAGGATGTCGCGGGTTATGGCGCAGTGATTATGTGATGGATTACGTGATGTCGACTTTAGCTGCTGTGTTTATGGTGTTTTGGTATAGCGTTGACCATTTACTGGTACTTGCCAAAACCACTAGTATGGCATGTATTTTAAAAAGAGGGAGCATACATTTGGACGAGCTATAGGTCTTTGAGTGTGCACGATGGTTGAGTTTATATATCGTAGTGTCATTTGGGAAGCGGTACCTAGAGATGTGCATTACATGGAACGATGTTGAGCGAGTTGTGTATGAACCGAAAAGATCTGTCGTGAGGTCCTTTATAGGTGCATATCCTGTTTAGTCAAAATAAATGTTGTCATCCCTCGTGGTTGTTGGAGCAGGTCGTTTTGACTTTCGGTTTATTGTTTATTGTTCATTGCTAGTGGACACGAGTACGTTTTGTAACTTAGATCTTTATTGTGGTCTTTTTTATGGTCCATTATAGTCCATCATATTGGGAAAAGAAAGGTGTTCACTGCTTAAAACGAGTGCGGTGTTGGTCGTTTGACATTGTTTGTAATATATTTGTCGTCTATAGCAACCCAATTGTGGCACAGCGGCAAGTTGCAAGAACACTTCCAACTTCCAAATCGTTCTTGCGATTTCTCCAACGGTTCAAAACTCTTCCAATGACCGCAACAACATTGTCGCCCACACCCGCTTTTGTTAGCGGCACTCAAAAGCGGGCAGCCAAACGGCAAGCCGTCCAACAGTTTGTGCATTCATTACTCCAGACTCACGACACCAATGACACTGGTACCGAGCCTACATGGTCCTGTTGTTCCAAGACATTTACGACCCATTCAAGCATATCCCGACACATTCACACAGCACATGCCGACAAACTAGCAGCTCTTGAATCCCATTTCCTCGCATCCCCACCACGACAAGTCAAACCCCCACAAAATACATGCCAATTCCACACCCGTCGAGCAGCACGAGGCGGGTCGGATCCCGTTACGCTCCCATGCGACGCCCTCCACGCCAAATCAGGCACCGTTCTCCTTTTTTACAGATACACCCCCATCCATGACCCCGAAGACGTTGCAGCATTCCAAAAAGATTTGTGTACACGGTTAGGACTCAGTGGCAAGCTCCGAATTGCACACGAGGGGCTGAATATCACCGTTGCGGGAGAAACGCGGAATATCACAGAGTATGTGGATGTCATGGTAGAGCATGAGGTGTTGAGCGGGTTAGAATTGAAGAATGATGCAGAGAGACGACGGTTGTTTTTTAAACCTTCTGAAGGGTGTGTGCATGTATTTGATGGGTTGAGCGTCAAGGTCGTTGATGAGATTTGTCCATTTGGAGTACGAGATTGGGTTCCAAAAAGGATGAGAGGAGGGATATGGGAAGAATCCAATCAATATGACCCATCTACACCCGAATCAAAGGATCCAAAAGTCGTTGCTCTCGCACCACCCGAGTTCCATTCCCTCCTCTCAACCCTCCCAAACAACAAGGACGACTATATCCTCCTGGACGTGCGTAACCACTACGAGACGCGCATTGGTCATTTCCCATCCGCTGTTCTACCCCCCATCCGCCGCTTCTCCACCCTCCCCACCTACATTCACCAAAACAAGCCAACCTTTTCCTCCCGAAAGGCTATTCTGACTTACTGCACCGGTGGAATCCGCTGTGAAAAAGCCTCGGCTTGGTTGAGTGAGGAAATGGGAGTACCCGTCATCATGCTCGAGGGGGGCATACACAATTATTTAGAATGGGTCAAGGAAAGTGGAGGGGAGAGTTTATTCAAGGGCAGGAATTATGTGTTTGATGCTAGGCAGAGTCTTGGGGTGCAAAACGACGTGAACGAGGATGCAGTGTCGTTTTGTTACAAGTGTGGTACACCTACCGCTGCCCTTCAAAAATGTATCGGTACCGGATGTCATTTATTGGTGACATGCTGCACCCCCTGCTTTGAGTCGCACTCTGTAAAGAGTCCAACTGAAAATATGGGTATGTATTGTTGTACTGCATGCAGGGAGATTGATGTAGAGAAAACGACCCATGAAGCGAATTGGCATAAAGATGCAAGTCTGTCATCCGATACTCGGGGAAAACCTAAACCTAAACGACGATTATGTAGTTGTGAAATCGAACGACGACGGCAACTTTATTCAAATGGGAATAACACAACCCCAGTAAACCAGGAAGGAGGGAGATAAAAATAAATTATATATATTACTATTTTAGAAACTATAGTTTTCTTTTTTTTTTTTTGTATAAATTATGCCCAGATGGCCACACTTAATCATCTAAATCATATATGAGCGTATTCACAAATTGGACTGACACTGGTTGTACAGCCTTCTGTTTAATGTCGTTGCCAACTTGAGAGGTAATTTGGCTCTTTGATGAATCGTTGGATTCGTCCAGCGAGATGGGAGGAGTAGTCGTTTCGTTTGGTTGTACCGCAGGAATAATGGCAGTATGCCCATCTATTTCCACATTCTCTTGTTCTACGTCCTTTGGTGTATCGCAGACCTCCTCGTCCATGATGCTATGTTCGCCCGCACTCAAATGCTCTGATTTGGATGCACCCTGCAAAGTCAGCGCATCCTCATCATCTTGTCCGTCTCCCTTCGCTTCCCCATCGCATTGGTCCACCTTCCGAAGCTCCTCGGGAGACTTTACTCTAATCCATCCATCGGACTGCTCAGAACAAGTCGGAGAGGGCGGAACTTGTCCAACTTCATCCTCTTCAAACGGTGCATCCGATTCAGGCTACATAACAAGTACCCATTTAACGCTTATCGAAACAGTGTATAAAAGTCTATATCTTACCAAGGATGTCTTTGGAGGTGGTACGACAGGTAGTGTTACGACTAGTTCTTGCCTTGTCCGATCAAACTTTGCGGTACCATGATCATGGTGGACAGGGAAGGGTAACGGGAGGTTGAGTTTATATTTCTGAGGAACGACAAGGTCGATGGATTGAAGATGGGTATTGAGATCAACTTGGGCTGCCGTAGACTGTTCGAAAATTGTTAGTTGGGTTCAATGACTGAAGGAATGAAAAGAGTATTATCCGATACATACCACGCCAGGTAACTCAATCCTGACCACCAACGCATCCGGTCTTGCTCCAACTTGTTTTTCCCGTTCCTCTGTGAACCGCTGATAGTCATTATTAATACCTCGATGAATGATGGTGCATTTTGGAACGACTTCGGCTGCAGGAGCCGCTGATGCGTGTTTCCTTGTTTCTGGAAGTTCTTGAATGAGTGGTTTGGAGGGTGTGGCAGGTTTCGAGGTCGATGTGGGTTTCACTCCAGATTGGAGCTGTTCAAGGAATTGGGTTGTTGTATCAGATTGTGGTGTTAGTGTTGGGTCGGCGGTTCGGATCACGGTGGTAGAAGGGGTGCCCTTGAATTTCATCTTTGGTGTTTTATACTCTATAAAATGTGTTTGGTAAGCTGCGGATCTAACCCAAAAAACAACTAGTTCCTACTTTTTTCCAGTTTGACATTAAACTGCCGTTCGATGCCTTCTATAGCCGTCGACACGAGCAGTTTGTCAAATTTTGGATTTCGCACGCCTTTTGCATACGTCTCGGGATGGAAGACGCAGTCATAAACCGTACACTTTTTATTAGCTGATCACATATCCATCGTTAATCGTCTGTACAATCTTGTGAATGAACATGCTTGGCGTAATGCAAAGGCTCACCATGATCAACGTCCTCCCTAGATGGCGCAAGGCTGTAAGGTATAGACCAACTCTGTCCGGCTCCTTGAACGGCAGATGTGGTATTGGGTTTGGCTTCCGCAATTTCAGGAGAGGTACAGATATTTATAAACACTTTTTCGCCACCCTGTGCAAAGGCCGTTTTGACGACGTAGCCTGCAGTGGGTTTCACAAAGCGGATATTGTTGCCTCGTTCAGCTTCCAATTGCGTCAATTCAGCTTCATACAACTGAGATGCAAAAGAACCTAAGCTAACACCACCGATGATGAACATTAGATCAATTACGCACCTTGCGGTTCTCGGGGTCAGCAATTTCCTTCATGTAATCCATAAACAGGCTGCGAAATTGATCATTTTTCAACGACTGTTCAATCTTTTTGTATTCCTGCGCAGCGTGTCAACACAAGCTATTGGTCCTCACGCGCCATGAGCGCAGCAGGTACCAACCTCTGGCGTGATATCTAGCTTCCTTCCTTCCGTTGCCGCCATATTGGATATTGTATCAGTGTATCGCAAGTAGAGAGTAGTTAACCAAGATGTCGACAAGGAAAAAAGTCGAGAGCGGAAATAGCGCCTTAGTCAGCATCAGAAGCGCGTCAGATTTCCAGCTTTTCGGACATCAACGATATTTCAGAATACACTGCCTCCGGCCAAATGTTCACTGCCTCCCCCGCCAATGTTCCCCGCCGCCCTTCCAATGGTCCACGGCAGCGTCCACCGTATGCAAATCCTAAAAGGTCAAACGGCCGCAGTAAGAAAGCCGTAAAGAAAATCCCATTTGGAAGACATAAATAAAAAAAATGGGCTAAGCAAAAAACGGTCCCCGCGTCGCGCGCTGAGGAAATCCTTTCATGAAAGGTTTCTTGTTCAGCCACACATCTCTCTACGTGGGGCATCATCATCATCGCCTTTGGTTTTTTTTTGAACCAGCCCTCCGTACGGTTATCAACTAACGGCTATAAAAGACCTGCCTCCACGTATGTTGTTGCACCTTTGGCAATCTAGTGACAAACGATTGTCCGCCCTTTCCTCATTTCGACGCGGCTTTTAATACATTTCCAATTTCTTGTCATCTCAGCACAATTACCCCATTTTTACGACTTGTAGGAGGCATTAAAAAGAAACCATGTGCGGAATCTTTGCGTACTTGAACTACCTTGTGGAACGGGACCGAAAGTTCATCCTCGAGACATTGTTGACGGGTTTGTCGCGATTGGAGTACCGAGGATACGATTCCGCAGGTGGGTATGAGGGTGTGATGATGGGCAAGAGTGGATGTGCATGGGAATTATTTCATTCTTTTGATGCTTCATTGCTGTGGATGTTACGCATGATTCAGCAGGCACAATGACTGTGGGCACCTGATAGTTATTGACGTCTTGCTTTTATCTCATCGCCACTTTACAGGTCTTGCCGTTGATGGGGACAATGAAGATGAAACATTCATCTTTAGGCAGGTAGGTAAGGTCGCCGCCCTGCGCGAGAAGATTGACGCCGAGAAGGGACTCGACGTGGAGCGGACGTTCGTTTCTCACGGCGGAATGGCGCACACTCGTTGGTGCGTTTATTAAGAACGTGATTGCAACCGGTTGGCAAAGGCATCTCACACTAAACTCACAACAGGGCTACTCACGGCATTCCCTCTGTTCGCAACTGTCATCCACACCGTTCCGACCCGAAAAACGAGTTCACCGTTGTTCACAATGGAATTATCACAAATTACAAAGAGCTCCGTACTATCTTGGAGAAGTTTGGCTTCGAATTTGAGTCGGACACTGATACAGAGGCTGTTGCCAAACTTTGCAAATACATTTACGATACACAAAAGACCACTATGGGATCCACCTTGACTTTTACCGGATTGGTCAAGGCAGTGTGCAAAGAACTGGTAAGCTCACATCGGTATGCAGCGTCCATAGTTTCGCATCGTCACTGACATGTATATATCACTTTAGGACGGCGCCTTTGCATTGATCTTTAAGAGTGCCCATTTCCCTGGTGAATTGGTGGCTGCTCGTCGTGGATCTCCTCTGTTGATTGGTGTCAAGACCGCAAAGAAATTGAAGGTAGACTTTGTGGATGTAGACGTCGAGGTGCCACAAGAAGATGAGAAGAACTTGATGCTCCCCGACCAACCAAAGATTCGCCGTACCCAATCTCGCAGTTTCTTTGGTGAGGAAGGTGTACCAATGCCAGTAGAGTACATCCTTGCATCCGATGCGTCTGCTATCATCGAACACACCAAAAAGGTCTTGTACCTGGAGGACGACGATATTGCCCACATCAGCGATGGAGACTTGCACATCCACCGCCTCCGCAGAGATGACCGCATGTCATCAGTCCGTCCTATTCAGACTTTGGAACAGGAGCTGGCCCAGATTCAGAAGGGTGCTTTCTCTCACTTTATGCTCAAGGAGATCTTTGAGCAATCTGAGTCGGTGGTTAACACCATGCGTGGACGCATCAACTTTGACGACAGAACAGTCATTTTGGGAGGATTGCGCTCTCAGCTTGCCAACATCCGCCGATCTCGTCGCTTAATCTTCATTGCTTGCGGTACCAGTTACCACAGCTGCGTGGCTACTAGGTCGCTGTTTGCCGAGTTGACTGAATTGCCAGTGTCAGTGGAGTTGGCATCGACCTTTTTGGATGAGCAGATGCCTGTGTTCCGTGATGATTGCTGCATATACGTCTCGCAGAGTGGTGAGACTAAGGATACCCTTCTTGCATTGCAATACTGCAAAGACCGTGGTGCCCTTTGCTTGGGTGTTACCAACACGGTTGGATCTACTATTTCCCGGGAAACTCACTGTGGTGTCCATATCAATGCTGGTCCGGAGATTAGTGTCGCCAGTACAAAGGTAGCGTTTGGGTTTATCGTCTTTTTGAGTATCAGCGTTCCATGTCCTGTGATGTTCACTCAGTGTTTCTTCTCTACAGGCGTACACCTCGCAATATATCGCTTTGACTATGATCGCCCTTCAGCTGTCTGATGACAACTACGCCAAACTCCCCAGACGTCATGAGCTGATTGACGGCCTGTTCAACCTCTCTGCAGACATCAAGAAGACGTTGGCCTTGGAACCTGAACTTCGAAAGATGGCGCAAGAACAGTTTGGTTCAGCTCAAAACCTGATTTTGATTGGACGTGGATACCAAACGGCAACAGTCCTGGAAGGCGCTTTAAAGATTAAGGAAGTCTCGTACATTCACGCTGAGGGTATTAATGCTGGGGAACTCAAGCACGGACCCCTTGCCCTCATTGACGACAAAATGCCCATTATTTTGGTGATGCCAAAGGACCGTCACTACTCGGTGGGTTTGAGAATGTGGTTTCTACTAAAGTATTGGTGTAACTGACAGATATCATTAGGACTCTGAGAATGCACTGAAACAGGTTACGGCGCGCTACGGTGCACCCATTGTCATCTGCAATGACGACGATAACACGCCACTTTTCAACAATCTCAAAACCATTCGTGTTCCTCGCACTGTTGATGCTCTTCAGGCGATCATTAACATTGTGCCATTACAGATTTTGTCGTACTATCTGGCTACTGGACGCGGTTTCGATCCAGACTCTCCTAGAAACTTGGCCAAATCTGTTACGACTGCTTAAGAGGGGGTTCGCTTTAATATGGGGTGGGGCTGGGGTTCATAGATCGATATTGGACAGTAAGTAGGATGGTCGTCTGTTAGCATGAGTGGACACTTGTTGTTACAAACTTCTGGACCATATCAAATATATTTTTACCCTTATTGTCAAGTATAAATAAAATAATGCTCTAAAGTGTCAGAATGCAATCAATTCTATTCCCAAATATCTACGCCGCAATTTTCTTTGTCAGAACATACGCATTTGGATCAGGGCCTTGCTTGTAATAGCCCTCCTCCGTACTTGTCACCTCGAACCCCCGATGCTTATAAAACTCTAATGCGTCCTCATTAGTTGTCTGCACATGTAGATAAACTTCAGATATCTTTTGTTTATCTTTTGCCAGGGCAGCTTGCCTAAGGACGTGGTCGAGGAGCATCGTACCTAGATGAACCTGTAGCGTTAGCGTACAAATGTATAATCAAGCACCCCTAAAGTTCCATACATACCCAGTCCTAATCTTCTATAGGCAGCCAAAACACCGAGCGTTGCAATATAAAGTCTGTTTGCTCCCGTCTCCTTATCTGCCTGCTTAACGCAAATAACACCCCCCACACAAACGTCATTAAAATACGCTATGAGAGTTACCCCCAAAAAACGTAACCATTAGCGCCTCTTTCCATACAGAAAACGAATTTACTTCAAACGATTACACTCACCTAGTTTTGCAAACTCCCCAACCTGCAATGCAGCTTTATAAAACTCGTCGCTATATTTAACAGGAAACAGGACCAAATTGACTGCTTTGATCTGTCCCATATTATTCGGCGTGACATCTCCCAGTGCTTTTCGAAAATATTTTGCGTGGTCAGTGGATGAGGGGGTTCCGGGTGTTGCGTCAGGTGGTGAAGTCGTTGCTGTCGTTGTCATTTTTGTAGAGTTTTTTGGAACAATGATGCTTATGACAAAGAAGCTCAAGATCCGCTGGCTTGTCCAAACCCCCAGTCCCTCTCGGACATTGCCATGGTGCGTAAAACACGTGATGCGCGCCCATTGCTGACAACATAAACTCAACTTGCATTTTTGGGGTTTTCAACACTACAAAAAAGCAGAACATTATGGCTCGAAAAACATTAAAGTCCAAACCTCGCACCCGCCGCTCAACAACAGAACTCACCGAACTAGTCTACGATGAAAGCGCACGAAGGTAAATCGAAATCCGTCAAGAATCCCACTATTTCATTGTTGCAATTCACTCACTTTGGACGCACAAGCACAGAGACTTTCTGACAGGCTTCCATAAACGCAAACTAGAGCAAAAGCGGAAAGCAAAGGAACGATATGAACAAAAAATAAAGGAGGAGCGGAGAGAATTGCGTAAAGAGAATGTATGATGTGATATTTTTTGTCCGGGGTTGGGCGCTAGAGCTCCCCAAGAGCCTAACCTTATTCGCATTCGTAGAATAAGCGCCACCTTATAGTTTCCGACCTCGAACGCATAGAAGCCGTTGCCAGCAAAGACGAAGCAGCGACACCGGAAACGGTATCCACCATCCCAAGCGCAACGAGAGTCACAACCGTCACAGTATCCGACTGGAATCCAGATGAAGAGGATGATGTGGATGTTGGGCGGGAGAAGGGGACTGAGGTTCCTTCGAAGAGAGCGAGTACAAGTAAGGGTAGCGTGACAAAACCAAAGCCAAAAAAGGCAACGAAGGGTAGAAAGGCATGATGATATATCATGATGACCGTAAACATTTGTAAATATGTAATACAATGTACATGAAATGAGATGACATGACATCTGGCGCATACATCAGTGGCGAGGCAAGCACCAATGAAAGAAGAATCATTCTTGACCACTGTATACTATCAACTATTATAAGCGTAATTTATCCTTACACCGATAATCCCATCTATTCCAACTTTCGATTTTCTTCCCCCATCCTCCCAGGGGTACCCTCCCGTCCAACCTTTCCATGCGGAAACTTTGCAGTTCCATGAACTTTGATAACTTTCTTCTTGATCCTCAGGCAATGACAGTCAAAGATCTCGCACAGTTCGTGAATCACCCTTAACGCAAATCTCAGATACGCAAAGACGGCAACACAGAGCAGAACATGCACAATAGTTCCTTCCATGAAAGCAGCGTCCTCAATCCTTTCCACGTGACCAAAGAGTTTTTCCAAGAGACCCTGAAGCCAGTGAGACAGCTCATTGGGAAAAGCGCTACGGAGGACGGGACCAGAATTGGCACCATCCGTAAGCTCCCAATTACGGAAAACAAAGGCACTCAAGTTCCCGATCGTTACGATCAAGAAAATCGGAAAATCAAAGTATGGGAATGAGCGCCGACAGACGTGCGCGATAATCATCTTTCCGACTTGGTGACCAAATAGACAGCCGACCAGTAACGAAAAGGGGATTAGATGCGTCGTTAGAATAGATGGCGAGAGTTTCAGCCACGTGAAAATGCCAAAAGTGAAGGCAACAAAGGGAAGAAGGCCCAGCATAGCAACAACGGTGCTCCTTTTCCGTGCACCGGAGGCGCGGAAGACGTTCAATCCCCTACAACAACATACGTTGAGGCTGCAGCAGTGCCTTTTTTGACAACAAAGCGACATACCCGCTGACAATATTGAATACAAGAAACACCGCACCAATACCAAGAAAGTATTCGTTCAGCCTTAATTCCGCAATTGTAGAAGGCAGGAGAGAAGCGACACTCGGAAACGTGGCAGATATACGGCGATCCCAGATTTCAGGCCCTGCACTATTGTTAGAAGATGCCAGTGTATGAAATCGGTATATCCGTTCACTCACCATATCGGCCAGATACTATGAAAATGAACACGATCAACAGAATGCCCTCCACGGGCCCACTGCAGTAACTAAGATATAATGTTCCAGTGTGATATTCTTCCCATGTACTCAGATAAAAATTGCCAAGCGCTACGACATGTGGGTATGCGACGTATCCTCAAAGACAGAGCTAATGCAAGGACTTACCGGACATCAAACTGAAAATCAGCCACCATGACTGATGAAGATTCATTGCCGAACCAAGTAGAAGTCCTCCTAACTAATGGTAGAGCTTGCCTGGTTAGCGACGCGATGAGACAATCGAATGCACCAACTCTACGTACTGTGGTATTGAGGGCATCACATCCTATGGTTTAATACAACAAATTAAGTTAGTTGTGATATCAAATGATAGCTATAGGTTGACTAATCCTGGCGTGGCAATTGCGCACACAATGCATACCACTGCACGGAAACATGGGTAAGGTTTTCTGGCAGACAGCGGTAATCACGATTCGTACACTCACTGATCAAAAAGCTCCCCGAGAGGTCCACTCGTCCCCGTTCGACGCGCTTGTTTTCCATCTATCGAGTCGAAGGACTGGTATAGAAAGAGGCCGACAGCAAAACTATAGGCAGTCCTCGAATTAGTTCTCTATTAAGGATCTGAGTCAAACTAGCTCATATACTCGTCTCTCCTTGCCTGTAGTAGACCCAATTCGGACATGGTTCTTGAAGGTCAGGCGAGTAGTAGAGAAGGAGCATGACGTTGGCCCCAACAATGCTCAGACCCGTCAGCGTTATGAGGTTGGGGCTACACATGATATTACGTTCCAATCAGTACCGACCCAGCATCACATCAAGGATTCTCTCTGTTAGTATACGTACGCAAACCATAATGGGAAAATCTTGACCAAGTTGTTCCACCAGTAGGGATTCAACTATCACAAGTGAGAATGGTTATGGCTTACACGGAAGCAAATAAAGGTTCTGACAAGGACGGGAAGATACAAACTATGTATCGCGATATTATCGACTTGTCTACTCCGCTGTATTTGTAGCTTTTCAAAGCTTTAACGTCTTGTGGTGTGAAGAAGGCCATTTCTGCCCCGTCTATTAAAGGTCTCTAGAGAAAGCCAGGCAAAAGGCTGAAGTAGGAGGGACGTCGATAGTGAGTTGCTTGCAATAGTGCATTCGCAATCCGACTGTTCCATAGCTCACCTGCTAGTCAAATTGTCTTTTAGGAGGTGCAGGACAAGACGCAAAAGTCGTCGGGAACTTGCCTCCAAAGAGTTGCATCATCAAGGCACGTGTATTCTACTGTTGCTATATCAACAATGACTCATGTCAAGCATTGGAAACTCGCCCACAGCACACTCTGGACCAGGAGCACTCATCGTCTCAAATGAACACTGTGGACGGATGGGCGCAGGACCGCCTATCGGCGTTGATGGGCCTAGACGGGGAAGAACTGCAGCAAATCACGGCGTACTTGTTGCAAATTACTTCCCCTGAAGCGGTAGTCGAATTTCTAACTGGCATGCTGGGCGACTCATCGCCTGCGGTGCTGTTTATTCAAGAGTTCAATACAAGACGGTTTCCCCCTGTGGTTACGAAAGGGGCCTGGACGGCACCGCTGAAAACCACTGACGCTCAGGTACAGCCTGCTTGAACCTTTAGCGATATCCGTGACTTGGCACAAACACTTAGCGTTATAGTAGGCTTCAACTCCTAGTAAAAACGGATCGCCCGCACAACTCAAGAAGCATTTCAAGGATGAACAAAATGTGTACAGAAAACCTGATATGGAAGAGGACTATTTCAAGGGGTAGGATAAACATGACGCGCTGTACGGTTGAGATCCGAGTTCATGTATGTACTTTGCAGAACCAGGGGATCGAAAACATCGAGTGCACCTTCTCCGAAAGCACCATCGCGTCCTTTGGAGGGAGAATTGTTGAGCGACAAACTATCGTCAGTGAAGATTGACGATCGGTCCACACAAGCACCAAAGTATAAACAAAAGAAGGGAAAGAAGGAACGAATGAATGTAGCTGCAGCCGCAGCCACCCTGGATAGTCTGGATGGAATGGTGAAAGTCGGAAATGCCCCTCCTGGATTTGGCGGTCGTGTGGTCTGTGAATGCTTAGGTATGGCCCGTTGCCAGACTTCCTGTATCTTGTGCTTTTGACAATGCATCAGTTTCTTACCCGCTCTTAATTCAGCTGCAACCCATGGACTGATTACGAACTGTTTGACATGTGGGAAAGTGATATGCCGATTGGAAGGGGAAGGACCTTGTCCCTGCTGCGGAACTCCTGTTTACTCTAAACAGCAACAGGTCACACTTGTCCAGGAAAGGAAGAGCAAGGGTGTTCCTACTCGTTCGTCCAAAGTAGGGAGGGGTAGAGATGCCTATGTAGGTGCGCGATACGGACAGGCAGCTGGTGCTCAGGTGCCTTCTGCTGCGTCGATTGCGAGGACACCCAATGGCGCCGATCAGTCTCAGTTCCCGACTCTCATGACGGAAAAGGATCAACAGGCGTTAGCGCGCGCCGAAGCCCAGATGGAAAAACTGTTGGATTTCCAACGGAATAGCACTGCAAGAACGAGAGTTCATGGTAAGACGATACTTGGTGACCTCTTGATTACTTGCGATTATAACTCTGGCGTATCAGACCAAGCAAGTGACTTCAACTACGATGAAGATGCATCGAACAAGTGGCTCAGTGCCGAAGAGCGTGCCTTAGCCTTGAAGAAAGCGCAAGAACAGCGTAGACTCGAGGAGGAGCAGAAACGACGACGAGTGATTACGCTGGATCTCGTCAACAAGCGCGTTATCGATTCAACCCCCAAACCACCCATTTCACAGGTTCACAAAATTGGTATGGTTTTTGTAATGACTACTTGTTTCGCGCGGTACGGCTCACTCACAGTATTCCCATTCAGTAGAGACGCAACCCCCACGCCCCGCGTCACCACCCCAGGATCCAGGCTCCAGCGGTCAATTCCGCAATCCAACACTGAAAACCGCTCCACCGGTATATGTGCCGGTAAAGCCAGGCACTGTGGAGCGCACGGCAAAAATACCGATGCAACGACGAGCAGCCGAAGCAAGGTTCTCGAAAGATGAACTGATAGATGCGGACAGCGCAAGGGGTGAACAGAACACAGCTGGCGCAAGACCTCGACGAAAGCCTCGCGCAAAGGGGACATCGAAAAAGAACCGATGGAAACCTCAGCTTCGCATACAACACGACATGGAAGGAGGCGATGGGTGGACACAGGAATTGCGCGGAGAGTTTGAATTTGACGAATATGCAGCTGAAGGAGGCGGCGGGTACACAGATGAGCCTGAGTGCGGTTGAAAGGAAGAAGTCCCAAATTTTCTGATTAATGTGTTTAAATGTACATAATGCAAGATCCGGTCACCCTTTTAAAGTTACAGTAAGGAGGCAGCCGTTGATCCGTCCACAGCTACACCGTCTCCCCAACAATTACAATCGACATCAACAGCCAAAATGACAATCCTATCCCAAATAAGGACATGTACCTGCCCAATCCATGGCTGGGAAAGGAACGAGTCAGAGTCAGAAACCTATTTGATGAGTAGCTTGTATGAACATATGCTCACCTCACTTCGTTTATAACGAAAGCAATGATAACAGCCACCATCCCTACAAGCATCGGCCATCGCGTCGTCAAAAATCTTCCGACGTGTGAGCCTTCAAATTGTCTTTGCAGGTCCAGAATGTTGAGGACGTTGTTTGAGTATAGCACAACTGTGAAAACCCCCAACATTGAGCTTAGTATTTCATCAGTGACGGGGAGCGACAAAGCAACATCGAGTAATTACCTATGTAACACTGCTGTTCGGACTCTGAACTGGTTGGCACATCCAAGTGTAGCTGCTCCGCATCGACCAGACTAAAAGCAATTACAGTCTAACCCGAACCGTGCTACGATTAGCATTCTTGGGATCATCCTATGCTTCTGTTGAAACAACAGACTCACCCGTCCAGCGGCGCCACCGTCTATATTATTCAGCCAAACATTATGCAACTCCCATCGCCCTTTCCCGCTGCTTTTTTCCTCAGCGGGCGCCGTGCCGCGCATCGGAGTAGATTCTAGCGCCCCATCGAAAAAGAAGGCGACTTCGTGGGGTATCGAAAAAAATGATTCAGCATCCCACCATCCTGAGGACTCTGCTTCTCGTTCACTGGTCAACGGGTTACGCTTGAATACGATAATGTCGTCCACTTCCGTAACCAGTGCCAGAATGGAACCATCCTGATTCAAGTTTGCACCTCGAATCTTTAAATTGGAATGGCTGATCTCGTCTACTATTCTCGAATCGTCCAACAGGTAGCCATGGCTTTTGCCACTGGCTTCTTCACCAATGTAGTCTAGTGTAAAAATACGGCCAAGAAAAACCCATGCGACGCTCTTTGAATTCAATGATGCGGCTACCGTGCGGGTCAGACCATAGACGTCAAAAATGATTGTCGCGCTATAACGAGAAACTCACCAACAACCGGAGTGCCGAGCCAGAACAGTTGATCCACGTTCTCAGCTTCGACGACTTCGTGCCCCAATGCAGGAGAATACACGCTTCGCTGTACAGGAAGATAGGATTGCTGTTATGGTTGCGAAATTAAATCAAACGTCAACCGATCGGCACGCGAATTATATTCACCTTCCAGATCTCATCCTGTTCCCATTTGCCATCTACCCATGTAAAAATAGACATCGACACTCGGTAGAAGTCATCTACTTCCTGAAAGGTTACCGAGAATACGCTAATGTGACGTTCTCTAAAAGGTGAACGACATTGGTGAGTGGACCTGCCTGATATAAATTCAAACTATGGCATCCTACATGGGGTTGTACAGTTCCATAGCGAGCAATTGCCTTCCCAGTGAAAGGTCTGCGACAATATTGCAAACGTTCATTAAGCAACCTCTTGGCGGATCCTATAAACTGATTGGCATACCTATCGATGGCCCTCCAATTCCAGTCCCTTCCGACCGCTCACTCTCATCGGTATCCGTTCCAAATAAATACACCCGAAACATGTTTGAGTCATATCTCCTGCAGAGGAGGGCAAAATACAATTTCAACCAACAGGCTAAACTAGCCCATAGTGTGGTAACCGTCTGACCTACTGGCAACCAGCTTTCCTAATGATCCGAGCGATGCGCGCGTCAATGGCAGATTGCCAGGTAACTCCCAAGACTGATGACTAAATAGTTCGCTTTCACCACATCCTTCTTTCGTTTTCTCGCAAGCGAGCTTCGAAGTATCCTCCGACTTTAATATTGTCATATCCATGTGATAACTTAAAATAACAAAACATGGAGACGTCTTCTTGGCATAAGTTAAATCATAGCAGAAGTCCTACCTCATATGTTCCCCATCCACGTGTCTGTATATCATAGCTAGTCCAGCGTCCGGCATTATTTGTCGATTAAATGCAATATGGGTCACGGTGCCATTAATCTCCCTAACCCTCATTGCCTTGGCTTCGACTTGCGACGCATTAAGCGCCAGTGGTACTGTATACTGTTGCAACACTCCTGTGACGTAAGACAGCACCTCAGTTGGCCTCGTTTGGTACCTCTGCGATAGCGATTGTAAACCCACCTTTTTCTTTATTATGCCCCATCCATCCAACGTGCATACTTTGCCCGCCATCGACCAGGGCAAACCCTGCCACCCGGTCTGCCCATTCTTCAACCAGATCTGGAAACCGTACTTTATATGCGGCAAGGAGTGCGGGAATTGGATGAGAAGGTGTGTTCAGAGCTAACAGGAAATAAATAAAACCGAATCCAAAGAAGAGAAGGATGAGTGGTGGAAGAAGTCGCATTTTTCGACGTTGGGGTGGACGGAACTGCAAGAGCAAGCGACGTGGTGGACAGTGAGTCATGATCGAGCTGTGATCTGGCTTACATAAGCGATAACGTCAGGCGAACAACCGAGCGACAGTTTATCTTGTGGGTCTAAACTCGCTTGTATTTAACGATGATATCAGAACTAAAATAAAGTTTATATACTATATACAATGTAGCCTGAAACTATATAACCATCAACTAGTCCTCATCTTCTTCCCCTTCATCATCCATCACAATCTTTCTCTTTTTATTTGGCCCATCATCCTTAAAGAATCCCCTCGCCGTTTTGCTTCGCATAGCTTCCACTGATTCCACATCCTCAGCCCATTCGAGCACCAAATGCCTTCCGTACAAGTGAGTAGCAGCCAGGCTTTCAAACGCGGATTTCGCTTCTTGCTTGGTTAAGAAATCTACGAAACCGAAACCTCGGTGATTTCCATCCATCTTGCGCGGTATACGCACAGACTTGACTTGGCCAAATGTTCTGATAGAAAATATCGAAGCATCAGCAAACAAACATCAAAAATTCTGGTACTCTAAAGTGATGACTTACGAGAACAATTGTCGGATATCCTTCTTTGTGGCCTCGAATGGAATGTTGCGTACAATAAGCTTTGTACCGGTGACCTTTATTGGTTCCTCAGACCCTCGCTTTTTGGACGGCGCTGTGCTTTTTGCCGCAGCGTTCGAAATCTTGAGCTCAAGAGAATGTCCATCCAATTTGAAATTCTGCAGAATATGCAATGAGAGGTCAAGTTTGACAGGCATATTTCTTCAGCACGTTCGCATACCTGCATCGACTTAATGCATCGCATAGCATCCTCTTTTGTGTTGAACTCCAAGAATCCGAACCCCATGGACAGCTTGCCGCCAGTCTTCTTATCCAACTTGGTGGCAACTCGAACTGAACGCAGGCCTTTGGCAACTTTGAAGGCTTCTCGAAGCCGCTCCTCATTGGTCTCAAAATTGAGGTTCTTAACGAACAAGGTGGCAATTGGCATAGCATCCGGATCCTCCGTAGCGTCGTCTGCGCTAGCAAGCTCGTTGATAGTTCTTCTGGGGGCTTCTGATTCTACATCTTCGGTAGTAGTTTTATCTTCTTTTTGTGTCTCCTTTTTGTTCCGACGTTCAGCAACTTCTGTCGGATCATACTTCTTTTTGAAGGTATCCACTGGTGCCCATTCCAGATACAATGGCAAATGTTTGAATTTGGTGTATGCTAGCCGTTGAAATGCTGCCTTCGCTTCGTTAAGTTCCAAAAACTCGACCAGAGCAATGGTTTTTGCAGGCGGAAGAACCAACTAACAATACTGGGATGTCAATCGCTAGAACCGCGGGGATCGCAACGTCCAAACGACGACTTCCTTACCCGTCCAATCGTACCAAACTTGCCAAAAAGCTCGCGCAACTCCTCTTCTTCTGTGTCATGTGGAATATTCTTTACCAAAATGATACTTTTACTTCGTGTCTTCCGCTTCTCAAAAGCGCTTAGATCTATTCCCTCCTATAAGGAATAAAACGCTGAGCACGCACGTCAGCAAATAAAATGAGCGCAGTATTTCACATACCTCTTCAAGATATTGCTTTGTTTCAGTAATAATGTGGGTTTCCGCAAGAGCCAATCGTACAGCCATATTTTCCGCATCCGGATTCAGAATGTCACTCTTCTTCACTCCGAGTTTTCTTGCCATCGCTTCTGCTACAGCATCACTCTGCACACCGAGTTAGGTATCCAATCATCAGATGTGATGCCATAGTCACACATAAAAGAACATACGTTCATGAAGAGGCTATTCCAGCTAAATTCATTGCCAGCGTTAGCTTTTCTCTGCTTTTCTCGCTGGTTCTTGAACGTCTGCGAACTGTTTTCTTCGTCATCAACGGGTCTCGGTTTCTCTTTGCCAGGTAATACTTCCAGAATACGACCTTGGAAAATCTGCCCATCCAGTGTCGTAAATGCCTTCACAGCGTGCTCGGGAAGAAGGTATAAGATAAATGCAAAACCTTTCGGCTTTTTAGTTTCTTTTTCTATCGGAATGTGAACCTAGATATCATGTGAATAATCACACCCTTGATATGAAAGAGTACCAATTTACCTCCGACAAAGGTCCAAACTTCTCAAAAAGCTTGTGCAAATCCTCGACTGTGCAAGTGTATGGCAGATTTTTGACAAACAGTCGACCTGTGTCAGCGATTAACTCTGCAGGCGGCGGACCCTGTTCAGCCTTTGGCACTGAAACCGTTGATGGAGGCGGTCGAGTATTAGAAGCACCTTGCGTCGTTGCGATCGGTGCAGGAGTTTCAATGTCATCTTCATTATCGAATAGAGCCATTCTACTCGCATGAATCTTGGAAGGCACAGCTCCAATTGTTGATGAGGATTTAATGTCTGTTGGCGTTATTGCCTTATCCACGTCCATGCTATCATCATCATCTTCGCCAACGTCCGCCCCCGAGTCCTCATGCGCTTCGATTTCCTCGTCTTCATCCTAGAGACATTGTGAGTGTCCATTTTTGCTGACGAGTCAACAGCAGCAAGCGCCTTTACCTTGCTCAGGTTTCTCATTTTAGAACGAAGATAATCGAGATCTGACAAACTACTGTCGTGAGCAGCTGAATTTCTCTGTTTAGATGCATCCTCGACGGTTTCCGTTTCTACATCTTCTTCTACCATCGTTGCCGCCGATTCCGTCCCTTCCTTTGTACTGCCACTACCATTGTCTTTCGTGGCAGAGGGAAGCTCGTCATACAGCTCATCCTCAGAATCTTCAAAAGTCACATGCGTTTTGGTAACTAGCATTCCATCACCGCCGGTCTTCTTATTTGGGACTGCCAGAACGGTAGCTTTGGCTCTATTCTTCTTCCCCCCATTATTTGCCGTTCCTTGTGCAGATGTGACATCATCATTTGCCCACGTCCGCCCACGGGCGGAAGACCGAGGCCTCATCACTTCCAAGAACTCCTTCAGTTTTGGATCATGCTCGTCAGCATATAAAGTATTCAAAAGTTTTTGTTTTCGCTCCATATCCTGTTGCGTCTCCTCCTTTTGACGACGCAAGCGATCCTGTCGCTCTTCCCGCTGCCTTTGGGCCTCTGCCTCTGCTTGCGTCTTGCGGTCGAATGCTGAACTTCCATGAGAGTGTCGACTCCATGGTCTGGGAAGACTTGCATCTCCAATCTAGGAAAAGAGCACTCTATTACACTGAAATAACCACGATGATGTCATTTCTCTTGCCTAGACATACCGCCTTTGCCAATTCAACTTGAATCTTTGAGGTATCCACAAATGTATTGTTGAAGTACTTTAGCGCATCCTTGGCCTGCTTCTCTGTCTTGAACCCAATGTAGCCAAAGCGACGGAACACCCCATCCCTGGTGGAAGAGTAGCGTTGAAAAATGATCACATAGCAGGACAATACTTGCCAACTTACGGTGTCTTCACGAGTTTGGCATCTGTTACTTCGCCCTTTTCACTAAAATGTTCCTTGAACCGGTCTAATGTGTAATGCTTTGGAAGGTTCTTGACAATGAGACGGGACCTGAGAACAAAACGTTACGGTGCGGTTCTAACATATAAAAAACCAAATCCATATTCCTCATACATTATATGAGTTGAGCAGACCGCAGACAATTTCAATGCCCCAACAGCGATCAGCCAAAAAGTCAAAACTCAACAGCCCTTGCAGCATTTCGTAAGCCAAAAAGAAATAAAGTACTTGCCAAATATGGCTAAATGACATGCCCAATCAAATGTCGCACAGGCTCGGCGGCGGTGAGTCAACAACAAACAGCCTGTATCTCCAACCAAGCGAATAAGGGTTCTACCGCGCAAAAGAAGCTTCCAACTTGATTGTTGTTTTCTCCAAGAGATTGACATAAAAAGCCGAGTTACCCTTCGCATCGTCTTCAAGTTTCTCGTTCATCCAGAATACCAATATGTCTGACAAATTCCAGCAATACCTCAAACAGGTGGGTTGTGTCTCGGTGGCGAGTGAGGTTTTGGCCTCCTTCTAATCTATTCATGTCAAAATAGTTTGATGTTGAATTGTCCAAAATCCCGATCACGCTTGAAATCGAGCGACGCACGGGATTCCCCAAGACTTACGCAGTCGGCGGAGTTGGTGTCTTTGCCGCTTTGCTGATCTTCTTCAACATATGGGGCTCCTTGTTGACCAATTTGTTGGGATTCCTCTACCCCGCATACGCATCCTTCAAAGCTATCGAGTCTGTGAACAAGAATGATGATACTCAATGGTGTGGTTTGCACAACCAATTGTCCATTTGTGAAAATTGTCTAACCTTGGTTGCCTTATTGTCACCCAGGCTCATTTACTGGACAGTTTTTGGCTTCTTGAACGTGCTGGAATTCTTCTCTGATGCGTTGCTTTACTGGATTCCATTCTACTACACATTCAAGGCCGCATTGATCCTCTACCTTATCCGTATGTACATCTTCTTTTGTATTCGCATCTTCTCTATCTCATCGGTCGCCATTTCTGTCATTCCAAAATAGTTCCTCAGTTCCAGGTACAAATAGTCATGTTTCGGCAAAGTCCCGTCCCGCTTGATACTCATGCTTTCTTTTCTACGGCACAGGGCGCTCAGTTCTTGTATTTCAAATTTGTTCGCCCTTACCTGATTTCTGAGGAGAAGGTCATTGATGGTCACTTTGCCAAGCTGAAGGTACTTATTCCCCGGTTTAATGCCATAGGTTCTCGTATGACTAATCTATATCGATTGCAGACTAAGGCCACATCGGCTTTGAATGACATTGCCGCCGAAACCAGCGGCGAATTCAAAAAGGATTAAGCTCGTGGGCTTTGGTTGTTACTGTTTCGTTGGTTGTTGCATGAACTGTCATTAGTAAACTGTGCTGCATCAGAGCGCATGTAGCTCAGTATAGCATCACTATCAGTGTTTAAATTCATCGAGTTCAGTTATTATTGTTTCGATGATTATTGTTTCTTTTGGTAGATAACAGAGCCACGGCTGGCCATGGCCAAGACACACAAAGGGGAAGCAGAGCACAAGGTCGATTTGCACGTTCTTCACTCCAACAGAAACAGCTTTTATTTAGGCAACATAACTAAACATGTCCTTCTGCCCCTCCATCCTCTCGATGTACTCTTTCTCAAGTAAGATATCAATACATTTCTTGATATCTGGAACCTTGGGCTTGAATCGTGCGTTCAATTGCGAAATGACCTCTCCCATCAACGTCTGATGGTTCATGACTTTGCGTGTTTTCATAATTCGAACAATCGCGGCCTACAAACAAAGCAATTATAAGATGGAAAGGAAAACATGATTAACAGACTGATATTCGCACCTGAATCAACATCTTCCGATCTTCTTCAATCGTTTTATGTGTGTCATCGGCCTCTGCCTTTTGTTCCGCCTTCACAGGTTGATCCAACTTGATGCGAAGCTTTTTCGACTTGAATCCCATGTTCAATTCGTATCGTGAGCCTGCCTCTCCTACTTTGCCTCCTTCTACAGTCAATATTTTCCCTTTGACAAGGGTTCCAATCTGCCCCGCCAACTGCTCAGGTGCTACTCCTGTGCTGTTCAGCAATTCCTCCCATGTGTAAGTGGTCGCCGCGTTGTATTGCAAAAGGACACCCATTTGATAATTTGTTACCTGAATTGTGCGTGGTCAATTTACGAAATTACTCCAGATAGTCACAGTTTACTTACGATAAGCGTGTACGGTGACTTGCCCAACTTAACGTAATTGGTTTTAAGCTCCGCTTTACCAAGATGAAACAGCCAGTTCAGTTTCCTTCCCGAGTACTTGTGATTGTAGAAGTTTTGGAATCGTTCGTATGTTTTTAGGAGCTATGTTTAAGAGTGAGCTTTCCACCCTATTGACTGTACAAAAGCAAACACGATCCAATGTCCGTACGCACCTCACTGGGAATGTTGAACCCGGATGGTGACGCGTGCAAAGGCCATGATGCAGTGCCTCCAACAAGTATATGGAAATCCGTGAGATCATCTTTCTCGTGGGTCCGGGACATTTGCTCCCTAGATGTGCGTAAGGAAAGCGAACTTTATTATTTCTACGAATTTTAAAAGGGCTCACCTAAACTGATCGTTGATATCTTTGCTGAGGGTAACGTCTTGGAACATCCGCGAGAGCTTGTTGGTGAACTCAAACCCGCAGGCGTCCTTCAACTTGTTGATCATTGACTCCTCCATATCCTCACTTGCTGACGAACCGTGCACAAGTCGTTTGGCTAGGGATTTTTGGTAAAACTTTTGGAACACGTCCTTGTCTTCAACGTATTTGAAGATGGTCATCTTTGAAGTACTTCTTGGTGAGGATGGCATTTCACGACAAACAAGGTCGGTAATTCAGAATACTAAAAACTCACCACACTGTTTAGCACATCTTCAACCTCATGCTCTTCCGTGAGCTTGCTGTTTTTCTTGAGGAGCGAATCGCAGTGCTTGGCAAGAAGTTCTGGACTTTTGCTGGAGCCCTCCTTGCATACTTTATTCCGGTTTACAAACTCTCTGCATGCCTTATCCAGGGACGCTCCAAAGCCGGCCTCTCCCTTGAATGCTTCATCGACCAATGCCGAGAACTTTCTGTGTACTGCGAGTAACGCATCCACATACACCTTCGGATCTACGTCTCCTGCTGCAGACTTTTTGGTCTTCTTCTTCGGCGTAGGCTCGTCATCTTCATCACCTTCCTCATTCACTGGGGCTGCACTCGACCCGGCCACCTTTTCTACCGCACTCAGACCTTGCTTGCGTACGTGCACCTCAAAGATGAGACGAAGCTTCTCTAAGCCCTCCGGCACTCGGCAAAGGAGGCCGTACATGCGACTGAGATCTTCGACTTTATCTTGATCTAGCAAATTTTGGAACTCCTCCTGGATCGGGCCAGTATGGTTCTTAATCAGAACAGTCTCGCAAGTCAAGATCAGGCCTTTTTGTGTGGAGGAGTGAAGGTACATTTGTACTCGATGATCCTCCTCAGCCAGACGAGCCTCAGCCTAACGAAATGAGCGTCAGCTTCGTCTCCCCAACGTCCTTCGTCCTAACGTTCATTACCTTCTTCATGTAATCCGTTATTGTGTTTTCGCTGATAAACTTCTCACTCTCCATCTTGTAATATGCATCGGTTTTTGCAAGGAATGGTACTTCAAAATATCTTTTGTACACGTCCAAGGTGGACTTTGTAGAATCGTTCTCATCCAATCCCAGCGATACTGTAAACACGGTGAGATGAGATGATTCCTTGCAGAGCCGTGCCAAAAGATAGAACAAGGAAACAGGAATACATACCGAAGCTTTCTACAACATTGTAGATCAAGCTGGTATCAATGGTTTCCCCATTCCGTTGCCTTTCGATGAGCTTCAGCACCGCGTCCATGACCTTCTGCTGCACCGTCCCGGGGCCTCCACCAAAGAAATGGTCCCGCCAAGTCACTAATGTCAACTGTAGACAGTAGTGCACGCGTCAACATTTGCCGCGAACAAGTTAGAACTTTGCGAACGTACCGTGTAAACATCATAGATGGTCTTGTGACCTTCGTCTATTTCTCGCTTGACCCAATGTCTGTTCAGGTAGCGGAAAATGTGATGGATGTACATGGTAGCTGTCGTGTATCGTTTCCACTCGCGGGTATAGAATGTCAACAAGTCCTCGTCCATCTGCTGGTCTGCTTCCGTTTTCAAGGCATCTAGGTGTTGTTTTAGGTATGCTTTCAAGTTGATGTACAGATCTGCTCCCATGAGGTTCGCTCCTGTTATAATAATGCATGAGGCACATCCGGCTAGGCAAGAGCGGCTTGTCGTAAACTACCTCTATTTGACGAGCTACCACCGATTGGCTCGTTATTGAGGCCCGTATTCATGCGACTGCTTGTGCAGTAATTGTAGATCAGTCTACAGGTATACCGGATCTCGTTAGCAATAGAAAAGCGCTAAGTGAAGTATATGGAAGACAGTCATGACCCTATCGAGGAGCCAATCTCTGCGAGGAAACCCAATTGTTGTATAGGTTCACAAAGCCAGGTCGCTTTTAAAGCTCCGAATCAGGGTTAAGCGCCAGATACGCAAACCGCATGAGTTGCTTTGGCTGCGACGTTTCCCATTGCAGTCCAACCTTGGGAAGACTACCAAATCGCCGACAGAAACAAACAATGGAATTTATACTTACGTATAGAGGTCCATCCACGTGCCATATGATAGACCATCGCGCAGCCTATTCATAATTCTATCAACCCCCGCCTCCAGCTTTGGCCAGGTCGTAGCCAGGTCGATTGGTTGGGCTTGTGCGCCGTATGCCGCCATCTTGATAGCGACCTCCGATACGTCGGTAATCCGTTTGGAAAATGATGCTGCCACGTAAGATAATACAACCAGCAGGGTCAGAGAAGCGTTCAAGGGTTGGTCAACGATACTGATGGGCACGGTCCTTTAGCTGACAAAGGGAGATGACCAACTGCAGTTGATTAAACTCTGGTGGAGACAAGTTGGGACATTGGCCGAGTTGATGTCGAACTCCATGGCATTGCCACAATGATGGCACAGCCATATAATTGGCTCTGATCTGGTAATTGCTTGTTGCTGGGAAGTTGTCCCAGCGATGATTTAATGGAGCGATTTCGTTGGAGAGTTGCAGAGGGCAGGGGGTCAGCTGTTGATATAAGAGGGCTACAATTCTACCATGGCACGACATGTGCTCTTTAGCCTTGATGAAAAAGTTGACAAGCAAGACCCAAGAGAAAAGGTGCTTGAACGCTAGATCGTTTAGAGCGTTGATTGGGATGGACGAATTCGGGCTGAATTGGTGCTTGCTTTTGTCCACCTTTGAAGGAGCTTCGTGCAGCATATGAGTTTGTGCAGGAACTTCGCAGTAACAGAAATGAAGGAGACTTCCTTCGCGTGCTACACGAACAGGTCCGTTCCTTGCTTGACTCCGTGGAGCCTGCAAAAGCAGAAACCATGCCTCTGAACGTGCTCTTTGAATACAGATTGATTCAAATAATGATCAAATCAATGGCGGCCTCCTGTATGGTGCTCTGACAGAGCAGAAGTCCTCACAAGTGAGACTTCTTTCCTGGTTTTGACTGGATATGCGAATATGTTGGCTCAAGTTCAATCTGCCATAGTACGCTACCCTTCTGCAGCTTGTTGTGACAGACAACTTCAATTACATCATCACCAAGCTATTTGCTCTCACCGAGGATGTGGACCTGGTTAACTTGAGACCGTTTCGGATGTTACGCTCTCATGTTCGTCTTAAGGTACCTGTCATTTGTCTAGTGGCGACGTGGTCCTCAGGCAAAGCACTAATAATCATCACTCTGTGGTAAGATTGTATGGCTTGTTGATAAGATTGCCGAAACAAATCTGGAGCGTGTACAGTCTCTCGTCATGCTGCTCACCCGGCATATTAAAAGTAGGATACTAGTGCTCTGCCATAACGGTTTCTCATTGTGCTCAGGCCAGTATCAGGCGGTGATCCAGCCGCGGAAAATATAGCTTTGGCAAGGGGATTAGTGAACATCCTGAATCGCTATTGGTAGCGTACCATATCAGAGATCCTAAACCATCAACTTACTGACATAATGACACAGGAGGCGATTAGATACACGAAGCGATATCATACCTACCACTGTTTATTCATTTCTGCGACTTATAGCTGATCATTCCCAAGAGCTAGACCTGCGGCAAGCGGAGGTGGACTATGTGTGCACAATGATACGCAATAGGGTAATGTTAGAGTCTGGGTGTCATCGGAGTCAGCGGTTGATATTGACATGCTTCGCATCGTAGTTCCGGGATTGTCTACGTATCGGCAGGGATCTCGTACGACTTCTGTTAACCGTGAGCCGCATTCCGGGCATTTCTGATATACTACGTGATATGTTCATATCCCCGAAGCAGCTTGATCCAAGTTTTGAACGTAAATACACATCTCTTCGAATGGCGTATTCTCAATCATACAAAGGACTTACTGATGTCTACGTGAAGGTGTGCAGCAATTGTTGGCTACGCCCAGTCCGCCGTTCGTAATAGCCCAACGGATAACTCCGGAAATGGATATCAAGATGCGGTTCATCCTCGATAAAGTATGCTACCAGAGAGTTCATTTGATCCTTGTAACAGGAACTTACTTTTCTTTTGCTCACAGGTGAAAACCAAAATGAAGAGTGTGGCCATTCGAAATTACAGAAACGTGTTCCTCTCGAATACGGACGAGTCCATTTATGTAGATCTGATACGATTTATTTGCACTGGGATACAGCCGCCAAATACTATCCTGGGATCGAAAATCGTTCAGCGCTGGGAAGTCATCCAAAAACTGCTCAGTGGAATGAAGGTAGGAGTACCCCGCTAATGTTGCGAGGTAGCGAGCCGTTCATTCATTGTCGATGCAGACCTCTGTTGCGATTCAGGATGTGAAGCTAGCGCTGTTCTTTGATTGGCTGTTCTGGAATCCTGCGCATGATAATATCATGTATATAGGTATCCCTACAAGCGAGAAGTCTTTGGGACGTGTTCTCTTAACTAATTTACGGGCTCAGAACCGGCAATGCTGATGATGGAAAGGGCGTGTCAGCCGCCTTCCGAACATCCTGTGATAACAGCGACGAGCATCGAATATCTTTATTACGTTGTGGACAATTATCTGCCAAAAATGGCGTCCGAGATCCGAAGAAACCTGACATTTGCGATGTTTAGTTTGGTGCAAATGGGCGTAGTTAGGTGACTATGCTGGAGTGTCTACTATATCATGGAAAGTGTTTATTGATCCATCTTGAAGATCTTTGCGACGAATCTATACGGCTCCTAGTCTAGAACAGGATACCCGGGAGCAATTGGAAAACCTATTTTCACAATTTACTCAGTTGAACGATGGTCAGCGTCCACCTATCCCTTCTCTTCTTACGAGTGGTGAACTCCCTCAACAGGTTTGTTTCGAGAATTGGATGAGATCGCTTCCCCTACAAGTCTCATTTATAGTCTCACTCTGTTTCTGCAGACTCGTACAACGACGCAAGGTGGGAGATCCACGCATTTTAGATGAGGCTCGAAACGCTTCATCCTCTTCTTCTCCAGGAATGTCCGAGGCTCAGGAAGTCGCCTTCAAAGCCCTTGCTTCGCAGATCAAGCAGCTGAGATCGCAAGCCGCACCTGCCACTTACGCTGAGCTATTTCAGCTATTCGTTACGCCGGTAAGGTCGTCACGTCTCTTGAGCGAAATACTTATGCGTAACTGTAAATGCTTGTAGGATATCTGCTCTACAGAATGCATGGATGATATGTTTGCAGTGCTGCAAGCGACGCGGAATGATACCTTTCTCGATCACCTGGTGGCAGCATACAGTCGTTACCCGGAAGCCAGGCCCAAACTTCTGAACATATTACTTCGGGGTTACACTACAAATCGAAAGTTTGGTGGCTATTTGGGAACCTACGTGATGGGGTACGCTACGCCTGCTGCTTGAATGACTCGATTGGTTACAAAACTGATCTGTCTCGTCGGTTAGGAAATTGGCATTGCAAACCTCCGAGATCTCGGTGGGGCTTTACAAAGACCTTGCAAACCATATGCGGATGTCATTAGGTGACCGACTAGTAAAAGACATGCAGGTGCGCATCAGAAAAGCACGATTGCGATATTCTTGACTTAAATATATTACAGGTCATCCACGAGCAGCAGCAGGACGTGTTTTATGCCGATATATTGCCCATTGCATGCCGCTTCTTCCCAGACGAATGTCATTCCAATGTTGATTTATTGGACGTGACATTGTCAATCATAGATTTTCCCTTGGTAGGACCACATATTCAGCTTAGTGTCGCTGCCTCACACTAAGGCATATTTTCGTAGTGTGCACAGATTTCGTTGGCCCTTAGTAAGGGACAGTATCGATTATTCGGTGTAAAAAACCCGTTTGAAGTGTTAAGTAAGTGGGCATTGGCAGTGCTTTGGTTGGACAAAATGCAGGTCTCAACCAGCCATGTTTCTCCAGAGAGTTCCTTGGAAAACTGGGATGAGCTTAATATTCTATTCCTCTGGAAGCTGCTTATAGCTGAAAAAGGCGGACGGGTCGACGAAATTGAAGCCTTCATGGAATCATTATCGAACCTACCGGACTTGGGCAGTAAGTCAAGTATAAGGAAATCAATCATAGGGCCGTGTATAAACTGATCTTTCGCACATTAGATTCATTGGCGACAATAGATGGGTTGATGCAACTCTGCAAAACGGCACCTGCTACCCCACGTCTCATGCTAGCAGCTCTTACTCGTCATGATTTAAATGGCCAGGATTTGCTAAAACATTGGTGGACATGTGGAGATCACACTAAATTCAGTGCCTCTCTGGCTGACGCGCTCATTCGTTGCAAAGACCTGGATATGGACACCCACACAATGGCGGAGACACAGGGGCGACTTCAGATACTACTGAACCATCTAGCTAGCTGGAAGGCTGATTACATGGTTTTACCGGCCGACTCAGAAGGTACGAAAATCCAGCGTGACAAACTTTTCTAATCTTGACTAAGAATGTCATTAGATTCTCCGTTCTCTAGCCCTCTGGTGAAAACTGCCCTGGCAAATAGTTTGATGGGACTTCCATCGCTTGCTGCGTACACGATTCTCCTTCAATAACAATAATCATCACTAGCTGCAAATAGTTGGGCAGGGGATGCCATGACCACACGCGAAATGTGGGAGGACGCCCGGCTATCTACGTTCGAGTAGCGATCAAGCCGCTGAAGGCATCTGACCTACGACTAGCACCTGGCATAGTACGATTAATCAATTGTTGATTGCATCAAGCACGAGTTAACGTGACATCTTCGCGAAGAAAATACATCTTCTTCAAGCAGCCGGTCATCAATTCGCCCTCTAAAATAATCCATCGAGAACGCGAACGATCGCACGACACACATCCACCAGAGTTTTACCCTATTTCTTTACATGTCCCAGCATGGTGGGCCTCGCATGGCCTGTTTTGAGCAGTAATTTGCGGCTAGAGGAACGGATGATGCGTGTCCGAGTGGCATATTGAGTGATGAGCCATGTCCCAACTGTCTGCAATACATAACCCTTGTAGTAGCTGGCATCATTTCTCAGTCCGTTGATAATTTTGTGAAGTTCAAATTCGGACATGATATCTTACGTCACACCATTCGAGAGTGATCAAAAATGGCTGCCGAATAATGGCGAATGCGCGGCGCAAGGCCGCCAGCACTCCAACTGTCCAAGATCATTTATCTCCAATTACGTTAAATATCTGTCAAACTCGACAGTGGAATAGCCATGCAGATACATACGCAACCACCGTTTACGCATTCTGCTCTCGGTTCGTCAGCTAAATTCAAAGATCGGGAACACCAAAAACAACATACGAGAGGGGGGGGGGGGGGGGTAAGGAGAGACAGGGGCGCGCTGTTGATGAACGCGTGGAGTGTGCTGCGCGAACACGTTTTTTCCATGGCCCCATCATCATCACACCGATAACAAAACTAGTGTGCAAAGGACGGAAATAACAACCTCACATTCGTCCATACCATATGTCATTTTCCGCCTTGGCAGCAACTGCTGAAATCAACATCTACATTGGTCCATAATAGATTGGTCCCTAAGGTAAGACTATCCTCGTTTTTTGCACAATTAGTTTGCAAACAGGTGCAAATCAGCCTTACAGTAGAGTAGAGCTCTTTTGTTGCAAGATATTCCTATCCTCAAGCACGAAGGCAAACTAGTCCGCAAATGCGGCATTATTCGTCAGTCTGCACTCATTAATTGGTGGGTTCCGTTGATTCAGCTAGTCGATTACCACCATTAAACCCTTATTAACACCTCCGATCAGACACCGCACTCGATATCCTTTCGCAACTTCAGGCACCATGGTTAGCTTTTACCTTCTCCACCGCGGCCTATCCTATTTCACCCTGACGGGGACAAACTTCCTTCCCCTAATAAAACACTCAATGGACCTCTACTACGCCAAAAAGTATGCGGGTGTGCCCTGTGAAAAGCCCTGGTTCAAGTATACGTGTTTCGATGATTTCGCTACAGATTGGACATATACAACCGAACTTGGATGCATATCAGTCATTGCGTTGCTGACGGTTTTGATGTTGGGATTCCACACTGGGCTCGCGATCTACCATTTCGCATGTAGCTGTCGAGGAAAATCAGAGGGCTTTCTAGCTGGGACAGAGTTGGGATGTTGCGGAGCTGCAGCAGTGATCATTAGTTTTGCGGCGTATGATGCAGAGGTGGATAGAGCTGCTGGGACAGAAGCGAAATGGAGACGAACGACGCGCTTCTTGACTGCTATATTGCAACTCCCGCTGATTATTGCAGCGTGTGTAGCTATCAACATCGTAACGGGGTCAGAAGCTTGGGATAGTCAGCGAAGCAGTTTGTGGTTGCTGTTAGTGGTTCTAATGTTGAACTTGGCCAGTTTAGTGGAGAATTTATACGAAGGTTTACTGATGATGAAGTAAGAAGACATTGGGGTGATTAGTGGGCGGCCGCAAATAGTAGTAGCGAGTGCAGTGGTAGTTGTTGTTGATACGTTGTTTTCATGAACAATCCTATACAATGTTTACTCCTATGACAATCACACTGACCTATATAGCCTAAACGTCCCACTATTCTAGTACAGCGTCCACCGACTACTCTGGGTTCGGGAATGTTTCCCACTTGGGCAGCTCGTCTTGGGCGTCCATGACCCGCTCGCTATAAAAAATGTGCCCATTGGCAGCCCAATTTCCCTCTGCCTTTCCTCCTGGTAGGGAACCTGCCATAATAGTCGCAAACTTTTCCAGAAATTGACCAGGAGTTCCAATCCCGCCAACAACTGAACCACATCTTGTGCAGGATATCCTGGTGAAATGGTCGGTTGTTGGATACATCCCGAGTGCGGAAATCGAAGATGTTAAGTCGCCCTTGTCAGGGCTAGGATTGAATGTCACATATTCTTTAGGGAAGCCGAGGTCATGGACAAAAGGCGCACCAGTAATGCGCCGGCAATTTGAGCAATGGCAGTCTTGTTCATGTCAAAATTTTGCAGTTCAAGGACTTATAACAATTTGCACTTACAAACAGTCCAAGCTGGTTCGGCATCTGCCGGGATACTGTAAGTAACGGCTCCACAAAAGCAGCCTCCAGTCGTCAGAGATTTGGGCTCGTCAGCCGACGACATTGTGGGGACCTGAGATGGCGTACAGTTGCGCGTCTTCCCCACACTGCAAACACTAAAAGGATAACTTGCCCTCCAAACAAGCATGACAGACCCCGACAAGGAGCTACGAGAGCGGTTCGAGAAATTAAAAGTGGATACAGCAAAGAGCTCACAGTCGTTGCCCAGGTAAGTTTACTCTTGGCGGTTTCTTATTCTGGTTTCCGAGTACTTACGAATTGCTGGCATGCTAGCGACGAGGAGTTGTACAGCCGCCTAAAAAGTCTCACGGGCAGTGACCCGGTAGCTTCCATTCGCCCCCAGCCATTGCCGTCAGAGAGAAGTTTCTCTACAGTCGGCGACACAGGGCATCTTGAAGCTGAAATTGCGGCCCTACTCCAAGAACCTCTCCTACTGAGTGACGTGGATATTGATATCGCTTATGAAAACGAGCGCATCAGTGTGCCTCCCACACCTGTGCCAGGAGAAGGGCACGAAGCTTTTAACAATACTGATGGCGGGAAATATGTCGACTATACAAATTTACTGCTCACATCGCCGACAAAATCCAGATTAGAACGACCAGATGTGGGCGACGACCCTGCTGTTGCTTCTTTGCTACAAGAAATTCAAGAGGAAGTTCAGCTGGAGAAGAAGTATGGTGTCGTGGCGGGTGTTGCAGATAGTGAATTAGAGAAAAGAATGAAAGGCTTGCGGGAATTCGTGCCTCCGTCTCGTGGCGCTAGCCCATCCGTCGAAGTTACAGGCAAAGAGGGCCCTGGCAAATCATCCGATACCCATCCAAAGTCGCAGCTTGGTCTTCCACCCACTCCGCCATCATTTGATGACTTTGTAAACGAAGAAGACATGTGGTGCTGTGCGTATGACTTACTTTCCTAATAGTGGAGGACACTATCTCATTCTTTGGCCCATTTTAGGCATTTGCAACGATGACGCTACCGTCCGGTGCAAAGAGTGTGATGATGATCCATACTGTAATCGATGCTTCAAGGAGGGTCATGAGGATGATTACGAGCTGAAAAGGCATGTTGCAATAAAGATCGCGAAGCAGACGCGGAAACAAAGTTGAAAGAACAGCAAAAACATCCGGTATCTATACGTAAAATATTGAGGACACCACCTCAATATATATGGTTATGTAACTCCCTGGGAGAAATGTCCCAAAGAATTGTCCCAAATTGAACCGACAAAAGTATGCCTTTGGACAAGAGACCAACGATGAACAGCACCATCACAGTATGTGAATTCTGATTTTTGAGCATTGTAAGAGTATTGGTCGTCCTTTGATGGACCGCATTGCGGCATCAGGATGAACCAGTTTCGGCCAAAGCTGCAATCAAAGCTGCACCAGTTCCCGACCCATCACGTGCTACCAGCGGGATTTAGAAGTGTGGCCAAATCATTACTCTGCAAGCCAACAACCACCTACCTTGTACGAGTAGAATATGTTCCGCATTGATTCCTAGCAATTCACGCAGAGCATCTGTCATGCGATCTTTCCAGTGGGGATAGTGCTCGAATACTGATCCATCAACTGCCACCGTACAGCCGTCCAGTTTGTTAATTTTGGTGACAATGCTCGCTATTCCGACTGCTGCGAGTCGAGCGGCACGCGTGCCGATTAGCTCGCAGATGCGCTTGACCAAACGACGGTCGGTAAGTGTGGTTTTCTTCACGCCATACAGGTCCTCCAAGATGGTTCGAGTGTCCGTTAGTTCCATACTGTGGTCACTAGTGTCGCGTTTCAGCAGAGAATCGATGGATACCATGAGAACAGAGAATCACACGTACCGCTCGATCCTGGACATTTGAGCTGTATCAAAGCTACCTCGTACCTCCAGAGCCGCGTGTCGCCGTCCACTGAAGAGCTCTCCAGTCGAGATCAGGTCAACCATGATCTGTCGCGTTATTTCCCCCAGGTACAATCCAGATATCATTTTCTCATAGGTTTGCTGGCGAGGGTTAGGAGACGCCCTGTCCACCCTCAGATCGTACTCAGTAGTGGGCAGAATGATGCCGTCTTGGCCCCACGCGCCCCACTCCATATTAATGATCATCTGTCCAGTCGACGTGGGTCCACCCTTCCATTTTGGGATATTCTCCACACGTTCAACGTATGCGGCGTTACTACCTGTTCCGAGGATAACGCCTAGATATGTGGATGTGTCCAGATAAGCTTGGGATACCAAGGTTCCCACCGTATCGTTTACGAGTGCTGTGATGGTAATCACCAGTCCCTAATGCCTCATTATGTTACAAGCACGTCCAGATTGTAGCACATATGTAGGAGAGAGTTTTTAATCATTACCTTTCTGTGGAACGCGTCTTGAAGCAATTGAACAGCATCCTCGCCAACCACACCCTGTGCAGTGAAGCCCTTCGTCCACGATATCAGCACACCTGCAAATCCAATTGAAGTTGTCTCAATATCTGAGGACTCCTCATTGATTTTACTCACAAACCTTTGTTGATTGAATGTTGATCTACCGGGAAGGAGAACGTGAATCCCATCTTCAGCCCAGCCTTCTTGTCCAGGTTGAATTCATCCATCGACAGGCTCACACAGTCTGCGATGAAGTCAAAAAGGTCCGTCCCTTGTCCTGTCTTCAGGTCATCGGATACTACAAACTTCTTTTGTCGCGTCCGAACTTGGCCTTTCCCGCTTAGGGTAACTTCGCAAACTCTAAAGTTGCTACCACCCAAGTCCAGCGCCAAATATGTGCCCGTCTCGTCACCTTGAGGCCGACGAACCACGTACGAAGGAATCATTTTGAGGACTGCATTGTCCCGCTTTAGTCCCCTACCACGTAACACTGTTAAGTCGACTCATGTGCATCTCGGCTTAGCGGCAAAAAATCCAACCTTTCCATATCGCGCATGAATGCTTTCACAAGATTATGCAGCATTGACGTAGTAATGGTGAACTCTCTTTCTAGCCGCTGGATGGCGGTTTCCACCTGCCTTCTTGTAGACAATGGGTGAGGTTGCCCATCGTCTAGTATGGAGTTGGGTGATCGCTCGGGACCCAAACTGGTGAACAAGTATTGGACGGCGGCCGACAGAGCTACACCAGTGGTCAGACCGAATACAAAGAGTGGAATTCTGTTGTCTGCTGTCCACAATGGCATGTTTTTTAACGAGTTTTGTTGGGTTTGATGAGGGAGATGAGGCAGCGAAAGTTGCTGGGTCGTGTGGACGCATCACGCGCAAGCCACCCCCAAGGCACTGCGTCATTTGTCGGTTCGAATCAGCTTTAATGTGAAATAAGCTTATTTTGTGTAACGTTTACCTTAACTTTGATTATCAGATATGCAGATATCCACAGAACCTTGTGGCTACGATTGCCTTCGGGTAGAGATTGCTATCTACGTTTTCGGACCTGGCTATAGTCGGATCACTTGCCCACTTGTCCGTACTCTGACTGTCTTTGTAAAGGGCAGCGACCATTATATCAGGCTTTCTGGCTTATTTTGCCACATAAAATTTACAAAAGAGGCAAGTCGGGACCAGAGGTCCTTTTCAACGTTATTTAAAATAAGCGATAATAGGAGCAAGTTCCAAAACATACTATGCCCAACAATAAACTAACCTAAACAGGGGCTAAATATACTAAATAATTAGGTAGACCTAAGGGCGGTCCTCCTTCTGCACGTCTATGACATGGTCTTCTTTTGGCTTCCATTCATCATCTGCTGCGCTTCGTGGGGCTCTTCCTGGACTCTGGTAGTCAGCAGCCGCGGACCTGGACGGCGGAAGGAAACAGATATGAGCAAATTGTGGTCGCCGGTGGAAAATCTGAGATCACCTTACCCTGTATATCTCCGCAAAAACTCTAAGCTCGTTCCCAGCGGATCTTTCCAGAAAGGCTCATTCCTAGTCTTATATCTGATCAGACCGATCAGCGATAAGCTGTACCCAAAGGCCTGCAGATTGGACATCCCCGTGTGGTACACGAGTGTTGCGATAGCTACGATGCCAATGTCTTTGAGGAGACCGCATAGAGCCAGAACGAGGGTCGATGTTCTTTTAATAACAACCACTGCGGATACATTCAAGCAGAAGGAAGCTGCATAAATTGAAGAAATGAAAATTAGCCATCAGCTTTGGATGACAAAGGAGCCGCTGTTAATTACAAACTATCCAACTTACTTAGACCATTGAACAGGAGCACTCCAAACCCGACCTGCTTCAAGGATGCAAAGTCAATAGCCTCCGACTCCAACAAGAATGCAGTAATGATATTGATTGCTGCACAGGCTGGAGCAAAGTAGTAGAGACCAACAAGAGCGTCCATTTTGATGTCTCGTCCGCTGAGCAATTTCTGGATCATAACCAGACGCATGGACTCAATGCACAGGGCTACGACCTGTACCAGAAGGTTGTTAGAGCCACTCCTGAAGGGCGATTACCATGTTCCGCTGCCAAAAGTGATTTACCTGAAGAACAAAGCCTGTCATGACGAAGCGGATTTCTCCATACTGAGAGCAATCGAGTTAGTATTAGACATACGCAAGTGCCTTCAGCCGGGAAGACTCACCGACGCCAGTGCAATACCAAATGTGATGAATAGCACATTCAAAAAGATTCCCAAGTTGGGCTTCTCCGTGCCAAATGCCCATGACGTCAGGAGGACAGTCACTGGGGTTGCCGACTTTAGCATTTGAATAAATGCCTGGGGGTCAAATGCTTTAGCGCCTGTACGGAAAAAAGTGGTACCTCTGCACCGAAACAAGACCGTCAGCCACTACTCACCACCGATAGAAACACATCTAATCAAACAAAAAGTACAAAAGGTTAGAGATTAGGTCCTCATGCGCCACTTGCAACCTGGTCCATGCTTACAGGCGTAGTTGCCGCACACCAAGGACCCTGAGAAGAGGAACCCGATAGGCAACACACTGGTCGCCCATTTGGACCACGTTAGCTTCTTATTCACTTCATCTACGCCGTCCAGTAAGTGTGTATAGCGACGTAATAGGCGAGTCGCCGCTGTTGCCAGCAAGAGATGCCATGTTGTAAGGAGAACTGGGTAAGGGAACTTGAGCTCAACCAGAATATATCTATTGGTGAAAATGAGCGCCGTTGAAAAGAAGAACCAGGAACCAACGAGCACCGCCGTAGGAACTCCTGCAGCCATGGCAAATGTTTGAACAGATCTCTTGAAAATGCTTTTGAAAAGGGCGAAAAAAGGATATTGGGAACAAAGGGGCGATGGCACTCGAACCAGTTAGCGTCAAGAACGCGAACGCCTGTTTGGATGATTTGCTTACCAGTGCACATTGCTTGGGACATTAGCCATATCGGATCGTTTCGATATGTCTACCATGAGTGCATCCGACCTTTTGAATACATTGCAGACGGTCGAGTTAGGTAAACGAATACTGTCTTCACTCCCATCTTGGAGTTCTGCCACTGATCTTGGTATTCTTACAGATCAGTATTACAGCAATTTCTCCTGTTTTGGGATCAACAATGTAGATTCTCTCCTCCAATTGACTATGCAGGACTATGCCATTGTGGGTGTTCATAGCATGGAAGACAGGAAAAGTGAGCCTTCAGATTGTTATGCTTTTTTATTTCCTCTTGTAGACTAACAATTATATGCTAGAACTGTAAGGCGTGATTAGGGTGGGGTGTTCGTCTCCAACGTTTAAACTAGTTGCACTCACCTAGTAAACTCTTAAACTGCATGCGCGCCCAGGTTTCAGCTCATTCAGACTCTAAAAAGTGAGCAACGCTGTAGGCTTGGTCGAGCTGGATTCTCTCAGCGCTAACGTTGTTATTTTTTGGTCCAGGTGAGCCCCAGTCACGTAGCGGCGATATCAGAGGCACCAGCGCGCTTCAGACTCTCAAGTCAGAATTCGGCTCGACCGGTTCCCTTCTGCCCAAAGTCGCTAGCGTACAGTCATCGACAGTACAGTATCAACCCGTGTCAACGAGAGCAGAAGCTCCAAGCGAGAGCGGTGTCCGACGACGAGCTAGTTTTGGAAAATTGCGACCACCTTCTTCATTTACGGGAGGATCCGCACCAGTTTCCTCGACAGAAAGTCTGACTGATGATGGACCCAACTTGTCGGGAAGGTTCGGATACAGTGACGAGGCGCCACGAACCCCGAAAGTTGTGAAGCGTCCCACCAATACGTTGAATGCTTACGGAATACCAATAAACTCTGGTGGACTAAGTACTGCGCGAAGTTCGTCGCTGTCAAGTTTGAACGACCGTATCCGTGTCTGGTGAGGACAAAGACCTCCAGTCTTGTCGCAACATAATCTGATATGAAAAATCACTCGTGTGACAGTGTGCGAAAGCGTCCTCTCAACAAGAAGGAGCAGAAGAGAAACGAAATTGATATTGCTGCGGTTAACGGGAGGCGAACGATCTCCATTAACGAGCCCAAGTAAGGATGCAGCTTTTGATGTCAAAAATGTATCATTGACCGCCCGTGATGTCTATAGAGTCAAGGTTGATTTGACGAAATATGTGGAGCAACACGAGTTTATTTTTGATGAGGCATTCGATGCAGATGCAACCAACGATGATGTACGCCTTTCTGATTTCTCAGCCAATCGAAATTCTGTTTGGTCTCTTATTTGGACGTGGCACAGGTTTACAAGCGCACGGCATTCCCACTTGTCGAGTACATTTTTACCGGGGGGAAGGCCACATGCTTTGCATAGTAAGTACTGTTGTCCTTATCCGCTGGCACATTGAAGCTTGTTGACATGCGCCCTCCGTTTTAGCGGTCAAACTGGTACGAATTCAAAAGGGTGCTACCTGCACCATGTGTTATTTCATAGAAACTCATCAACAACTCTCAACCACAGGTAGTGGAAAGACATTCACGATGTTAGATGAGAAGGACGGACTTTATGTTAAGGCTGGAAGGGACGTGTTTGCCACTCTCAAACAGCCGCAGTATGCCCATCTTGCAGCATGGGGCAGCTTCTATGAGATATATCAAGGTCACTTGTACGATTTACTCAACGCTCGGAAGCGCCTATATGCGCGTGAAGACGGGAAGCAACAAGTTTGCATCGCCGGGTTAACGGAGCATGAAGTTAGCGACGTTGACCAGCTGATGCAAATTTTTGAGTATGGAAACAATGCTAGGAGCACAGGTGTGTATGAAAGCCAAAGCTTATTTTACTGTTTATCTGCTTATATGTCGTAACTAGGGGCCACTGGCGCAAACGCCGACTCATCTCGGTCGCATGCCATTTTTCAAATCGTTTTAAAACATAAAAACAAGAAGAAGATCGAAGGTACTCTTGGTCTCACGTCCTATACTAGCGACCACTTGCCTCTCATGCTTCTTGGTTTAATATCAAAAAGGAAAACTAAGCTTCATCGACCTTGCGGGCAGTGAGCGGGGAGCAGATCGTGGCGACGCTGATACCAAAACAAGGTATAGAGGGCACCTACAGCATCGACACACATGTGTTTCTTAACCCCTTTTGCGGGTCATAGAATGGAAGGATCCGAAATCAATAAAAGTCTGTTGGCTTTGAAAGAATGCATCCGAGCTTTGGACCAAGACTCGAAGCACACCCCTTTCCGTCAAAGTAAATTGACTCAGGTGCTGAAAGACTCTTTCATTGGGTAAGACTTGCTGTACAGTATATATCTGGAGTGTAGTCTGGATATTCATGTCTCGTGTACTAGAAACTCGCGCACATGCATGATTGCGACCATCTCTCCAAATATTTCCAACAGTGAACATACTCTCAATACTCTACGATACGCAGACCGGTAAGTTTGTGTCTGGAAATCTCGCCATTGTACTTGACTCAAAATCCTTCTCATCGTAGGGTGAAGGAGCTGAAGGGTGACAGCCAAATCAGTGATGGAGAAGACCCCCAGGAGGAACACGTGGAATCCGAAACTGAGCCGCTATTGAGTGATACCGACGAAGGATTCATCATGGATGAAGAAATACCCGATCAATTGATGAGCGATGACCATGATGACCACCTGTTTGATGATGCGGATGATGAGTCTGCAGGGTCCGATAATCCGCCTCCTCCTCAGCAGGAGGCCAAACCGGAAACAACACATAAGAGCAAGTCATCCTCAGTCACGTCAAAGCCGCCTCTAGTACCAAGGACGAAGCACGTTGCCCCGCCTCGTTCCACATCGTTCAAAGCAAGTGAAGAGGTTTCACCTGTAAAAAGTGTCAGTGACGTAACACAGGCGGAACCTACTCCGCTTGCCTCCGAGGCGGAAATCATGGAGGACTTTATTCGGTTGCATCGACAGCATATCCGAGAAATAACGGAAGTCAACCGGGTAGAGAGCAAATTACTCGTCAATCTGACGATGAGGATGGGGAAGCAAGTTGGTGGCGAGCAATTAGGCAGTGTCTCGTTTGATTCATACGTAAAAGAGCTAGACGCACTGATGGAGAGGAAATTGGAGACGGTGCTGGAGGTGCGTAACCGGGTAAAGCAAATCGTGGCGGGACGACAGCTGGGATAGATTCAAAGATAAATTCATCTCTCCGTGGGGTGATGGAGTACCCTCAAAAATCACCTCGTTTTCAGTGTAAACCATTTTGTTTGTGGGACATGAAATAAGTTAGAATTTTGAACAAGTTTTTCAAGCGCTTATATACAGTTTGTGCTGAACGCTCATGCTGCAATATTAATATCCCTGTAATCACTAGCGTCCACCCAAGTCGATCGTGCTGACGAGGATAACATGGCATGACTGGTAAGAAACGTTCTGCCATCTCCTAAAAAGATAATGTTTGATAAGGCTCTCGACACATATTTACCCGCGCGAAATGCGACTTACCCATTGGAGGTATTGGGATTGGTAAAAGAATTGTCCACCATTTACTAAGCGAGATAGCTACAGTTAAAATTCCGACGAAAACACTTGATAACTCGCCTGGTCGACTCACTATCTTCTGCCGATATTAAAGAAAACCTTAAAGTTCCGCCTTGTCCCCAGATCGTACTAAATATCGCCAATTACAAAAATGATAGAGAGCGTTCATCACCGTAAAGCAGAACCATACCTCGTTAATAAAAATCTAATGATTCATCGAATGTGTAAGTTTAACAATAGCCATATACCACCAAAATCGATCATACAACGTACATCTCCACGCGACTTTGCAATCTCCCTCGACGTCTGGTTTCCGTAGTGCTCAATCGTTGTCTGGCCTATAAGGAAAATCATATCATTACTTCATTTTATCCTAGTCCAAAATGGTGATTAAAGAGCTGCACGAACCTGTGGCTATTAACCAGGTATGCCAACCCGCCATTCCGCCGATAGCTAGCCCAATGGCGCCAGCAAGGAGAAAAGAGAACACAAAGCCCATCCGCGCTTGATCGTATGGCCATTTAAACTGGAAGAAAATTGGTGACATGTTGATATGACTGCAAGAGAAGAACAGTATCCTACCCCACCGCTTCCAAGAATTTCGTAGCGAAAGAAATTGACGGATACAACAAAGTAGTAAAGACATGCCACAAACATGTACATTAAAAATAAGTAGAAGTATCGGTGGTTGTAGAAGCCGACACTAGGTACGGAAAAGAAGGGGACCAGTGAGCGATGAGCCATCAATGGTAGCATTAGGTTCGGGCGAACAGATCGCTTGGACAATTACCAATTATGTATCCACTGAGGAGATTTGTGACGATTGAGTGAGATCTGGTCAAAGATGTGTCGCCTCAAGCCCTACAATGCCTCACGACTTACAGGACAGTGATGGTCCATGCGAAGAACGCATCTATCGGCAAGCAATCAGGATAGAACAAGACATATAATTAAGGATGCGATCCGGACCTTTGGCAAACGCTACAATGATGAGCTCTGTCGGGTTTATGTCGGCGGCCTGAGGTTAAACATTGATTGAGCTAATGGCAGGGTTAACCTGGAGCGGATACTGGGAGTTGCATACATTTTTTGCAAAAACGGCCCTTGGGTGCTCCTTCTTGATTATCCCTATTGAGCGGTATTCGTTGCTCCTGCACAGGTTCTGTTCTGACTTCGAACAGGACCATATCCTCCGAATTACGGTCACGCTCCTGGACATTGTTAGTAAATAATAAGAAAACCAGATGATCGGAGGCCCCGTATCAAAACGAAGCGAAAGCCTTTAATAGTGCATGCGTCTTACAGTGTCATTTGCAATAATGCGCGGACGATCTACGACTCGACCAGGATCCGTCATGATGCACATGTAATAGTGAAATGCCAAACAGGAGAGTAGATAGATAGTCCATATCACAGTGGCAAGTCGAGCTAGGCGTTGTGCTGGGGAAGGTATCTCATCTTGGCCAGGAGATGTTTGAAGTGTAGGGAACAAGAAGGGAAGGTTGACGGTATAAAAGATATATGCCACTAGCGCGACCAGAGCTACTGCGATGAGTATAAAAGCGGGACCAGCTATCCATACGAAACCGTTGAAGCAGCGAAGAATGCACCCTTCCAATCGCAGCAGCGAGGATTGATATAATATTCTCATGTTTTCCTTGTCCTCCAAAGGAATATATCATGACGAGTGGAAGGATGTCGTTTGGCTCTTGGGAACGGTCTTGGTCACATGATTATATTCTGATGCCTTTGCTGACGCATAATTCCAGCCTTGTTGATATCATTGGAAAAGCTAGGAGAAACTGCCGGGGCTGGGGCATTACTGACAGCGTATCGCAGTTCATGATCAGGTTGAAGGGTCAAGTGCCAGACTAATGTAGGATGTTCTTATTGTATACAAGATTCCTATAAGCATGACATACTTTAGCCCCGGAGATGGCGTTGCTGACGTACTTTCTAGATGGAAGGCGGCAATCTACCATTTGATAAATTCGTATTTCTGCAAGCTATATATCAGCGGTCCTCGGATTGAGAGTTTAATTCAAAAGATGGCCTTTGCGGAATGACTATGCAAGTCAGCTTCCCAACAAGATTTAACTGCGGCTCATGGTAGTTAAGGGTTTCTCCCTTTTCTAGCAACAGGAACACTGGGTGTTTGCTGACATTTTAAAGGATCAAAACATCGCTGCTAGCTTCTGCATTCTAGTTTCGTCGGGTATCACACTGCAAGGCGAATAATGACCGCGCTCACATGGATGTAGGGTAATTAAACACTTTTAGTAGCTGTCAGAATAGTCAGTTGGGTGAAGGCTGTTACCGTTCGTAAGGGTTTCATCCCGCAAGGCCCTGTATGCAGCTTTGATGTTGCATAGCAAATGTATCCTCGCACAGCAGAGTACCTTCAAACGTGTCCACTATATATCATACAGGTGGGAAATCAATAAATTAAAAGCCATGGAAGTCATTGACTGGTTCTGGCAGTCGCTCTGGAGAATGTTGAATGGGGCCAAAGAGACTGCTTTCCACTAACGCCTGGTGTAGCACGTCTGACTTTTCTTCCTACTGTCCGTGATGGGGTCGCTGCTGCTGCTTACGGTAAGGCACTGGACATTACAGGTAATGACATAAAAACGTGAAGCATGAAAGACTGATGAACGGAGAGATGTCTCTCCTAGTGAATTCTAGTGAATTCACGGTTGGATGTCGACTCTTGGTGGCCATGGCAACTACGACAGTGGCACAGACGTTTTTCATAGCGCGAACTCCGCGACTTTGAAAATTCAAGAAAGCTCCATTCCTCCCACAAGGGCCCTCCAAAGATGTCGCTCCTCCAGTCCCTCAAATCCCGACTACCCTCTCGAAATTGGTGCATATTTTTGGGCACTACATCAACTATCACGGGCCTCGCAATCTACGATAAATATCATCTTCGCAATGTGAGAAAAGAGCTGGACCAAAAGGCAGCCATTCTTGCGAACGAACCAATGCAGACATGGGAGGTGCCAAGGAAAGTTAAAGTATACGTTGCTCCAACTCACTGGGCAAGATATTGGTTCAAGCAATATATTAAACCTGGTAAGTGCGAAATTGTCGTCAAATATCCAATGCCGACATTTTGCTGAAACTACTGTCGTGATCTCGTCGCAGTTTTCGACTCTGCCGCGCTAGACTACGAAGTCGTCGAGCCAAAAGCCGCTGGACAAATTCACCACACTGTTCGTGATTTGATATGGACAGGAAAAGACGAGCAGCGAGCACTCCCTCCCGGCCACCGATACGAACCCAACCCATATGCTGCCTTGGGGAACCCTTTGGAACGTCCAAAATACTCTGCTGATGAAGGACTGATAGCGGTTGGACCAAACGCGTGGAGAGAAGTGCTACGGGGATTGAAGGAAGGGGCTCTAGCGGAACGCCCCCCACCAGCAGCAGTTACCCCCGTCGAGCCGACCACAAACGCAGATTCAGAGAAAACGGACGCGCCCTCCGATACCCCAAACGACGAAGCCACAGCGACACCCGAGCCACCACTTGAGCTCTCCGAACACAATCTTCCAAGCTTCCCTCTCCCCCAACTCGGCTATATTACCGGGCGAAACCAATCCGGCTGGACAGGCTTCCCAAGGCGCGTGTACGGATGGTTCACCGAACGAGACACTGCACGAGAGATTGGCGAGGAGGCATTAAAAGTTGCGTTCGGGCGCGTGCGAGAGTTTGACGTGGACCACGATCCCAGTTTGGGTTCGAAAGATGTATATGTTAACAAAGAGTGGAGCGAGGAGCAAAAGAAGTCAGCGGAAAGTGTGGAGATACCGAGAACTGTTGGAGAGAAACTGTATATTTACAATTAAGAGCTCGATAGTCATTGGATATTTAATCTCCCTTTGTGTTTAGATTAGCTATTTTGTTATAGGCATCGTAGCATAGCCCAATGTGTATAGTCAATGCATTACCCATCATTGCTGTTTCTTGTATCATTATTATTAACAAGCATCTGCATGGGCTATCGCCGGATGGAACTCATAGCTTTAGTTGTCAAGAGGCAGCATTTGCGCCGATTAGGCTTACGTCAAGAACAGTTTTGCACTGTTCAGCCTAGTTGCGCTCGGCACGCGCTACGAGTATCTGTTTCTACCTCTAACTACAGCAACAATGGCGCAAGGCGACAGACTCAACACGTATGTCCATCTTTGCATGTTATCACAGCCAGGATCGATTTCAGGTACATACCTCTCGTGCTGCTTAACCCAGGATGTTGAGTTGGGAGAGATTAAGCTCCTGGCCCTTTGGCCCATCACCAGATCCAAAGACATTTGAGTCCATAATCAGCCGAAGCACTTGTATTTTACAGGAAACATTACATGATATCATGAAATTGAACAATTGAACACTATTTACAATTCATTCTCGTTCGCAAATTACACCCTTACATGGTCGCCAATTGGTAGATTCTGTATCCCTTCTTTAGCAAGTACCCTAAGAAGCAATGCAATTGAGCACAGCGATGTATTCCATTTCAACGACAAAGATTACCTTGATTATTCAATGTCTCTATTAGCGTTTGGAAATTATCGTAGTTGAGACGCATTTCTAGATGTCAATGCATTTGTTATGACCTGCAGCCCCCTTATATACTTTTACGGTATAAAGAAGCATTTACCTTGAGCTACTTGGTGGAGATTTTCGTACGTGAATCGGTTATTACCGCTGTGTTGAGCGATTTGGTGTATCCTTGCGACAAATCTAGGAACCAAGGCGTTTAACTCGTGCGCAAGTACATTACAGGGTTAAAGGTACAGCAATCGTACCTTTTTGGTTCACCCTTTTTACTCATCCCGGTGCCTAGTTCGATAATTGGTCACAAAAGCATCATCCTTTTAGAGTTCGCTGCCCGCTGGAGATACGCACCATGTTGAGATCTATCAAAATCCAGTCCCCCCATCTCATCCTGATACGTATCCCATAAACTAAACTTCATAATTTCAACCACATCTTGTGCATCCTGAACCGTTACGCGGTCACGGAGAGCAGCACGGGCACGAGCTTCTGATAGGCGGATCATAGATTCAAGTTGACGTGTGGTGATTGGTGTGGCATCTATGGAGCGGTATTTGCTATTTGGAAGAATGAGTCGCGCAATCTTCGCCTAAAAGTATTTTTACGAAATACCTTCGGAGAGTAAGATAAAACGATTGAAGAACACTAGCCGCTTCGAATGTGAGACTATAAATGAAAATCATGATCGATAGGTGCTATCAAGGTACTCGCAAGCATCACTTTACGCACACGGGCTGTACATATCGCCGAGCGTAGGCTAGATACTTTCGCAATAGTGGAAACGGTATAGGGTCGATTTCATCCATTTGACCAACTTTCAGTCGCTCAGATAAAGGCCGATCGTCGTGTTGGGACTCTTCATGACCTTCCCCCGCAGCGCTCATTGTTGATGCTCAAGATCCCAAGAACATTAGATTCAAGTGTGCTTAAGTAGCTGTAGCTTAAAGGAACAACTCACCATACTTCTTGATGCCGTCTGACTGTTCCGTCTTTATAGTTCCAGAATGTAGCTGCCGAAGCATAGCACGTCAATGCACTTTATCAGTTCGTCGCAACATCGCGATGCAATACCTTTATGATGTGCTCTGATAGGAACATATCCATCTCCTCATCCGGTCGGTCAAGGAGAATGAAAACCAGATCGAAACGTGAAAGCAAGGCACTGTTCATACGCAGGTTCTCAGAAACTGTTTTAGCCTTGCTGACAGGTGTTCCAACATATCCGCAATTAGCAATTAAAAGTGGCATATCAAACGAACAGAAACGCACTTGTAGTGACCGCCAACCGGATTAGCGGCAGCAATTACACTTGTCCTAGCTGGTAAGGTGCATACAATTCCTGCCTTTGCAATGCTGATAGACTGTTGCTCCATAGCTTCCAGCAGCGCTTGATGTTCGGTCATTTTGTCAAACTCGTCGATACAACAGATTCCTTGATCTCCAAGTACTAAAGCACCTGCTTCCAGAGCCGTTTCCCCCGTTTCGCTATCTTTCACCATTGTGACCGTCAGACCGCTTGTGGTCGTTGCATTTCCGCAGACGTACACCCCACGAGGTGCGACCTTGCATACTGAGGAGAGCATTTGAGACTTTCCCAAACCCGGGTCACCTGTGCAAGTTAATTTACAACGTGTTCCAATAAATCCGGTTCAGGGCTAGAGCAAATCTACTTACCTACAATCAAAATATGTGGATCTGATCTAATGGTCACCTCTAATGATTCCACATCTCCACGTTGTCGCCCACCTAACAACGTCAACAGGAGCCCAGCTACAGTAGAAATTGGATGATTGACGACCTAGCCACCGGAGGCACTCAATATTCAGAGCAATACCTTTCACCATCTCGTGACCAAATATTGCCGGACACAGAGAGTTCACTAACAACTTGAACACATCTTTACTCCCCCAAATCTCCTGTACACCGTAAAGTTCTTTTTTTGAGAAGCGGATATTGTCCTTGGTGAATGTCTTTGCGCCATCATCGTCATTTACTGATGAATCGTCTGTCATGCTGTTGCCGCTGCCACCTCCAGCCTTCACTAAAGAATTTGCCGCAATATACAAGCTGTACATTTGAGTTGCTCGACCTTTTCCCTTTTCTGGAGGAAGGTCAGCAGAGGTTATTAGCACCAAAATATGCGCAGAAGATACCTTCATCAGAGGCCAGTACTTTGACTATGCCTGAAACGCAAACAACATCTCCGGGGACTACCAAATCAACCAAATCCTCAGTTAATTCGCATTCGACAGTGCGTGGAATTCTTCCAGAATCTATCTGGTTATCAGCCAGTTTTTCTTGGAGTCTAACAGCAAAGAAGCGTTAACGGGAGCAGACGCTTTCGTTGAAACCAAATGCGAAATTTAGACTCACCGAATACGCTGCCAATCAACCGATACGGCATTTTCAGGGCCCCGCTCAGGAGTAAACTTGCGGCTCTGACATCCATACCGGACACATTTGGAAGGTGTTTTGTACTGTCCATCCATGAACTTCACCGTTTGAATTTCATCGCAGTGACTGCAGATAAAAGACATTTCGCTGAGAACGGGTTTGACTGTCGATATCCGCACCACTGTTCCTCGTATACTGATGTATCGATCTGGAGGGATAGGTCAACTCAAAGCCGAATGGTGCCCATGTTGTGCCCACGTACTCATAAGGTTTGCTTTGAGATCCTTCAATGGTGTAATCTCATCAAGATTCACCAGTCGGACTGTGCGTTTGAAGCCTAGTCCTTGTGTAGAATTGACCTTGTCGATACCCATCCTTTTTCGAGTGTTTTCAATAACCTAAAGCCTGAATCAGAGCGAGCTACTCTCTCTGCACCCAACGTAATAGAAGCTCACTTCACTCGCTGCCAAACTCATGCAGGCCAAAGTCTCACTCGGCTGCATCCGTACGCGGCCTTCTAGCTCAGGCACTGAGCAGCTTGCCTTGAGGTGACAAAAATCGACCGATATCACGCATCGCTGATTATACAGAAGTTCTCCTATATGTTGCTTGATATGCGAATGAGCTTTGGCCAATCGATTGTGAGCCGTATGTGATAACGAGGTCTTGCTTACATCATGTGCTGCTCCTTCCGATGTGAAGATTCGATCAAAATATTGCATGAATCCCTGAATGATGGGCACAAGGTCGTGGCCCTCTACATATGTTTCTGTTGTTCCAACAGTCAGTTGCGGGTACGTGTTCAGTTTTCCAAGCGAGGTACTGACCAGCAGGAAAGTACAGCGACCAACTCGCAAAAGGACATAGTATGTTGCGCGCAGGTGCTGGCCCCCTTGACCCCGGCTCTCCTTCCATTAGTCCCAAGTCTGCAATAGCAGCTTGACCGGAAGACATGCCAGTGCTTGGTCTTTTGTGTTTCTTGGTTTGCGGCGCTGGTCGGCCTTCTGCCGAACGGGTCGACGAGGCATACCCTGCTGAATGCTCTGGTCGGTGGCCGTTAGAGTAAGGAGCGTGGCGGTTTCCCGTTACAGGAGCCTTTGCTTTGCTTGGCGGCATGTGAAATTTCCTGAGCTAATAGTCGGAGATCCTTTGAAGGCCGTGTGCGAAAGCTGTTGAGTACTTTAACCCAATTAAGCTAAAATAGACTGCACAGCCATCTGATATGGCAACAGATAGTGTGACTACGCCTCTCAAATGGAGGCACAGCAATTGCGCAGCAAAAGGAAAGGCAAGTCGTTTTCCATCTCCGCCTCGCGCCAAACAAAAAGCGCCTTTCTGCCCGCCTTGCCCTTGATACGGCCCCCTAGATCCCATTGCAGCCGTAGGTGCAAATGGCCTTCTTCCTGTTATTGCTTCTAGTGGCATTGGCACACAATGTGTCAGGACAGTCGCTCGCATACTTTCGGTCGGCAAAGTACGGTTTTGGCACAAACCCATTTCAATCTATTCGCTCGTAAGTTGTCGTCAACAAGGACTTTTTCCTGTATTGCACGTATTCACTCTCTTGTGCGAAACAGAATGGGCCTTGAAAACAATGCCTTGCTCTGCTTGGGACCGGCTAACCCTAGCAAAATCACGGGAGCAACATCAGTGCAAAACAACCAAGTCTGGGCCATTCAAACAAACGTTAGCTCGTCATGGACATGGGCATGGTCATCTCCAGACACAAATGATCAAGGAGCTTCAAATACCGTCTACACTGCGTTGGCCGTGAAACATCACCAACTCCAGACTCCTCAAAACCTCCTCTTTCTGGCGGACCGGTCTACGTCGTCCGTCACCGTTTTACCTTACGGGTACTTGAGTCCTCGGGAAACACCGGACGCATCTCGCCCGCCACGTCAAGTCAAACTAGCGAACGGTACTGGCGAGGTAACGGCTTTGAGTGCCCTTGATGCATATGGCGGATTGTACGCAGCATCAGGGACCAAGCTGTGGTGGGTACCGGTGGTGACACCTCTGACGGCGGATCCGCCTAGCGCTGGGAATACCAATTCTAGCATGGTCGGGGAGCTCCGGGGTACTGTTCAGGCGATGTGGTTGATGCAAAATTCACAAACCCTCTTTGTCGCAGAGGTAGGCATGAATTGTCGCGGTCCCTTACTTTTCCATCTAAAGAAACTCTATTCTTCAACAGTGGTTTAACAGCTCCAACAATATATGGAGATATGATCTTCGGGGCACGCGGAACCTCACGTCCTCCCAGGGACAAGTACTCATACGCATCAACTCGACCGCCTATCCTAATCCGCCGCAAGACCATCCCGTGGTCTCTTCCGTGATTCCACACCCCAAAACTGGTGACATTTACGTGGGCTTGTACGGGGCAGGCGGCGTGCTCATCTATGACACAACGGGAGTCCTCAAGGGTCAGATCACTACGACCTTTGTGAATGTCTTCACAATGGAGATGGATGAAGATGGATCGTTCTTGTATATTGCCGGAGATGATGGGGCGGGGAGTGGGCGGTTGGATTTTTTGGATTTAGGTCAAACAGGGTTAGCTAGTCGAGGTGTAACGGCGTTGGCTTCAGGGGCAGCTGGCACTGGAGTACCCAAAGCGCTGGTAGCGTTTTCGGCGATGCTCGCAGCGCTGACATGGTTCATCTAGCCCCCCATCAATTGTTATTTAAACCTTCATGTATTTACATATTGTATTTAAGTCGTCAGTAAATAGTGGCATTATAGTACATAATACAAAACCAAGTGAAAGCTATTGAATGTGATTCAAACTGCCTTCCACTTTGGACTACGTAACACATGAGTTTCGTAACAGACGTAACGACACACATACATTTGATTTGCAGGATAACCATGAATACGACTGCAGCGAGTGCACTTCATTCACAAGCCAGCTTGGCATCGAAGCTACAAAACTTTGAATAAGAAATGGCAACTCTCTGTCACCTTGTATCTAAGCTACTCACCTTGTCAACGCGATGGCAAATGCCTGAATGCACGACATGGGATACTGAAAATCAACGGTGAATGTATCTTCGCTTACTATTTCCACTCAAAGTAAGTCAATTTGCAAACACATTGCAATCAATGGACTCAATTTACCTCTGCCAAACTGCATGATAATATAATCCACTAAACAGAGTTCCGCATCAACAAAATGTCACAGGCGAACAGTTTGCGAGATTACTTACAGTCATTATCATGGACTATCTGGAAATTCTTGACCGAGGCCAACGTTACCCGTCCATTGAAATTCAACACAAACGATTGCGTTTCTACGCCAAATACAGACGGTAAATTTCCTCTGCGTACATGATCTACCCATACGTGAGAACTCACCATCATTCCATTGTGGTGCCTTATTGTGTAAGGTCAATATATCACGATCATTTCGAGTACGATATCGTCCAAAGAGCGTCTCCTTCTCCTATACAAGGTATCGTGAGTGCTAAACATATGATGTGAAGACTCATGATGATATACTAACATCGGACGGTCGTATATCAATCCGCTTCCCCTCACGCGTCATGGACGGAAGAATGACGGTCATTTTTCGAGGGCCCTTGAATCCCAAAAGATTAGGCTCCTGTGAAAATGAGGCATGTTAGTATAAAAGACTTGTCAAATCCATTCTCACCACACGGGCAAACCCACATATAATACGACCCCATACTCTTGCCGTCGTTCCTCCACTTTATCTGTGGCATTTACATTACTGCCGTCCACGCCATAGATCGCAAACGCTGTCCCCAAAAAATTTGATCTGGATAATCCAACTCAATACATCAGATGCCGTTATTATCTGCCAGTTTTGCAAAATGGTACAATCGTACCTTACAGAAGCCACAATATGGTCCTTATCACGTTTAGACGGAAACCGTGTCGTACTAATAATGTAATGTGAAGAGCTAGATTTCTTCCGCTTTCGAGCAGATAATATGAACACTTGTGACTCTTCAGATTCTTCGATGTACAATTCATATTTTGGGTATAATTTGTCGATGCCTTCCTTGCGACGGATAATTTTACATTGGAGCTTTTGGCCCATGGGTATAGGTCTTTGTGAAGGAAAGGTGTCAAATGACCAATTATAGACGTGTTTTTAGGAGCGACATACTTGAGAACAAAGGAATCCAGGTCCGCGACACCCGACGATCGTGTTGATACGGGTGTCGATGTTGGGCCAACAGGGTGCGGAGGCTCAAATGTATTGTCGAAATCCGCTTCTTCGCGGAGATGCTGCACGGAATGGGGATTTACATGGCGGACACTCACGTTTATCGTGTTGTTTGATACGTGGGCTCCACCTAGTGACTAGTAGGTTTGACCGCAAGACAGTAAGCATTTGAAATGGTATCAATTGGCTTGCAAAACTAACCCCTTGTCCACCGTGTTCGAGACCACCGTCCTGTGGCGCGTCCTCAACGTCAGACTCGGACGACTCTCCCTCTATATCGTCCAGTGATATTCGGTCAAACGTCCGAGAACTTGTCCGCGGTAGCAGTTGATATGGAAGCGACGAGCGGGACGCTCTTGAAGCAGGTTCTCTGGTGGCTTCTGGGGCAGGTGGCACAGGTCGAGATGAGGACCCGTTCGTAAAAGCTAACACATGTTCGGTTTTAGCTCGACCTGCGTTGCGCTTCGACCACGCACTAAGGTTTGTAAGAACAACCTACCCGCTTGCCGATCTGGATCCCTTTGCGGGAGGGCAGGTCCAGCCGCAGAGGACGAAGATGCACCTAGCAAAACTGGATCTGTGATATCTAGTACTTCAATAGCACCAACCGCGGCTTCTGACAGGTTGGCTTCACTGTCCAACCGCGGCATGTGCGGTCGGCGTGCCGCGGCAGCGAATTTTGCAAAACCAAAGGCGGACATGGCGGATGAAAAGCAATCTTCAGACCACTGTGCATTTGCCAAAGTGTCTTCCCTGCTGCTGAATGACTCATTTCCCGTGATCTGAGTCATGCAATCCGGATCCATTGTGGTTTAATATTTTTCCGATTTCATCACTGATAAGATCTTTTGTCGCCAACCGCGTTCCCCTGCAGGTCCTTCTCCGCATTTTTTAATTGGGGCACCGTCCGCACAACCTCGACCTTCCTTCATCTTCTCCTCCCGTTTTCTTGGGTTTTCTTGTAGGATTGGGACATTTCCAAAGTTATACCCCAAGGCTCTTTATCACGAACGGTTCCTCCTTGCTTGACTACCTTTTACCGTCACCCTTTCGAAAGCACGAGAAGCTGCCTGGACCTGATTCCCTTTGTCTCAGAATGTCCGCGACTGCCCAACACCGATACACTATGCCGACACCTTCTATCCTCACCCACCAACAGCAGCAACAGCAGTACAGCTCCGAGGCGATTGCTAGTGTGCAGCTGTCCGAATACCAACGTATCCGCAATAGTTTTGGCGCGGGAGCAGTCGCCTTAGCCTCGTCCTTTGCGGTCATGCACCCGCTGGACACTCTCAAGACCCGCATGCAGGCTGCGGCCGGGTCTGGACGGAATACGAATATGAAGGGCCTATTTAATGTTGAAACAATGAGAGTTTTGAGAAGAGGCTTTTTGGCCAGTGTTTTGGGCGCCGGACCGCAGGTTTGTTTTCCGCTGCTGTAGAGCTTCATTTATAAAGCTGTCATGTCTGATCTTGCCATCTCCAATTCAGGGTGGTCTACGATGGGCAACATATGAAGTTTGCAAAAGTCACATCACGTCAGCTTCCAGTGCGTCAACCGCAAATACCTCTCTCCTTCCCTCCTTTGGCTTCATGGCTACATCCGCAATCTCTGCCATAGCTGGTGACTTTGTGTCTTCCATAGTCAAAGTTCCACGCGAGGTTATCACCGCCCGTCTGCAAACAGGCCACTACGACAAGTCATCGCAAGGCCGTGCGACCGCCATATATGCTTTCCGAATGATTTTGAAGGAAGAAGGGCCAGCGGGCCTGTTTAGAGGCTTCTGGAGCACGACAGCTCGGGACTGGCCTTTCATGGCCATCCTTTTCACTACATATGACACCTTGAAGCAGTTCCATCACCGTCTCTCTCTTCCCTCTTCCTCCTCCTCCTCGGTGCCACCAACCTACATGCTCGACCCAATGGAACCGCAGGAAGTATCAATTACAACCGTCAAATCAACCCTATTTGGAGGCGTGGCCGGTGCCTTGGCAGCTTTCCTCACAACCCCCTTTGACGTAATCAGAACCAAGATTATGACAAGAGCCGATCACTCAAAAGTTACTATGGGGCAGATTGCCCGGGAAATAGTTGGGGACCAAAGACGAGTTTTGGTCGAACAGGGACGAGTCGTGGGGCCACGAGTTTATACTGCATTCTTTACGGGTGGACTGGCGCGGTCGACCTGGTGGTTCTGTGTTTGTTCCATGTTCTTCCCAATTTATGAACGGATGAAGGAGGTTTTTGATGATATGTCAGCTTGATTCTTATATTTGATAAATATATGATGCGGATTGACTAGTCTGTGTGAAGCAAGCTTTTTGTTGTGGTATTACGGGCAACAGTCCGCGTGAATTATTGCCATTGCAGCGTTTTCTTTCGTCTGGCTCGCTCTACCGGGAGTATAACATTGTGTTCGCAAGTCAATATCAACCGGGGCAAAATTGATGATGCATGTCCGATGTTTGAATGGTGTTGAACATGACTCGATGCACACTCTGAATGAGGACTTGCTTCATGCGAAACTCACAGTGCCTTGAATCTAGTCTGTTATGCACGCCTCTTCACCATCCACATGACAAGCGGCATTTGCTCAAATGCCTAATATTCGCCCAGTATGAGGCCTTTCCAATGCTCATCTATTCCGGGTGTATCCACTGTTTTACAAAGTTTCCCGGAACCATATCTTTATCTCCTTCCCCATTCCTTTCATTTAAAAGAATTTATTTAGCGTCCTTCTTCACCAACCCATAGTCAGCTGGGAAAGGCCATCCGAATGTTTCCCCGCGCTCGGCGAGACGGCGATGGGCCTCGAGTTTGGCTGCTTCGGTAGGTCTGAAAACGATTACTGTAAGTTCCATGTTACTCTAGCGTCGGGAGTACGATTCAGCGCTTACGTAGGTCGTGCGGAGAAAGCTTGGAAGATGAAAAAGGTTGCAAATGTGCCGTAGTAGCCAAAATACCAGAGAGGCTCCCACCAGTACCAATCACGTTTGGTTCCGTTCTATAAATTTAGGAGTTAGTCTCTACAAGTTAACAAAGGTTCTCTGGCAGCGGTCGTGCAATATCCGCAAGTCAATTCCTGTGCTAACAGACATTTTGCACAGTTTTGCCACGCCATTCAGTGCCGTCCACCAACTTACCGGCCTTCCCAAAAAGTACCCAGAAGGCTCGAAACCCCTCGGTGCATGAGCATGTCCGTGGCCCCTTCGAACAGGAACGAAAACTGCCCGCGGCGAAGCACGTACGAGTGTGCGTACTCCGAGCATTGGTAATTTGTGTGTGTGCTAAGGTGATGTCGTTACGTGCTAATTGATATCGACTTTGTGGCAGCCGGTGGTTTAGTCCCTTTGGCATGTTGCCATGGTGATGATATTACGTACACATTGCGCATCTAATCAAAAGTCCGCTTGGGTGCAAAGGTTCAAAAAGGGGCGAGATCATACAGCCAAAAAACGACGGTAGATGAACGCCCGCAACCGCCGGAACCTGCGGATCCTTTGGGGCTCTTGTTCTTCACGCGGCCGCACACACTACGTCTTGTAGACAGGGGGATGGCCAGAGCAGGAAATGCATCGCCAAGTCTGCAAACGAGCGTCCATAGCCGAATCTAACAAAAAATGGTTGATCAACCTTGCATTGAATATCTGCATGCGATCTACTCGTGCTTCCATTTGTTTGATTTGGAATGAAATCCCCAATACTTGCATAAAGCGGGACAAAAAGTTAAAATGGCGTAAGAAAGGCTCCGATGCCCCAGCAAGCCGCTTTCCACAAATTACAATCACGTGCCATTAGTGCGACATTTTCGCCCAATACTTCAAGTCCGCGGGGTCAGGAAACAGCCCTTTGTCGCGGTGCACAGCTGTTCGTCATTTGTCAAGCGGTTTGGACATGGAGCAGTCGGGTGCTTCGAGGAGCACGCAGAAAGTGAAGCATAAACCTTTTGCAGAGAAACCGGACGAAGTGTGGGCGTGCGACAGATGTATGATGCATGCTCCGTAAATAGGGCTCACAGCAATTGACTGTACAAAACTTGTTCGCGCACAGGTTATCGGATTCGAAGAAAGTGTGACTCGGCCAGACCATCATGTGGAGCATGTGCGGCCCGTGGAAGGGTTGGTTGAAGCTGGGGATAACGACAAGTATCTGCTACAAAGCTGAATATTGGTCATGTGATTAGATATGCGTGTATAGTCCACATAGTCGCTCTCGGGACCGTGGGGCCAGCGGAAGTCGAAGTCAGAATCGGGGAGGCCGACGCTATGATCGAACGGCCTATATCCGGATGCTGGAGTCCAGAGTGAGAAATTAAAATTTTGGTTTCCGTCATCCCTCAGAGTATAAAACATGCATGTCTTTTCAGGTGAGAGAGTTGGAGGAAATATTGATCGGTAGTAGTAGTGACACTAGCCGGGAGAGCGGCGAAAATGATACCTTGGTATCAGAGAAGCCACAAAACGCGACCTGTCCGCCGATCAGCGTCACGGGCCCGGAGACCGCTTTAGACGGGAACGATGCGATCGTTGCAGGAGTCTCGAACCTCTCCATCCGCTCCCCTGCTCTCATTGCGAGTAACGTCCCCTATAACATGATGTGCCCTTACGCTGTGGGCCCAATACTGGAAGGACCGATTGCCGACTGTGTTTCATCGCCAGAAGTGATCAGACACCTAGCCCAAGTGTTCTTTGAGTGTTATTACAGCGCCGCCACCATGCTACCGTTTCATGAGGCAACGTTTATGCGATCGTTACATCGACAGCCCATGTTTGTGGTTATGTCGATATGTGCCTGCGCAGCACCATTATCTGACCATCCGGCGCTCAAGGCGTACGCCGAAGCAAGAGGCTTGCCACCGTACATCGCCGCAGAATATTTCTTTTGGAAAGCACGTTCGATGATCCCACAATTGCTAGAGACACCGAACCTTGACACCGTTTTAGGGCTTGGAATGCTTTCCAGTTCCGCGAACACGCTCGGGTTAGGTGAGCAATGTGAAACTCCCTTTCCTATGCTCGTCTTTATCTGAATGAATCTCTACAGTCAGTGCTCGGAATTCAATCCTCGCTTTGTGCATTCGAATGGCAATGGAACTTCGTTTGAACGTGGATCCAGATATTGTTTCGGTGCATGGTCCGTTGACGTTTCTGCAAAAGGAAACTCGTCGGCGGATTTGGTCTTGTCTCTGGTTTTTGGAAGCTGTTGACACGAGCATGATGGATCTGCCACCTATTATCAAGGATGAGGATAAACCGGTGGTTGAAATAGATAATGTCCCTCGCTTTGGTGATTCTGTGCATCACTGGGCTGTAAAGTTTCCGGGCACCGAGTCGACGTGGCAGAGCATCATGGACGAAAACGACGAGCCACCCGTATCGAATGAAACTGAGCCTGACTCGATGACATTATGGATTGTTGTGGTTCAAATATGGACCAAGGCTTTCAAGTTTGCAGGAACGATTGGCACGATGGTGCAACGGGCTATCGACGACGGCCGGCGAGATCGCATGGCCAACGAACAGGTGAGCCCTGCGGGCGGCCCAGAGGCGCTTGCGAAGATTCTAGAAGAACGTCGCAAAACGCGGGCAGAGCTTGAACAAGCATTAGTCAACTGGATGAACTCGACACCAAGTTGGTTCCATAACATTGACAAGTGGGATCACTTTGCTCTCTCTCTCGTGTCCAAATCACCTCCACCCTGGAACACCCTCCACGCGCATTTATATTATCATTGTGGCTTTATCCTTCTCCATCTTCCAACTGTACTCGAATCCCATTATCATCCCAGCGAGAATGGATTGTCAGAGTCTGCTGGCGCGGCGTACGCAATATGTCTCGATCATGCTCGTAGAATTGCCCATTTATTGCGTAAAGCCATTCGACTCGACCCAGACGCGAAGCTCATCGGCTATTATAGCATGTGGTGTGTGTATTATTCGGCGTTGATTCTGATAATGGCTACAAAGACGACCGTTGTTGAGGAGGAACTGGCACAAGTGCAAAATGACTTGCAGGTTCACTTGAACTGCCTTCGTCAAGTGGGCCGACGGCGATATTTGATAAAGGTACGATTCATTCATCAAGTTTGTCTTTTTCAGAAAAAAAATTGGCGGCACTTGCTCATCTATGTGTTTCATTTATATCCAAGCACATGGAGGAGAATCTCCTGAACATAATAGCGGAAGGGGAGAAAGCAAATGGACCTATTCTTGCGGGATGGAGTCGGCAATAACCTGCTACAGCCAATGCTAAAACTAGCCAATACCCGGACTAATTCTGTATGTAGCTTGCACTTTTTTGAATTATAGATTAGTTTTGGGATGATCCAAGAATGCCTGTTATTTATTTGTAACTTAGTTCAGTATCAGCGGGCACAGTCACCTTCTGTAGTGGCTTAGCCATGATTTCAACACTTCGCAGGAGCTGTTGAAATCTCCAGCCTTTCGCCAGTTTTGGCATCTTGAATCTCGCCTTGCTCAGGTATTCCCATTGAAAAGCAAACTCTCTTTGCTGCATATCTTCCCAAGTGAAAGTACCTCTGGGTATCGTGGACAAACTCGTTGCGGCATCACCGGTGAACTTTCAAAAACGGCCTTTCTAACGACGTGCCGTGGAAGTCAAGTTTGCGAGGCGTGGACAAGCGGACCCGTGCGGGGCGTGAGTCATGTCATTTTTGAAATGGATTGGAAATATGGTGCGTTATTGGTTGGGTCCTATGCGAGCTGTGCGTGGAGGTGAAGAATTATAGTGGCCGTGAAACGGGTCGAAAGTTGGCGCGTATCGCATTTGTGTTGCAAGTATACTTGGAGAACTGGCGAGAGGGCGCAAGTACTGGGGATAAAGGAATGCACCAACTGGAAAATGAGCTGCAAATTGCTCACGCTGTCTTTTACTCGAACCTCAGGGTAGTGCCGGTGGACGGCCAAGCAGCATAACATCCGATTGGGCGAACACTGGCAATGATCGATACTTTGGTTTGGAAAATGTATGTGTCATTTTGGACGTGCCTTTGGTTTTGGTTTATTGATACTAATGCGGATGGGCGTCTTTGTTTTGCAGTTTGGCAACACTTGGTATGGAAATCCGTGATGGTCCAAATTTAAGCCGCGCGCGTTGGATGTGAGCAAATGACGCTAATGGCATATACGATTTCTCTTGCTTTCATGCACACAGCTACTGCAACTCGGTCGTGCAAGCCCTCTATTTTTGCAAACCATTTCGAGAATGCGTGCAAGAATATTCTTATCCCCTCTCAGCAGCGCTCCTAACCGCCGCGTCCGAGAACATCGCGCTACCACCATCAACACCAAACCTAAGAACCACATCATCCACCACATCTCTCAATGGCTACTTTCGCGCAGACGGATCTGGCAAGGATCAACGGTCGGGCTTAACAGATAAAGAAAATGGCGTCAAACTGGAAAAGAAGCGGAAAGACAGCTCAGCGAAAAGCTCGCTAGTAAATAAGCCTATTTCTCAGTCAGCTACTCCGCCAATACCGACAATTCTGGAAGGAATTGAACCTGCGGAGGCGAACCAGGAAACGCTATTGTCCGCCTTACACGAGCTATTTGTCAAGATAACATCACAAAAGAAAAAGACTGGTGTTGTCGCCCCTCAACAATTTGTGACGATTCTGAAAAAAGAGAATGGTACGGCTTTCGCCGCGTAAAAATGCAACAAGGTCTCAAGCAACGGCGCTAATGATGACACTTCTTGTTCTCTCTGACCAGAGCTTTTTCGGAGCACAATGCATCAAGACGCGCACGAGATGCTAAATTATTTATTAAACGCAATTGCCGAAATACTTTTGCGACATCGAAAGGAATTCTCGGAAAAGCTAAAGGCTTTGCCATCTGCCATAATACCACCAGCATTTGATACCGTCTTCCCACCAACAAACGGCACATTAGAAGAGCCCGTCGATAAACCCGCTAGCTGGGTCCACGCCCTTTTCGAAGGCATTCTTACCAACGAGACCAAATGCCTCACCTGCGAAACAGTCACCTCCCGAGATGAAGCGTTCCTGGATCTTTCCGTTGATGTGGAACCAAATTCTTCACTGAGCAGCTGTCTTCGTAACTTTTCGAAATCGGAAACCCTGTGTCAAAAGAATAAATTCTTTTGCGACACATGTAGAAGCCTTCAAGAAGCCCAAAAGAGAATGAAGGTGAAAAAGACACCAAATATTCTTGCGGTTCATCTAAAACGGTTTAAATACCAAGAAAAACTACAGCGATATATCAAACTATCCTATCGTGTTCCATTTCCTTTGGAGCTTAGGCTTTTTAACACCACGGATGATGCGGAAGATCCCGATCGGCTTTATAGGCTATTTGCTGTGATTGTCCATATTGGGAGTGGGCCACATCATGGCCATTACGTTACCTTGGTGAAGAGTCACGAACAGTGGTTGCTCTTTGACGATGACGATGTCTCGGTGAGTCCCACGCATTTTACTTGTCAACACCCGATCATGGCTCCAACCTAACGGTATCACGTATTCCTGTAGCCTGTAGAAGAATCCGAGCTCCAAAAGTACTATGGAGACACGAACGCTGTCGGATGTGGCTACATCTTTTTCTACACGGCTGTTGATTTTGACGCTGGCGATCTCATACGTTCCATGAAGCCATCAGAAGAGCTTGCACCACCTGCTGAACCCAATACCGCACTCTCTGAATCCCAAACAGATTCCAATCCCCTTTTATCAAACACTCCAATACAACCACCACTAGCAAAAAAGAAACTAGGAAAGCGACCTTCTTTGCCTGCTATCATGGGGGATACCAAACAAGAGACTAATGGTGCGGGATCTTCGGACGTGGGGGATGCGGTTGGCAATTGGGGAGGGGAGAAGGATAAGGATCGGGACAAGGAGGGGTGGGGATGGTTTGGAATTGGGAAGAAGGATAAAGAAAAGGATAAAGAAAAGGAAAAGGAGAAAGAAAAGGGGAAACTAGGAATAGGGGGCGGAGATAAAGGAGCGGGACGATGATGATGGAGAATCGGTGGGCTAGGGTTGTCGTCACATTTCTTGTATCTTGATTTTCTCTTTGATTTTATTTTTTTGGAGGATTTAACTCTTTTTTTTTATTATTATACATGTACAAACGAGCAAATGTAGTAATGGTCCTACTGTCTGATAATTGCCGTATACGCCAACCACTGTTGTAGTGCAAGGACAACCACATGGCATCAATAAGGTAGATACTACTTAAAAATGCTGATACCTGGCAGGCAATCAAGGTCCGTGCACGCTACACACATGCTTTCACCTTGAGAGCATTTCATGCTCGCCTGCAGCGGTCCACATCCTACGACGTCTTTCAAGTTTTACAGTGAGGTCTCCCGACAGGTTGCGCCCAGCTGACACTTTAGAAATGAACCCGCCGTTCATCATGCTATTAAATTCTCAACAAGTATTACATGCATTAAATCATAATTAAATTCAATTCCCATTTAAAATGCCATATTTGTTTCTTCCTCTTTATAAGCCCTCGGCGTCACCCAGAGATAGTGCAAGACTGGGGACACCCGTGCCAGGCGTCTAGGGCAAGCCCATCAACTCCCAGCGGAATTCAAAAATTAGTTTGATAACAATTGTCCACAATGTGAACAGATTCAGTTATCAGACTGAATAGAACAGATACTACACTTGATCTTAGCCAAAAGGCCTGAGAGGATTAAAGAAAACAGGAGGGGGGACGGGGAACGGCGCTTTTTTATAGGCGATGGAGAACTGCGCTGTGGCGCAGATTGAAAAATGAAAAATGCATTTGATTGGTGGAATGGATGCTGGTGCGCAGTTCATGATGACATAATGGCTTACGCGATTGGCTTACTAGTATTGCTGATCATGATGTTTATTCCAATGAAACACACTGATCTACATTGACCAACACATCACTAAGCACATCCAGCACCAGGCTGGAAGCAAGATAACCATGTAAACTACAAAATACTAGAGTAGGTTTGTCTAAAGGAGGTCGCCGTGATCGATACGACAGTATTCTTGAGTATCGCCCGTGGCGGGGTCTAGGAACGGTCTGTTGCCAAAGTATTCCGGCATGTCGGCCTTGTAGGATCCGTTTTGTAACAGACTGAAAAGTTGGCAAGTTGGCAAGTTAGGACATGAAGAGTACGAACGCTGTCGTCACAAGACAAGAGCGTACCTGGCAATGACAAGGGTTGCGACAATGGTTCCACAATCCAAGGCAGCAGACAGCACATAGTTGTATTTCTTCCACCACCGCGACCGGTTTTTGCGAATGTAGTGGTTGAATGTGATACCGACAATACCCCAGGTACTATAGGTTATAAGTTGGTCAAGGTCAATCAAACGCACAAAGTGCAAATGGCAAAAGGATACGTACATATAGTTGACGGGGGCAGCTGGGGGGATCAAGAGGGTGCCGTTCAGAATGGCGGGCCAGTGAACATTGTCCCAGCCAAAGTTGGGGTACTTTTTGTGGAGCAGCCAAGCAGGGATCGGAAGCTGTTCTCAAAGAATCAGAATTGAGCAAAGTCTTGGCGACATTAAACGAGTAGGTTGCACCACGTCCATACCAAAAAGCCAATCAAGAAGAACCAATACATGGCGCTGTAGAGCGATTCAGGACCGAACATGAGATTAGGTCCAATGACACCCCAAATCTGGTTGAAAACGATGAGACTGCAGTCCAAGTTACAGAATTGCAACAGCGTGAAGGCGATACCCACCACGGATGCTGAGTAGAACACATGGGCATTGGGCGTAGGGTACTGGGAGTTTGGTGACATCTATAAATAAAATACGATAATTAGCTTCATTTCCAGCGCATCAACTCAATCTCATCTCATTGATTTACATTGGCTGGGTCATCCTTGATTGCGTTGGTCATAATGGAATCCATAACTGGGTCATTTACGAGAACGATTAGCGGCAGTCGCAAAAACTTCCTTCACCACCAATCACCCATACCGAGGTATTGAATAATGCCACAGACAAGCGTTCCAGCCGTTTGAGCAATGAACATGGCTCTTGGAGGGACCTTCATGTAGTGTCCTGAAAAATAAGAAAATGGTATACCAATTGTCAGCCTGATGGTCAATGTAAAGGCCACAGGAAGAGGCGCGTACCTAGCTTTAGATCCTGCAAAAAGGTGATTGCCTGGTATTGTCCAATATAACCGTAGGTCTGCAAGGAATCAGTATGTTAGGGCTATTCGTAAATTACAATCTAAGCAGAAAACACATACCTTGAACAGAATGTTGGCAATAGGCTTCCCGGGCAAGAGATAACCAATAACAAGCTCGGTGATAACGTTCGTTCCAGGCATGTTATTCGTCGTAGCGGTCACGATACCGATGGGGATCGTCGTAATGATGGCCATGGCAGCCGCTGGTGTTGTGCGTGAATTATACTGTTGAGGTCATCAAGAGCAGATAGTCTACATAAACTCACCAAGCATTACACCCCACCATGGCAAGTGGGTCTCCCAATATTCAGCCACAAAGATACTGACGGCCAAAGTAACGAGCCACAGAGAAAAGTACCACCACAGGGGGGCTTCAGGGTAAGCTTTCATCATCTTGTTGTGGATGTCGCCATCTTCGGTCCTGGATTTCCGGAATCGTTGCCAGATATCCTTTCCTAGAGGCATACAGTCGCTCAAAAGGCTGATCATCTTCTGTAGGCAAAGTCATCCTCATACCATTGTAAAGAAGGACATGCGTGAAGATGCAAGTAAGGGCAGCGAAACTGACTCCGTAGGTAAAAGCAAAAACAGTGGAGAGGCGGAGAGGAGAGTACTCGTTGTACGCGGTCATGTTGAGCGTCTTCTCAGGCGTCAAAATGCGGTCAATGTCGTAGCTATCGCCAAAAATAGTCATGTCAGGCAATTAAACCGGGCGGATTGCAGCCAAATCAACACATACTATTCAGCAAACATTTCACCGGTTGTCTCATTCTTGAGCACGGCATAGTTGCCAGAAGAGAGGATAGGGAAGAGCTTGGAGTCCCAAAAGTTGGTGTAGTACATCCAAGGGGTAATGACCCAGAAGATGGCAAGGGCACCGACCAAGATGTTTGCAATGGCAAAGGTGGGGTAGGCAAGGGGCGACGTCAAGTAAGCCTACGGTCACCGTGTAGAACGGTGAGCAAGAATCCAGGGCAATCAATGCGATAGATTATGCTTACAATGACTTGAGACCAGTTGAGGGTAAAGTTTCCAATTCCCATTCCCAAACTACCTGATCCCAAATTTCCCACAATAGGGTTTGTTTGTGCGAACCAGCACATAATCGAAAGGGAAGAAATGATGGGCATAATGTATCCTGGAAACCAGTACCAGATGAAAGCGCCAGCAAAGACAAGCCCGAAGAATCGTTGACGTCCGCCTGCGAATGCCAATGACACATGAATAAAATGGAAAGGATTTGTCGCAAAATTAGTACTATTACTTACGGTTATCGCCAGTGCTGGCACCGTGGAGAGTGTTATAGAACTAACAGATATTAAACTTGTGAGTGATTTCCCAAATGGATAAAGGTTCACCATAAATATCGAATGCCCTTACTGTTGTGCTGACAAGGTTGGTCGGCCAGATCATGGACGGGGGGTACACAAGGATATTTCGGCAGATACCAGCAATACCATACCCAAACATTTGTGTCTACGTCAAAATAGAAGCCATGAAGCAGATTCGACAGACACAAGTGTGCATAAAATGCTTCATACCGTGAGTACGAGAAGAATTCCGTACGCTGCTCCCCAGTTTTGTTTATACCAAGCACGTTGAATAACTGAAATCAGAGCCAGCTGAGTGATCCCAATACAGCAAACATTGGTATGGCGCGCTCAATTTCGCACTTACCAACGATATCGACAGCGTAAGCGCTCTGGAAGCCAGCATTGGCAAAAACATTGATGAGGCAGTGTTCCTTCTTGTTGAACGGACCGGGGTTCATAGTCCATTCACCAATGAGTGGGAGGTGATATTTGGTGGTAGGCAGGGCTCGCTCCAAAAATTTCCCTGCAGGCGCAAAGCAGTCAAGTTACATGTTGAGAATGTTTAGGTCCTTCTCGAATGACATGAAAATATTCTTACCCATAAAGAAGGAAAGCAGTTGGACCGCGACAGTTTGAAGCTGAATGGGCAAGGCACGGAACCACATGTACTGATTGATCCCGGAAACGGCGACAGCCCAAAAGATGCTCATAGAAATGAACCTAAAGGTTATGACGGGAGTAGCAGGATCGTCGGTTTCTTCGACGGCTGCTGCGACCAATTCATCCACGGCCTGGGATTCACCCTCCTTTTCCGTATGAACCTCGGCTTCCACATCTTTTTTGATGTCATCAAAGGCGCCGATCGGATCTTGGAGGTTCTCCACAGTGTGGCCGACCTTTACGTCTTGCGCGTTACTCATGATAACTGGGATGCCAGGCTCAAATGGCGGTGAACAAATATATGGGCAAACACTTGCAAAATGGTGTTGATGGGTTGATGCAGGGAGGATTGGTTATTTCCTCTATGCAATCACCACAATGAGGTACTAGTAGCAGGAAGAACGAGCGCCAAAAGGGGGCTCCATGTCAAGCCCAGCACTACTTTTTATATCCCCCCGGCAAGCCCTCTGGCTGGGTGGGAAACGTAAAATAACACAGAAAGTAAACCCCGAATTGGAAGGCAGAATTTCTTTTTTGTACTAGTTCCTTTTCCTTTTTTTCAAATTGACATTCGCACTTGGACAAGATCAGGGGAGAAGAAAAGAATATAACTGAATCGGTTGCGTACCACCTCTAGTGGATATTGATACCGACGAGCACAAAGAGCTGTCCATTGTGGTAGCAAAGGCCGCGCGTACCTCCCTTTGTGCATGTGAGGGGACAAATCAACGACAACACTTTCAACTTTTCCTTTATCAGTCGGTGCAATACACGGAAACCGTCAAACAAAATGAATGTGTTCAGGCGGGGTGATATCCATCACACCTGCAGCTACCCGTATCGTCCGTTGATAACCCCCAGCCGTCCGGCGCGGTCCGCTTAGAAAAAAGGAAAACTTCTTGTCGAACGATCTTCATGATCACACCTCGGACAAATCAACCGCGCATTACTGCGAATCCGCGCACAAACAAGATTTTAAGCTTTTAGAGGTATGAAAATGGCACTAGAACTCATTATTATCCGGATTAATCCGGTTAGTCATATCGCATAATCAGCACCCCCATCTATCGCTCAAAGCGGTGAGGCATGCAGCGGTGTGGCATGCTAATGTAACTTTTTTTTTAAACTGCAGTGAGGCGCATGCCAAAGGTCTATAAAAAGGGGGCTTCTGTCTCTTTCCCCTTTCCTCTTTACCCATCCTCGACTCTCGAAGCATCTGCGCAACGCTCACGCAGCACTCTCAAGTCCATCATCATGAGAATGCCGCTCTGGTGCCGAGGACCTCGTCCGCCCGACAACAACAACAACATAACCCCTTGCAAACGCTGCTACTACTATATTGCTACGATCGCAGGTATGCATTATCTTTGTATTTTCCCAAGCGGATTATCCAGTCGAACTATTCTGATCTACCTTAGTATCTGAACATCCTCCGACTAAGAATTTCGGAATCAAGGGCTTAGTAGGATTTCTCTCGTGTGGTGGGCTTAGTTACCCGGTTAGAACCAACCGTAATGTATTGCATGTGTAATTGGGCCTAGTTGTAGTTGGTTGCACGTACCCCAGTTCAACCCAGGCTGGAACCTGTAGCGAGTTAGGATAGGGGTGGGACTCGTTTGCAGGATAGGTTATGAAGGGTTGGACAAGCTGGCTAATTGTAAATTAGAACCGGCTGTAGTGGGTTGGAGGGAGAATTTGTCCCTAGTGACATTTTCTACCACCTGCACACTAAAATTGTTCTTGGCAAAAGGTGTTCAGTCACATGACACTGTCTGTAGAGCTGCTTGTTGCCATGGTGGCCAACGACCCGTTTTCTTCCCTCTGCGACTTGCCGCATTATGCGAGAAGGACATGGCAGTGGAAATGACGCTCATCGACTTGGTCAACCCTGAAAGCTTGGCAAGAGCAGGCTTATCACGGTCTACTACAAGTCTGAAGTGAAACAAGAGCAACATTACCAAAAACTCAATAACGCACAGTATCCAAGGCATGTAACTCGATTCTTTAGAATCGCCATGGTTTCATGTGTAAACGATCAGTGCGGAAAGTCACTTGTGCTCCTCTTCATTACCATGTCGGACTGTCGCGGAACTGTTTCTCGTGCCGTGTGGGATAAATGGCAGCACACAACTATTTCAATCTTGTAGAAAATGGGCGAAGGACCATTCAAATTCGTACACAGGATTAGGAAACCTGACGGTGTGGCACAGCACACATGAAGCACTGCTCGTAGTTCCCTCGCTAGGAGCGCGCAAGAGATCATTCATCATGCTCACTCTCCGAATGCCCAATTTACTCGTTCTTCTCACGTTGGTTCTCGTTCTGCTGTCTGCTCCTTTCCAAGCGGCAGCGGAAAAGCCCAAGCGACCCCCACCAACTCAGCTGCAAATTGGAATCAAAAAACGTGTTCCAAAAGAAGATTGCAAAGAAACAGCGGCCGCTGGAGGTACTTGTGGACTCTCCGCTGAATTTAATGTCTTGCGTGGTGTCACTCTACTTTAGTGGGTGTGAAACTAGCATCATTGCTTACAATTTGCATTTGAAGACGTCCTTTCTATGCACTACACTGGAACCCTCTATGACACTGGCGAAAAGTTTGATTCCTCGTTAGACCGGAACCAGCCGTTTGATTTCACTCTTGGACAGGGACATGTCATCAAAGGATGGGACCAAGGTCTGGTTGGCATGTGCGTTGGAGAAAAGAGGCGGCTGGTTATTCCCGCACACTTAGGTTGGTGTCGACTTGAAACACCCATTTACATGGCCGGCAGGCTGCTAACCTCTTTTGATATTAGGATATGGTGATCGCGGTGCGGGAGACAAGATCCCGGCAGGCGCTACTCTTGTTTTTGAAACGGAATTGTTGAATATCAAGAAGACAGTGTGGGGCAACCGTCCAAGTAGTGAGCTGTAGACGGAAGCTTGGGACATCACGACTATATTTCTGTGGTATACAGCCAGAGTATGTACCAAGTAAATTACTCCTGCAAACAAGCATAGAAATGTGAAAGCTGCAGCGATATCCGAAAATCATGCATGACATCTCGCTTGAAAGGACCGCAAATCGTGTAAGAAAATCATCTATTCTTTTAATCATAGATCCGCGGCAATTATTCAATGTCCCCATGCAGCGGCAAAGATTCATTGCCCTTTGCAAGTTGTATTTTCGTCTATTGGTAATTCCATAGTTATATGTGAAATACTGGCGTTTGATCCCTAACTTGATCGCAAGTTTGGTTATGTGAGTGATAAGTTACTAACCCCTCAGCGCAACGGTCCTTGCAACATCCTTCCATTTTGTAATTACTAAAGATTGCAATCATTTGCCATGACCATCCGACACCGGCCATCTTAATGTTATCTTTCCCAGGCACACTCCATATATCGGTACTTGATGAGATGAACAACAGGCTTCTCTTTGGACATTCACATGCACCTTCGCCGTGAACCTGTGTAAAATGCATATAATGCCGGTCTACAACATCTTATTCACATCTTGCCCGATATCTTGGCTGGAATAGAGTACGTGGTTTGATGATAGGGTTGACCCTCAGACCGAATACAGAAGCAAAAAAAAAGCTCGCCCAGCGCCGTTATTCATATCCCCTGCGCGTCCCAGTATTTCACACAAGCGTGGATAACTCTCTGCCAATTTTGGCATTGATGACTGTGGTCCATAAATCGCAACAACGTTCAAGTTTCCGAGTTCTCTCAACGTATTCCGCCTTTACGTGCCGAAGAACCTAGAGAATCAGGCCATGTACATATCGTCTGTAACACCCCTTGATCAAACCTCGTGCGTGGACGAATAAAGCACTACGATTCAAGATTCAAGAATTGCGTTACTGTTTGATGCCCCTTTGTCGCATGAAGGTAATGGTTACGACCATATCCCTCAAGAACTAGCTTCGCGGCAATGGCGCTGGGGTACAAACATTTTCTGAATAACCCGGCTGAATGCCATGGTACTTTCGCTGCGCTGTGAAAGATCGTTGGCGGGATGGCGGGAACACGGCAAGAAAGAGTACGGAGTAGGTTGACCCTACGCGAATATGACTGCGGAAGATAATGGCCATTACTAGACATGCAACCACTGGTGCGCGATATCCGTCGCAACATTGTCAGACTTCAAGGGTCCCTCCCTTGCGACCTCAAATGTGCGCACCTCATGCCCAAGTATGTGTACGCAAGCTATCATTTTAATGCGTCATATCATCAAAGTTGGCTACCAGTATACTATTCAACAATAAAACCTCTTCAGATCTATGAAATTACAAAAGAAAAAAAAAAGCAATCTAATCGATAAACATTGTCTTGCTTTTCAATGGCAAATTGCCAAAGTATGCCCTGCATCTCTGAAGGATTGAGAGAACTTGGTATCATTTTGTATAGGATATCGTATCTCGCTACATTTACAATGGGGATTAGATACTTGAAGAGGGCCTAAACGAATCTAAAACACTCGCGGACATCGCCCATCGAATCTCCATAAGTTCAACTTTACACAGAACGGAAGTGACCTCTATCATCTTTGCATCGCCGCTGAATTCCTCGAACCTTGCTGGATTGGTCAGGTTATCACCAATGTTATTCCTAGCCTGGTTCAAAGAGATACGGGGGGAGTCGATGCAAAGCTATTGAGGATACAAATTATCTAATTGCCAACAATGACCCTCGCCAAAGACGATGGGAAAGGTCACCACAACAAAGTCATAAAGCAGCCTCCGACGGTGTACTAGATGGTTTGATGCCTCATGAGGGGCGGGCGATCGTGCTTACGATAAAAGTGATCGCCACAAAGGCGATGACTCATCCAGCAAGCAGTGATCTTCCTTGCAACGCTCTTCTCCCAGCACACGAACCCAATCGGGAATGATTCCATTAACATCTTATCTTTACAATGTTGAATGTTGTGGCGGCTGAGACCTCACAGGATGAGAAGCCCCAAAACACCTTGACATCCCTGTTTGGCTTCGAAGATGACTTTAACCAACACGGCTTTGACAAGGACATTGGAACGGAAGGGATTCTATTGCTTGGCCCGTTAAAGTGGTACGCTTCGAACATGTTCTCCAGTTGTGAAAGTTATTTTAATCTGCCCTCTAGCCAGACATCGTGCATGTTGTTTCAGTACGCGTTCAAACACGCACGACGGGGAGAAACTGTACTGTATATTTGTTCCAACAAAGAGGCTTTGCGGGCTACGCAGCCTTATGTGCCCCTTGGAAGCTCTCCACCAACTCCCAGCGTTTTGGCTCGAGTTCATATTCGGTATGGAGTCATTAGCGACTTCTGCTTCAAAAAGCGATGAACTAACAACGAATGTAATCTTCCACAGATACATTACCAGTTCCTACGCCTTAAGAATGTTCTTGGCTTGGTTCCCACATGTCACGTCAATACCCGGTCTTCCTGAACTACCGGATTGTATTGTGATTGATGATCTCTCGAGTTTTTTCGCGACTGGCCAAGCAACGTATGGGTTGGCAAGCTACTGGACTGCAGCATGAAGCAGAGCAGAATACTGATTTAATTGATACCATGTAGACACGAAGAAATCTCTCGGACGATGGCTCTGGTAAACCTTACCATGGATTTCGTGCGTGAGGAAAAGAAGAGGTATGCACTCCCGAGGACGGATGTTGCTGTGTACGATCAGCACTGAGACTACATGTAGCGACGTTTACGTGCTGGCGAGCTGTACTTCCTGTCAATCAGTTGAATTTCCGGAGTATCAGTCCGCGCAAGTGTCTATCGATGCTGTTTGTAGGAGATTCTTCAGATGGACGGTGACGATCGCGGGTAGGTTGCCGTATCTCACTTATTGTCTTCGCACCGCTTACACCGCCAATCTGAATAGGCGATCATCCCGACTTTACGATGACCATGGAAGAATCTTCCGTTTACGGTGGTAGACTCTTCCGTCCGAGCAATGGGACACCGCATAGAGCCGACACGGACGAAACGGATGCGATGGGCGACAAACTTGTCTACCGAGTGGATGAGGCGAATAAATACATTATATTGCGTTAGTCTGTAAAGATATATATACAGTATTCAGAGTTGCTTTAATTAACATCAGACATGGGTTTGCCCATCTTCGAGGACATGCGTGTTGTCCGTTCATTCTCTCTGTGAATGTTCTAGAGTTTCCGCATCCACATTTGTCGCCTCATTTGGTGCATCGGGGTTATCACGCGCGATTCGTTGTATCAGGCTAGCGACAAGCATCCGATGGAACAGATGATCCATGACGTTATCCAGCATCACAGATTTGGCCTTTCGTTGTGGGCGGACACTTCTTGCTCCAAGTATCTGGTTGAAGTAACAGGTAAGTGGAAAGTTAATTTCTAGCAAGATGTTCCCATACCTCATCCTTTGCCTCTAAAACTGCATCCTTAATTTCATCATGGAGGGTTTCCATCATGATATCACCAAATAATACGTTTCGAACAATCTCACTCCACTCCTCGTAGATAATTGGTTTGATGAGATCATCTTCTAGGATCAACTGAAAAATCCCCTCCGCCTTGGATTGACGAACGTAGTCAAGGGCTTCTTCTTTAATGACTTCCTGGATGGAGGTGTTCAAGTCCAGTTACACTATGTGATGGGCATGTGGCAGCTGCTGGTACCTGAACGGTATCTTTCACGATCAAGTTGATGAGACTCGAAAACATGTTGTCGCACACTTTGTTATCGCGCGTCTGAGGGTGGGCCTTTCCAAATGTGTGCTTTATGCTAACAGTAAGAATCGTTCTGAGGTGATAAGGTGCGGAATGTTTTAAAATTTACCATCACAACATCCCCAATCATTTCTGAAATTGTTTCATCCATCACAGAATCCCGTATCATTGTCATTTGGATTAGATCTGTGTGATCGCGGCGCGGTGGATGGCTTTCTGGTATGAGATGTTGGCAGGGACCCCGGAAACTGCAAGGAGGACAGCAGGAACTGGCCCGGTGGGTGCAGCCGTAGGTGCAGATCTGAAAATTCATGCGTGAGAACAGCCCGGGCACTACCATGTTGCACGCCTTACGATGTCAGGTTGAAGCAGAGCCCTTCTATAATCTACGGCGCTGTTAGATGACAGCTTTTTGTTGGGTCTGCCGGGTACGTAGCGGTAAGTCTCTCCAATGCTGTACTAAATAACAAGTTGAGTAAGAGATTTGAAAATAATAAGGCGAGGGAAATAGATCGTAACGTCAAGTGGTACCACTGCAACGTCCTGTAGCAACTCCATCAGCACTTCTTCTAGCAGATCGTTCCGAAACCGGGACAGTATTCCGTCAGTGGTTTCCTCTCTTCCTCTATTTATTGTAGACTCCCCCGAAAATGCGGGAGGTAATGAATAAGATCTAAAGGAGTTTCTTCTAGGGTAAAGTGCTATGGCAGTGTCCCCACGCTCACGATCAGTTTCTCCTTCATGCGGATAGTTGGCCACTCCTCCTGCCCGTCTACTTTGAAGGTCGCTATTCCCATAAATTGGGTGCAGTCGTAAAGGGCGCAAAGTAGCTTGATTTTCTCTAGAACTGGCATGATATCTCTCACCCATCTGAAAGGACACCAAGTCCTGGCGATGAAGCAGCATTCAGAACGCGCTTGCGTGAGCAGTCACGTGGCTACGCGATTTGAACCGTAAGTTGGACCGGAGCTGCAAATGCTGAAACGACATGAAATGGTGCTGTGATCGCATGCAAAGATGAATGTTTTTTTCCAAGGATACTCGGCATTAAGAGGCGATAAAGGTACTCCTCAATCTGGGGCGGAAACGGTTCATAAGCTATGTGACAGAGTGCAGAACTCGACATTGCTGGAGGACCGGAGAGCCGCGGTGATGGGCTTGAAAGGCCTGGCTCGAGACTGGAAATTGGTTAGTAGCAAATGAAAGAGTCCCAAGTCGCAGAGATAGATAGTCTGTTGGGACTGTGGGATTGCGTAGTGTACTGATAGTCCGAATGCAATTTATAAGAAAGTCTACTGATGTTAACACACGTGTGCAGGAAGTAGGGACGAAGGGTATGCCGGTTCTCATCAATGTATTACGGAACGACCGCATGGATGTGGACATTGTAAAGGCCACTGTAGAAACTTTGAATGTGCTATGCACTTTGGATACGCCGAACAAAGGGGTAGGACACGAATGTTTTCTCAACACGGGCTTCAAGGGACGCACCAACGCACTGGGCTAAAACTTTACCTACAACTCCAAAGGGCGCTGACGATCCGAATGACTTAGGTGTCATGTTTACAGAGATTTATACAAAGGTTCGGTCAATGAGAGACGCGTGGGGGGCAAGAAATATACCTGACGACACCGACCCCGCAGGACCCAGCAAACGTCACTTTATTGCTTGACATTTTGGAGGAAGTCGACTTCTATGTCCGGTTTAATACCGTGCAGCTTTTGAGTACGCTTCTTCAAAACACTGGAGCCAGACTGCAAGATTGCATTCTGACGAGTCCACTTGGCATCTCCCGGTAAGTGAACAGCTTCCTGCACAAGGTATGGTCGACCATTTCGGGAATCCTAATACGTGAACTGCATGGAATAGGCTTATTGATTTATTGGATGATCGACGAGAAATTATTCGCAATGGTAGTTGCCCGTGTTTGTTTGCGCGTGGAGCTTATAGAGGTTAACAGATTTGCATGTTAGAGGGCCTCCTTCTTTTGATCGGGCTCACCCAAAACAATGCCGACATCCAGAAAATCATTGCATTTGAAAACGCGTTTGAAAGACTCCTAGGAATTATCTTGGAAGAAGGCGCCACTGACGGTGGTATTATAGTTCAAGACTGTCTGCAGCTGACGCATAACTTGTTGAAGTATAACGTCTCAAATCAGGTATGGGACGACTATTACCTATCGTGGCAAGTGTTACGCTTCCAATTGTGTGTGGTGCTAACTTTTACGGCAATCCCATATAGAACTTGTTCCGCGAAACCAGCTGTATACAGCGAATACCGTCTCTACTCACCGTGCGCACAATGTTACCCGATCGTTCCACACCAGTGGATATTCCACTGTCGCATGAAAGTATCGTATGGGCGGACCAGAAGATCGTGAATGCGGTCTTGGTCCTTGAGCTTGTTAGGATCTTGGCAGCTCCGAAGAATCCAAGTGCAGCGGTAAACCAGGTAATTCGCCGCCTCATAAGTTCTCTCGCAGCCGAGCTATACCTGATGATGGTCTTTGCGTCTAGAATGTCATGAATCACGCAAAGATTGTGCCTGTATTGATAGAAATTGGTCTCTCTGCTCGAATACCTGTCAAAGTCAAAACCCAGGCACTTTATGCTTTGGGTGATGTTGTACGGGGGCACAAGGCAAATCAAGATTTAACGGCACGAAGCACGATTCCTGCCACCTCTGCCGAACGCCGGAACGCACCCCCGGTTCCTACTGTTCTCTATCTGATACAGCTGGCCCTAAATGGAGGAGAATTTCCCTTACGCGCGGCTGCCGCTTACGTCTTTGAGGTGTGGTAATCCACATGATTTCTGAATGTTATGTTGTTACTTACAGATCAATATGTAGTGCTATGTATATAATAACGCCGATGCACAACTAGCAGTGCTTTCAACTCTAACACCACCTCCACCAGACAACCCGAACGCTCAAAGCACAGGTATAAATCCAATGAAATGCTAATCCACATAAAAGTACTGAGGTTGATGACAATAGATAAGCCTGAATCAGCCGGCTCGCTTCTGATCTCATCCATTTTGGACCGGGATGTATCAAGGAAGGACCCCTTTGCAACCTGGTTTGCTGCTACGTTACTCTCACATATCCTCCATGGGAACTCACAATGCCAACAATGGGCGTTGGCGACTAAGCTTGATGACGATGAAGGTAAGGATCAGACGATATAGTATGAATGATGTTCAACGAATTCTTAATAGCCCACTTATCCCACTTCATTTACAGAATCCATATCCTTACTTCATAGATGCATGTTCGCCCTCTTCAACGCCAGCAGCGAGGGATCAGATGTGCGAATTTCAATCGGCATCCTTTCACTCCTTTGCATATGGGTGCACGAGTGTCCAGAAGCTGTGAAGGAGTTACTTACGGAAGGGTCCAACATTCAGTTTGTGGGTATCCTTGAACGAATTCTGAACCTTGACGTACTCAAGAGTTGACGCTTGCCATAGTTGGTAGCGCAAATCAATCAATCTTCAGTTAATCCGCTACTGCAAGGTGTTGCCGCTTTTCTGCTCGGCTTGTTGTATGAGTACAACGACGATTCGGAACCAGAGTTCACTCGGTGTGTTTAAGCTCCGCATAAAATCGTCCGCCAAAAAGATGTGCTGACTCAACGTTGGTTTATAGCGCGAATCTGCAGTCGCTAGTCACAAGCCGTATTGGCGCGGACGTGTATGTTAGTCGCATGGAACGTTTGCGGGAGTCGAAGGAATTGAATAACACTTCTCAACATATTCTGAAGGTATTATGGAACGCTTTTCTTTGAATCCTCGTTCATTCCTAAAGTGCATCATCTATACACTCGTAGAAAGAGACCGCGATAGGACCTGACGGCCAGCCAGAAGTGTTTTTCGACTCTATGTTTGTGGACCTGTTCAAAACCAGTCATGGTACTGTGAGGCTTTTTCTCGTCATAAAACGGCCCTGCCGTTTCTGATGATTCGGGTATTTTTCTGGTCGGCAGATGCAATTGCGAAGGCGATAACGACCGTAACCCCTAGGGGAAGCCCACCGAAAAAGAAGGTTGCGCGTAAGTGGGAAGAGCTTCTTACTTGCTCGCAGTCGGCAGGTGCTTACAGAATGGGTGGAACTTTATCATGTCCCAATGCAGAAGCAGACGAGTCCGTGGTACAATCATATAAAGACATAATAGCAAAACAGGAAAAGGAGCTTACCAAGCTTCGGGAAGCAGTACCGATACTAGAGGCACAGGTCGCTGAGCAAGTAAGATCCTAGCCCTGGCATTCGTACCGGCAAGAAATCCTCATTTTCCTCACTGGTTACAATCTTAGGCAACTGCTTATACACAACAGATCGAATCCCTCCAACGAACCATACAAAATTTGCAAAATGCGTTAAGCGAACAATCCTCCAAGTACGCCGAGCTTGAATCGGAGCAAGAAGACCTTCTTGTTTGCCTTGCGGACCAAGACACTCAGCTGCAAAAATACCGAGAACGATTGAAGGCACACGGCGAAGTGATCGAAGATGAGGATGAGGAAGAAGACGAGGACGGAGATGGGGATGGCAATGGGGAGGAGGAGACAGAGGAGACGCACAGGGAGCCAGATGTAAATGGGGTGAAAGAGCAAGGTCAACCTGTTGCAGAGAGGGATGCCAGCTCCCTCTTTGCGGGGCAGAATGGCACATATGATAATTTTCTGTAGCAACAGCATGGCACCATACATTATTTTTAATTGGCGAGTCAACGCTCACATTTTTAAGATTCGTTGTTTGCTCGCTTCATATTCGTATTGTGGTTGCCACTAACTTGTGCGTCAGCCCCCCACCAAGTACCTTAAGATGCGACCTTGCTGCGTCTTGCTAACTTGACTGTTTGGTATCCGTCCAGAACCTATGCTGCCGGAGACTGGCAGATTCTTCATTGCATCCCTCCTACCCGCGCCAAATGATGGAATTTACAGAGTATTTTCCCTCAATCCATATATACAAAGTTTACAGGAAACCAAAAGACGTCATGCATCATACACGGAATCATGATCATTTTCATACATCTCCTCATCCTCCTTCCCTGCATTTTGGCTTACTCGAGTTCCACCCACATACGATGCAAGGACATGTTCCTCATCTATCGCCCTTTCTGCTAACGTACTGTCCAACAAATGCACTTCCATAGTTCCATCTGCGTATCCGAGCATTATCGTGGCATTTCTGCCTGAAGCCGCCGCCAGATTGGCGTGGGAAACTGTTGATGCAGCTGACACTATGGTCGGACTTAGGGCAAATGTAACAATCCGCCCATTGTCGCCAGTCTTGGTTGCCTTGACCACCTGGGTCGCCTGAGCTTCACTTTCCGATAAATCCCACACATGGAGCGTACCCGTCTCATCCAGCACGTAAAATACAGCCGGCCGATGGGGAGACCACCGTACAAGTCTCACTGGACCTTTAGAAACCGTCCATCTCATGATCGCCGTCGCCTCATTTGCAGCAAACATACCAACCATTCCTGATGTGTATCCTGCCAGAAAAAGTCGAGGATCGTGTGGACAGAAATCCAATGAACTAACACCATCAATTTGGGCTATTGTGGTCTCTTTGAGGTTGTATGTACGTGGGTTGCAGCGATTTCGGAAGCGTGACTCGTGTATAATTGTGCCAATATCTGTACCGACGATAAAGCGATCGATATCATTGGTGCGGAATTTGCAGTCAAGAACTCTCAGGTCGGTTACTGCTGACCGTGTTTGGCTGTTTTCGAGATAGCGATTTAGTATTAGGACTTTAAGCGTCCATATGTCAAAGATTTTATCCACCTGCGTGGGAGGGAGATTTTGAATCCCGTGCTGCGAATGAGCTTCAGTCTACCTCCAATTGCCATACCGAAATCCAACTCCGATGCCGTAATGGATTCACTGCGTAGCTCCACCACAGCCTATGGATACGACGGTTAATCTTGTGCATTTTCAAATTCTAATGCAATCTCGTGAACGTACCCAAATGTGCATCCAACCGCTCTCATCCAATGATGCCACTTGAAACGACTGACCCTCTAGTTCCGATGACACACCAAGAGCCGCATGCCAGTTATCCTCCCTCGCCGGTCGATATTGATGCAACGCCATTATATTTCGAATAGGTTCGTCGTGGGTGCCTTTCAGTGTATATATTCCGCTGGTGCTATAACTAGGGTACCGAAGGAGTATTTCTTGCCCATCAATTATGACTTTACGATGCAACGATGGAGATTCTTGGAGGTTCCAAGCTAGAACGCTACCATCCCCTGTGCCTGCAAAGACCAGATATGGCTTGGTGGGAGCGAAGCAACAACATGTTGGGTCGCCTTCACAAACGAGTACACTGTAGAGAGATGCAAGAGATTTACTTGACAATGCATAGGCGATGAACCAAGCATTTCCACGAGAATTTACCGGTATGGGACCGTTGGGTCGCTCAACTGCCATAAACACAGGATGCCTTTATCGCCGAGGATATCCTTCTCCTGCTCCCCAGATGCCATAGAATAGGCAACCAACAAAAGACGATAATCCGTTGTGGAATAGCAAACGTCGCGAATCTGACGACCTTTGAGAAAGACGTTGGCATCGCTCCCCGTCGCAAATCTTGCGAGTACTGTTTACATACCACTCAAATTTTTCTGTTGTTGAAGTGTAGTAACCCCTTGACTGATATTCAGTGAACTCTGTTCCGCAAAACCACTCGAGATTCCCATCGCTGCTGTGCTCTCCTCCAGTAAAATATCCATAACTTGAGATGACCGCTGTAAAAAGTTTGATAGACGCACTGAATCGACCTTCGCTACGACGTCTAGTATTTTGCTGTTGGATCGCAAATGCCCCGTTGAATGGGTTAATGGATTACCACTGCCAGAATCCGTAAATTGATCGGGAGGACATTGAACCCATTTGACGTCAGTTGGCCATACGTCTGTCTGCATGTCCTGGTCTGTGCGATCTTCATTACTTTGAGTTGCAGCCTTTCCAAATGTTGTAAGTACGAGAATGGTTTTATTTCATCTGCCAGAATTTACCTGTACGGCATTTGAACTTCCAAAATTCCGAATGTACAGTTCATATTCATTCATCGGATGCAAATCGAAGACATCGTAAAAGCAAACATCAAGGGTCACCATATTGCTAAGATCCTGGGGCACTTATTGTTAATTGTCAAAATGCAAACATACACTACGTGCTTATATAAGAAGAAATGATCATCCACCTTTGCTCTTTTTGCCTGTCGCCGTTCAGCATGAGACAAAGTTTTGGCTCTTTGAGCTTGTTTTAACGCATTTTCAAGCCCTACTCTTTTGCGTTGAGGAAGGGCAGAACCAGTCCGCTCCCGCTTTGCTTTAACAATCACATCTTTAGTACGCTTATACGACGCGGAAATCACAACAAAATGATCATCAGCTTACTGAATTGCTCCTCCTCGTACTTTGCACGCTGCTCCTGCCGTGACGATGCTCTTTGATTTTCCGCTTGCAGCGCTTTTTGTACCTGCACTACCTGGTTCATATATGTAGAGTAATCTTCATGAACACATAAATCTCACCTCGCTTATTTCAACTAGTGATTTCTCCCGCAGGATTAGCAAATTCTTTACTACTCCCTCAGGCTGGCTAGGTTTTGGACGCTCCTCATCTTGAAAATCTTCGAAATCTTCAAAATCCTCTTCGTAATCCTTACATCAAAATAGCATAGCAAGTTCTGACGATCAGCGGTATGTTAAAGGAAGGACTGCAGTGGCCCTTTAGATATGCAATCTTTGTGCATGACTTACTTCAAAATCTTCTTCGTAATCATCATGCGACAAGGTCCTCTCCTGTTCACCGCCGTGATTCTCAGATAGCACATCAATGGACTCGGATAGGATTTCTCCTCCGTGGCGGTCACGACGACTTTTGCTATTCTTAACTGTAGTCGTAGGGATGTCTCCCTTTGTCATTGCTGTTAGCTTCGTCAGCTCGGCGTCCAACCATGCATTTTCATCTACCCGCTTCGAGGATGTAGTACGCTTCGAATATGGCTAAAGTGCAAATTCAAAAAATTTGTAAAAGAGGACACATTTACGTTCACATGTTTTCAATGTACTGCTCACCTTTGGACTCATACCTCTGGTGTGTCCTCAAAATCGCGCATCAGTGCAGATCTTGGAGTCACGCGTTACCTAATCATGCTGACATCAAAGCGATACGATCAAAAGTACAAAATGCAATGCCAATCTTCACAACGAATGAAGCGACAGTTTTATGTTTTGAATGAGTTTTATGTATACATGACCAGGATTCAACTTTCTGACGACCGCGCGCGATGAGAATACTATTTCCCTGCCCTCCAACTTTTGAAAAGCGAATGCTTTGTCTTTTCTTTTGCTTTTGCTTCCTCCTTCCTCTGTCTTTCTGCCCTTCTGGCAGCCTCTTCTAATTTCTTAGCCTTACTGCCCCCAAATCGTGGTCTCGGTAAGTCACTTGCTGATCCGTCCTCCTCACCCATTGTATCTCCACTGGCATCGACGCTTAGGCTCCTTATCTGCTCGAGGAGTTCGACCTGTTCCCTTCGACTAGACAGGTGGAGCTTCCCTCGCTCCTCTGGTGGTATCAGTTGCTCAAGATTGGCGACGACCTATGCGGTTACTGGCGTAAGTCAATCGCCATAAATTAATGTTGCAACTGTGATGACCCATACCTTATATTCATAGCCTTGATCGATCAAGAATCTTTTCCTCTTGGCGCTAAATTGAACCTCATCTGTGTCCCTGCTGACTAGTGTGTAGAAACGACTACGGAATCCTTCCTCGTTTCGTCGCTTCGCCCGCAGAATTCGTCCCATTCGCTGTGCCTCTTGTCGACGACTGCCAAACTGACTACTAATTTGTATCAGACACGTTGCTTCTGGTAAATCGAGTGAGGTATCCCCAACTTTGGACAGAAAAACGGTCTGATATGACTGTGGAGTGTCTCCCCTGAACCGCGCGAGGACTACTTGTCGCTCGGAGTGTGCTGTTCCACCATAAATAAACGGCTTGCCCATCTTCTTAGCGTAATACTACATGAGATACGACAAAGAGATGTCAGGCATAACCGTCAAACCGAGAATGTAGGATTTAGGATTTCGCTGCTTACGTCCAACGCAAAAACATTATCAGAAAACACGATGATCTTATCACCAGCAGCCTCTCGCTGTTTGATGAGATATTCGCATGCTTGAAACTTGCTAGGATTCATGACCGACAATAAGCGCCGTTTTCTATGGAGCGAATGAAAAACCAAAAAAAAAGAGAAAACAATGGGCAAATCACATTGAGGTCTTAGAAGAAGCCAATATAATCACATACCCTGGCCGAGACTCAAGGTATTCTTGGTAGAAATCAGACGTCATTCCGCACCATATTTCCGTGGCCTAAATAACAATTGGAGCTGAGTTTGACTGATAAGAAAATAGGCTGCAGGACGCTTTAGGTATACCTCAACTTTGGCAATGTGCCCTCTCTGTGCCAGATCCATCCAATTCGCCTCATACAACTTTGGTCCAATCAAGAAGTTCAAATCTTCGATCTTATCATCCTCACGAACAAGCGTCGCTGTTAGGCCGAGTTTGGTGTGCGCGGAAACCGTGGTTAAAACTCTTCTGAATACGTTGGCCGGGACAACATGGACTTCATCAAGAATCAACAATCCCCATTCTACCGTATTGATCCACTCGATCATGCGGGCGGTTTCCCATGACCGTTTTCCTGAATGAGATATCATCGTGTAGGTAGATACAACGATACCAGCGTCACCGACAAACTTCTTCTTATCATCAGCCGTGAACTTTGCGATCTGTCCCTCTTTGACAGTTGACCAATTGCGGAATTCCCTAGCCCATTGCTCAACAGAAAGGGCATTGGTACAGAGAACCAACGTGCTCTTCTTGACAGTGCAAGCCGCTGTAATTCCGACAAGGGTCTTTCCAGCACCAGTGGGTAGTACAATGATACCCGACCTCGCACGTCCTCCTCCGCCACCGAACATTTTGCTCAAACTTTTTTCTTGATAGTCACGAATCGTTGTTTTTGGACTGAGATCAATATCCAAATTCGGTGTGAGGGCATCATGACGAAAGTCGTACTCTTCCATAAGTGGATAGTCCATGCCAATACAATGCTTTTTGACTTCTTCAACCTGCGATTTCTCAATTTCAAAGGAATGCACAAATTCTGATTCGTCATCAATATCCTCATCCTCATCTAAAGTGATTACGGCTCCAAAGTTATCAGGATTATCGTTACCACCGCTGGTTCCGTTCGTTTTTCCATTCACTTGCTCCGCGAGTTCTTTTGGTTTAGACCCAAAGGATAGAATGGCGTTGTCATCTTCACGCACGACTCTGGCTTTGGCGATATCAAGATTGGATAGCAGCCTTTTCAAGACTTCCGGGTAAGTAGACTCTATGAAATATCTACGGATTGGGCAGCAATGAAATATCAATCAGGACTTCTTCGGGAGATTGATGGCTTTCAATTTCGCCTAGTACTGGCTATAACTGCGTGCTAACTAATCGACCATACCTGTTATCCTTAAGAACTAACTTCACTTTCCCATATGCCATCGTACATTCTTTGATAAAATTTCGCACCCGTTCGGGCAGCTTGACTTTGGAAAACCTTTCCAGTACATCCAAGATGGTGTGCGTTTCCATTCCCACCGAGACAGCAGCATAGAGGGAATAGGCAGTAAGTTTGAATTCATGTACTCGTGCGGGTCGACTGACTGGTTCCGCTATTGTTATGAGAAAGTCCTGTGCCTGGGTGGCAAGTGGAGAGAATGCTTCTAAAATGATACGGCCATCGTCGCAAACCCATATTGGGCGCGTGCGGTGATCGGGCTTCTGAGCCAAAAACGTGTAGTCTTGCGAGAATAAATGGGTCACAGTATCTTTTTGGATATTCTCCCGACTTTCAATGCCAATCTGCTCATCCTCCACCCTCAACTTTGCGAATCTCGAAGGATCGGTATAATGCTCATGAATACGAGCATTCTCATCGCCTTCCTCCGGTGCAGGTATAGCTTGCCCCTGATTCGCAATGTCACTCTTTCGTTTCTTTATGGCATTTCCGTTGACGTAGGTATCCTCAGGAGAAGAACGTTTGGTCGGCACTGTGAAGATATTACCAGAGATGATTCGTCGTAATGCAAAACATGAATAAAGACAGGCAGCCGTAAGACTCACTACGCAGAGTAATCTTCGGCGCCGGTGCCGTCAAGTCAGAAGTCAGCATGTTGCCTTTCTTTGACATATCTTAACGGCCAGGTGTACTACACTAAACTATGCTCCACCTGAAGCCCCCGGCACCGCCGACAACTTTGGATGCAAGCCTTTATGGAGCTGCTGGTGACAGGTTTACGGCAAAGGCGAACCGTAAAGCGGGCTGATAATTTACGACAGTGACCAATGGAGGAATATCAACTGCGAGTTCGGCTAATGCACATATGCGCTGACCCCTGTAGCCATAAACACAACACCAACACCAAATCTTTTAAACCATCAAAAGTGCAGACAAGGAAGCATACGACAGTTTGGTTGCATACAAGGCCAGAATCTGGATATACCCAACAGAGTCACGTGCCTTTCGAAGCGGGTATCCGCTTACCTAACGCGATTCGGTCCGTCACGCATCGTGTTTTTGTTTAAAGTTGCCTTCCATTCCTCCGCTTCTTTTTGCTTGCTTACGACTTTTGCTCCCTTACATTCCCTGGTCTACTGATACGCGTTCTTCCTTCCGGCTATAAAGATGTTTGCTTTTTAGAAATCCGTAAACCGCCGAATCCTCCCCCGTCGTCCATAACTCTCTGCGGTGTACCATGGCGATCTTCACCTACGAACTGGCAATATCTTCCTCTGCCTCAAGACGTGCTCTTGACAAGCGGCAAATCTTCCCGCCTGCGTCCTTAAATCCATTGAAGCCTGGAGGTTCACCTCCTGCGCCATTACCCGTCAATCCTCCGAACATCTCGCCCGCCATTAATCCCGCCAATCCAATCAACAATGTGCCATCGCCCTCTTCAAAACCTGATCTCCCACCTCCTGCTGCGGGAAGCCCCTCGCCGGCACCTGCGCCGCCGGTGGAAACTCCTGCATCGTTGCCTACATTGCCATCGTCCAAGCCAACTCATTCAATGCCATCGGTGAATCCGATACTCCAGTCGACGCCCACGCAGGCTGGAAATACGTTGGCAGCATCGACGATTCCTCCGGTCGCGTCATTTACTCCTCCGGCTCAAACACCTCTTGTGGTCGTTCCCAGCTCTGTGCCTACCCGGCCGGTTACTGCTAATTCTTCCATCGAAGGAAATACGGCCACCACTCTGCTCCAACCTACTATTATTGCTGTAGCTGTTGTTCTTGGAATTGTCGGCGTGTGCGTTGTCATCAGTGTCGTATGGTGCAAACTGAAAGAAAGGAAACGAGCAAAAAAGGGGGAATTTGTTAAACCGCCCAGAGAGTTTCCCTGGGCCATGGAACAGAATTATTCTCAAACTGAGTTGGTTGCAAGCCCGGTGGAACGCGCGTGAAACCATGCTATCGCGCCGGTGATGGCCAAGAATGTGATGTATTGATGTATTTTAGACCTATGAGTGAAACGCAACATGTGGTTAACATAATGTAATTTGTTCTGTTGTAAGTATGTATAAGTGTGATGATAGATAAAGTAAATCTTTCAATATAATGAAAATAGGTTAAACTGAATGACCAAAAGCTTGCAATGGTAGCTACATACAGGAATAAATATCTATACAAGTTCTACGCCGATGTGGGGGATCCATTGTTGCCCATCTAGCTAGTACTTAATCGGGGGTGTATCCAGCAAAGATGTTCCATCCGTAGGCGCCGGAATCCGTGTGTTGCTCGCGGCCGTCATCAATGCCCCAGACTCTTCTACCCAGTTCATCTTCCCCAGTAACTGCTCCACACGCTTGGCCATCGTGTTCAACGCAAACTCACCTGGGACTGTTCCAGCCTTCAATAGGTCGCCAAACACCTCCAGCAAAGCGCGTGCTTCCATCAACTGTTCATAGGTTATGGTTATTCTTTCCTGCTGCGTTATCGAATCACCCCTCCGGGCGCGATCGGCCATTCTCACAAATGCTTGAATGATGTGCTCCCGCGTTGCTGGCTGACTCGGGGTTGGCTGATCTGTCCGAGCTTGTTGTTCGGCATCTCTGTCCGCCGACGTAATACTTTTGGAACTCAGTTTGCTTTGGTTCGTGCTAGACCCAGTGCTTGTGTGTGGGTGGTTCTCAACCATATTTCGCCACTTTTGCTCCATCTCTGCCGCTTCAGGAAAATCACTTTCTGTGCCGCTCCCACCGTCTTCTCTCGCTGATGCTCCATGCTGAACCAGAATCTCGAGGGTAAACGAATTGGGAGGTATCCTTCGCATCCGAAACTCCGTCTCGTACACAGTACTAACTGCTTCAGCCACACTAACCCCACATTTCAAATGTGCGCGCAGCAGTTCGTTGCAAATACCAACTTTCAATCGCCCAAACCGCTCCGCATCCTTGTAGTAAGTTCGGATGACGTCCAAAAGATTCTGCCCTGACTGCGCGTTCCGCACATGGACTCGCATAATCGATATTAATGTCGTCACGTCAGGCGAAATGTGCTTGTCTGTCATCTCCATGTACCATCTTGCTGCCCCTTGAGGATCATTGGCAATTTCATGCACCCTAACTAATGATCGATACACAGGCCGGGTAGGTGATATACCTCTTTGAACCATTTCGGTATAAACAGTCTCTGCTGCTTTTAGATCGCCCTGATAGCCCATGGCGTTGATGAGGACGGCGTAAGATGCAGCGCTAGGAATCAGCCCATACTGATGCATCATATTGAAGTAGGTCCTGGTGCTCTCCAGATCCCCTTGACGCCCGTAAGCATCCATTATCGAAGTGAAAGTAACCACATCTGGAGGGATTCCGCGTTCAAGCATGTCGTGAAATAACTTCAATGCGTCCTCAGGTTTATCGGCCTTTCCGAACATGTTGATAAGAATGTTATAAGTAATAAAATCTGGCGCACAGTAAGGCCGTGAGGAGCTGTCAGCAACACTTTGCATCTCGTTCACGATGGCTACCGCTTTTTCAAGGGCGTTCGCTTTGCTGTAAGCATCCAGCATTGTGTTATAGGTTGCAATATTGGGTACTAGACCGTTCTTCTTGATCAATGCAAATAACTCCTCCGTGCCCTCCAAATCGCCCTGTTTCTTATGAGCCGTCAACAATGCGTTCAAAACTTTTATGGGAGGCTTGCCTCCAGTCTCCAGCAACTTTTCCAAGATGCCATGAGCGCCAGGAATATCCGACACGCTTGCTCGCACATTAATGAGAGCAGAATAGGTGGTGGCATCCGGCTCGATATCGGGTCTCAGCAGCAGTGAGTGGTAGACTTCCTCGGCTTTTTCATACAAGCCTTCTTTTGCGCAACATTTTAGAATTAGATTGTAACTGTTCAAAGAGGGCTGCACACCATCACGATGCATGTGATCCCAGATCTTTGAAAGGCTCTCTATGTCGCCCCGACGACTGTATGCATCGATGAAAATAGCGTAAATATCCTCGGGAACGTGACCTCTTTCGTGGTTAAAACAGTTTGCAATCAAATCATTGAAGACGCTCTTCCATTGATCAACTTCTTCCTTTCCAGGTACGTAGCGACGGTCATTTAGGGGCTCTGCAAGCGCTCGCAACACTAAACAAAACTCCTCTAGAGAGATAGCGTGCAGATACTTTCGGGCCGCGACGATACGATAGTTGGGAAGCACAACCTCGAGATTTCCTTCAATTAATCCACGCCGAAACACCCCGTACGCCCGCTGCACGTCCATGGGTACTGGTCCTAGTGGACGAGCAGCAACAGGACGGTACGGATCTCGCCTACTCGCCCGCTGTTGAGCCTCAGTTTCCCGCTGTGCCTGTGCCCTGGCTGCTGCACGTGCAGCCCGCACGGTAATTGAACGCCGTTGAGTGCTGACAACAGAAGTGAGAAGCTGTCGAATGCACCATCCTTCAGGACACTTGGCGGGTCGCATGCCCGGCGACTTTTAGAAGAGACAAAGTGTATTCTCTAAAGCAGATTGTGTCAACCGTACTGTGGATGAACAAAAACCGAAACCGTCCGTCCAACCGGGAAAAAAAGGCCAAACCGGTTGCCCCAAACCAATCCGCTCCAAAATTAGGTCTCCCAGCACCCAAGGACGCGGTTGTACATGACATCTACCCAAGGTCGATACCTCCGCTAGATTAAACAAAAACCCAATTCACAATCGGGCCTTACAAAGTGCTGTCTCGCACAGAAAGGAAACCGCATTAAACTCCTTTAGAGCTCGAAAGCTGTCGATATGAACGGAGAAGGGGTATGGACCAAGCCATGGCAAGGAGCTCATCACTGCAGTCGACTGACCATTCTGCATCTCGGCATCTAGTTTCTATTTCTCTTCGGAGTGGTGATGGCGGCAGTACTTTTGTTTGCCATGGTGTTTTTCGTAAGTTTGCACAGCTCAATACTTCTTCGAAATGTCCACATCAATCTAGCTCAGCTCGCTGAACTATTATGCAATCCTATCAGATAATAATGTTCTCGGACTTGGAATGCGATTATATCAATCCTATCGATCTGTGCAATAAACTCAACCAGGTAGGTAATGCAACTTTGCGGGAAGGCATCATCCGTACTTAATGCATTTTGGGCGATATCAGTTTGTTCTTCCGGAAAATTTCCTGCACGCATTCCTGTGGCTGATGTTCCTGATCAATGGAAGCTGGATGGCGCTAATACTAAATACTCCCCTCCTCGCATGGCATGTGTATAAGTATGTTGACCACGAAATGTATCGCTGAATAGAATGCATGCTGACATTCATTACCGCAGAATTGTCAACAACCGCCACATGTTCGACGCCACCGAAATCTTCCGGACACTGCCCCAACATAAAAAGGAATGCTTCTTAAAGCTTGGATTTTATCTGCTCAGTTTCTTTTACTGTAAGTTCTCATGAGGTTGCCATGAAATTGTCCGAGATGGATTTTTGACGGTTCTTTTTTTGATACCTAGATTTGTACCGCATGATTCTGGCATTATTAAATGAGGCCTAGTTAGGTTGTCATGTTATGAGGGAATGGGATACCAAATGCTTAATTGTACGTATTGTCCTACTGATGCAATTTCAATGGTCCGTGTAAGCCGGAAGATACTGCGAGAGATCACTATATTGATCTAGGGTCTTGTTTTTGAATTCTCTAATTGTTCGACAAGCCATTCTTCTGTGAGATCCTCCGAATCTGTGAGATCAAAGACCTGCTCGACAAAGTGGGTTAAGAGACTGACAGTAGAACCCGGTTCATATCAATCCCAAGGCGCACCTTGCCGGAAATATCCGTTTGCTGATAGAGATAATTTTTGGTGCTAGCATACAACATCCGATTTGCTGTGCTCGCCGCTGGTGAACTTGATGAGAACATGCGTTCACGGCACTGGCCAGAATACACTTTTCGACTTACCAGCCGGGTTATAATAAACACCAAACAGAGGATATGAAACCCGGCCATCCTTGTGTCGGAGTTCAAAGCTCATCACTAGAAACCTTGGAGTTGTATCGGGAAGGGCATCCGATATGTCCTCTTGAATACAGTACGGAAGTAATTAAAGACCCTCCTTTGCACGGCCAGCACGTGTCCCTAGATCCTCACCAATTGAGGAGTCTTCCAAAAGTTCATCAATAACAACCTGTGTTTGAAGCAGTCAGTAGCGAACTCGCAGGTGACGTTACACTGAGAAAGCGTTGTACCTTCAGATGAGGTACATCAATCTTCAGAATGAGCGCCGCGTTCGTCTTGGACTTTCTGACATGTTGAAGCAATAGATGTTAACCAATGTGTTGGTGGAGAAAAGCGAATCAACTCTAGAATCTTTTTTGCTTCCAGGACTGACCTAAATCGAAAAGCCTAAAGTATGATCCACTAGTGAGTAGGTGGTATTGAAGGTTGTGAACTGTTTTACGCGCACCTTCACCGCCTCAATGACGTCTGCTGGAACGTCACAAGTATTGTCAACTGTGCTAGTGTTACTCTAGAGAAATGGATTTGAAAGCATTATAATCCAGCACCGCAAGTCAAAGGTCGAGAAAACGCCCACCATGACGATGATTGTTGCAAGACAAGTTGGAATATCAGTGAACCATCGACTTGTCCGCTGTCTAACCTAAGCATTTTGCGGCACAGCGACCTTCCGGACTCGTTGATTCGGACGCCCATTTAATATTCGTTGCCAGGAACGACAAGTGGGACGCAGCAAACCCACCCTTGATCTCTTTTACACGCGACACTTTTGATCTCGTTTCAACGTCTAGCTTCACTTTACTCCAATATCGCGCTGTCAGTCTGATAGTCCTATACAGATTCTTCATTGAAGCTTCCTCAAAATGGCAATGAAAATCCCCAAGTCTGGGTTTACCCAGCTACTCAAGGATGGGTACAAGGTAGGCGGTATCAGCGGGATGTCGTCGTTGTTTCGCGCTTATTAACCTCATCTTCTTGCGAATATGACAACAAAAGCACATGCAAGGGTTGGACGAAGCTGTCTTTAGGAACATTGCCGCTATCAAGGAGTTGACACAGATCACCCGCACTTCGCTAGGACCTAATGGTACCGCGTCAAAGACGGCGAGATGTTCCTACGTGTGGTGTGCTAATCGCTGCTATTTCTGAATAGGACGGAATAAGATGGTCATTAATCACTTGGAAAAGCTTTTCGTAACCAATGACGCTGCCACGATCATTCGGGAATTGGAAGTTATCCATCCTGCCGCAAAACTTCTTGTGATGGCGTCCCAGCAACAAGAGGCAGAGGTAGAGGACGATGCTGTAGGATGTAATCATATTAAGTTGGTAACGGTTATCTCTTTAGGTGGGAGACGGCACGAACCTTGTCATCGTTTTTGCCGGCGAGCTTTTGCAGCAAGCAGAGTACTTGCTGCGCATGGGCCTGCACCCAAGCGACATCATTGAAGGTTACCGAGTGGCAAGCAAGAAGGCTTTGGAGATTATAGAAGGTAGAGTTCGGAGGATCAATGCGCATTGTACGACTGGCACTCAATTGGCGCTACTTGCGCACTTTAGGTCTTGCCATTGATACGGTGAAGGATGCTTCGTCAGAGGCGGAACTGACGAAGGTTGTTCAAACTGCTATTGCATCGAAGCAGGTATGTCAAAGTGCGCGACTGGCTCGTTGACTAATATGTATTAACTTGTGAAATAGTATGGTTATGAAGGTTTACTGGCCCCCTTGGTTGTCGAGGCTGCCTTGACGGTTATGCCCAAGAACCCAGCAAACTTTAATGTTGATAGTATCCGAGTGGTCAAGATTCTTGGAGGGAGTATTCACGATACTAAAGTAGTCAAGGGAATGGTCTTTGGACGCGAACCTGAAAGTACGCGAAGAGTCTCATTCGCTTTAAAGACGAGTCATTGATCTCACTCTCCCCTCCAGGTGTGACCACAAAGGCGACCAAGGCCAAGGTGGCCATTTTCACCTGCCCGCTGGACGTTGCCCTGACTGAGACCAAGGGAACAGTTCTGATACATAATGCTTCGGAAATGCTCAACTTCAGCAAGGGAGAAGAGTCAAAGTTGGAAGAGGTGAAGAACGTTCAGTTCTTTTGCTACATAACGGAGAACGCCCAATTCACAACTGAATGTGTCTGTAGGTTATCAAGGAGATTGCGGACTCCGGCGTTAAGGTGGTCGTGACAGGCAGTGGAGTGGGCGAATTGGCGCTCCACTTTCTGAACCGATACAACCTGTTGGCGTTGAAGGTCTTGTCCAAATTTGACCTTCGCCGACTCTGCCGTGTGACTGGAGCAACAGCACTTACTCGTTTGGTACGTCAAATGCATTTTGCCCAGGCTAAAGCACACACGTGGGGTGACCGATCTTGATGTGGCAGGGTGCACCTATGGCCGAAGAAATGGGTTACTGTGAGGTCGTGGAGACTGTCGAAATTGGTAGCGATCGTTGCACTGTATTCAGACAAGAAGAGGAGGCAACCAAAACAGCGACCATTGTGATTCGCGGCGGTACTCAAAATGCGATTGATGATATAGAACGGGCTATTGATGACGGGGTCAACGTTATCAAAGCTGTGGCAAAGGACAACCGGTTATTGGCTGGTGCTGGGGCTGCGGAAATTGAGATTGCGAGACAATTACAATCAGTGGCCGAGAAAACGGCTGGACTGAATCAATACTCGATCAAGAAGTTTGCGGAAGCGTTGGAGGTCATCCCAAGAACGCTTGCTGAGAACGCTGGTTTGGACAGCACCGAGATCATTTCAAAGCTATATGCTGCTCACGCACAAGGAAAGGCAGCGGCAGGAGTGGACATTGAGAGCGATGAGAATGGACTGATTGACGCAAAGGAACATGAAATCTTTGACGCGTTTGCTCCAAAACACCATGCCATCCGAATGGCGACACATGCTACCTTGACGGTGTTGAGTGTGGATCAGGTGAGCAGGGAATTGACTAGTATGCTTGACAGAACTAGAATCACTAACGTCCCATTTTTTTTCAGATTATTATGAGCAAGCCTGCTGGAGGGCCAAAGGTCAAGGAAAACAAGGACTGGGATGAGGACTAAAGAAGGATTGTACAAAGAACCAAAGCGCGGTGACTGTATAGCTTGGATGAAATAATATGATTTGGCTTGTATAGTGTGCACCTGTCTTTAATCAAAAACAAACATGGTGTTGTTGCCATCCTTTCTGAACTGATCGTGATTGGTCTTATGTAATACAGTCCACCCACCGCGTATGTGACTGCTGGTGGCAAGAACCTTCTAGAAATGACATGTTCTCACGGCAACAGAGTCAGCCAATCAAATGCATTTTTCATTTTTCAATCTGCGCCACAGCGCAGTTCTCCATCGCCTATAAAAAAGCGCCGTTCCCCGTCCCCCCTCCTGTTTTCTTTAATCCTCTCAGGCCTTTTGGCTAAGATCAAGTGTAGTATCTGTTCTATTCAGTCTGATAACTGAATCTGTTCACATTGTGGACAATTGTTATCAAACTAATTTTTGAATTCCGCTGGGAGTTGATGGGCTTGCCCTAGACGCCTGGCACGGGTGTCCCCAGTCTTGCACTATCTCTGGGTGACGCCGAGGGCCTTTAAAAAGGAAGAAACAATGTCGTATGAATGTCGTAGAAGAATGGCCAATGATGTCCAAAAAGGTTGAAGGCTGTTATGTCGTAAAGCAAAGGCAACGTTTGACATTGCCTCTATATCCTCCGCAGAACTCATGTTTGCATACCACTGCCGCTTACTCACCGGCGTTGCCGTTGCCAACCACCACTAGTCATCAGTGCTTAACATTGCTTAACGTGTGCCCAGTACACTACCACATTTTCACAAAATAATATGAGGGAATGTCATCCCCTTTGACATGTTGCAATAAATATACTCTACAATGATTATGAAAGGTATGGCAGAAGCAAATACAGCTACGCTATAGCAACCCAATTAGACGTCTGTGCACCAAACCCCCTTTCCTTTAGCTGGCCACTTTCAGCAAGCTGCATGCAACGGCTCCAAGCTGTCGAGTCAGATCCTCTCTATCTACATCATGGCCTGTCATCAAGGTCAAATAAGTGTCTGGGCCAATTCCGTGTGACGAAAAGTGGTGTAATACGTACTGTCTTCCACTTCTCCCCATCGATCAATTTGATGCAATACTTCCAGGCGGGCGGCCTTGGCGGCGTCTTCTACCGTTATCCTCCTCCGGACCAATGCCAAGGCAACAATAAATGATTTACTGCTTAATACTGCCTTCTCAAATGCTGCCAGCGTGATCAAGTCAAAGTCTTCCAAGATGGACCGCAATTTTGTTACCACCTCTTCCGGTTGACGAATGGATAGGATACCATTGGTTGTCTTAATGTCCAAACCATACTCTTCTTTCATCCATGCCATGAGCGGTCGCCAGTGTTCATCTTGGAGTTTGACAAAGGAGTCGGGGTAGTCTTGATAGTAGCTACGCCCACATCATCAGATATCAAAACAAAACTCTTGCACAATCTCAAAAGACCTTACCAAATCGAGTCCGTGTGCACATATCGAAGCAAATTATCAATTACACCTTGTCGTGTTGCTTCATCGGAAAGTCCGTCGATGGATCGGACAATAATCGAAGTCTACAATGCTTTGGTAAACAATTTGATCTCCACCTCGTTACCATCCGTAAAATAACCCTCACCAATGGCAGAGAGTAAGATTTCAACAATTTGGCCTGGCCCTCCCATTCTCCAGCGACAAGAAGGGCGAGCAGTTTCCTACTCGCGGGGATCACCAACGGATTTCCATCGGGGGTCTTCATGCTTCGTCCGTCCAAAGTGACGTGGAACTGATCTGCAAAGAGGTTTTAGTACATTTTTTGTTTTACAAGATTCTTTTTTGCCTCAGACCTACCGTCCACGGGCTTGATCGCCACCTTCTTCCAAAACCTCGCTAGTTGCCCGGCTTTTGGGGCATACTTTGCTGCCGGATTCTCAACCTCCGCGGCCTCAGTTGAGTAGAGCTTGAAGAGAAGAAAATGCATTAGTTTGCAAAAGACTAAATTACTGCACGTTCCAAGTCAAACCTTGTGGAAAGCACTAGGGGCAGAGCGCACAACGGGGCGCAAGTGAGCGTGCTGAATGCGGTGCACCCGGAGAGCGCGGAGAGAGCGCAAACAGGAGGTCATGTTGCCGAAACTAGGGTTGCTAATGTCTGTAGCAAGATCCTACAACGACCTCAAAGCTCGTCGTTTGGCATCGTGCTGCATGTGCCACCCGTCACCTTGGCAACTAGTAACTCGATTATAAATCTACAGCTCAACAATAATTTAGAACCCGACATTTCTTGAGGGCGCGGTGGGTATCGGGAAGACAAAGGGCGACCAAGAACCTCTTTGCGTTTGTTGCTCGACAGCAAATCTTCAAGAACAGATTCAAGTAAACGATGGTTGTTCCAGCTATTCGGACTCCGCTGTCTTCTGCGCTGGTGGTGTCCCAACGCCAGGCAGCATGTATAGGGATTGGGGCCGTCGGGTAAGGGTTTGTTACATCCCAAGGATGACGTTGACAAACGCAGTTGATTCTGACTTCGTCCCTCGTACCAATAGTGCTTCGTCACCTGCCCTTGTTCAGCAATCCCGCTCCTTCACTCAAACGCCCCCGTCCGAGTCTATCTCTCAGATTGTTGCCCAAATGCGCGCAAAAGGTGGACCTACCTCTTTCAACGATGCGGACGTCAAGAAGCACCTACAGCCTGTCAACCCCTATAATCTTCCAAAGGTTGCCAATAATGCCGCTGAGTGGGCGCTTACGACCATTGACGGATTAATCAACTGGACTCGTACTTCTTCCATTTGGCCCATGACCTTTGGTTTGGCGTGTTGCGCTGTCGAGATGATGCACATGGCTGCGGCTCGGTATGACCAGGATCGAATTGGTATTGTCTTTCGTGCTTCTCCTCGTCAATCAGATGTGATGATTGTGGCTGGGACTCTGACGAACAAGATGGCCCCCGCGCTCCGAAAGGTTTACGATCAAATGCCCGAGCCTCGCTGGGTTATCTCTATGGGCAGTTGCGCCAACGGAGGTGGATACTATCACTACAGTTACGCAGTGGTCAGGGGTTGCGATCGTATTGTGCCGGTGGATGTGTATGTACCGGGTTGCCCGCCCACGGCTGAAGGATTATTGTACGGTGTTCTCCAGTTGCAGAAAAAGATGCGGAGGGAGCGTGTGACCAGAATGTGGTACAGGAAATAAGCAAGACATATATTTGAAGCAATACAACACGAGCGGACTTTGATTACACATTTATAGGATACTAGCTTGTACCCGTACCAAATCCGCTGAATTTATGTAAATGAAAAACATTGATCATACCCAAACAATGCGTCTCGTTCTCGGATAACAAACAGAGGATTCTATTGTTCAAGGGTGACCGTACACTTCCGTATCAGCCAGGAATATATATTATTTTTAATCTCGCGATCATATTATACATGGTCGAGATATTATTAGGGATTCTACGCTGGAAGTTGGAACTTTTTGCCCTTCAGGACTCTATAAAAGTGTACCCATTGAGTTTGCCGTTGAAATCATCTCGTACATGCCTCATGAGGCACGATGCCGTCACTCACCTCGTGAGGTATACGTAGAAGAAATCGCAGTACAGCCCCGTCTGAACGAGGCCCGCCAAAACTGGGATCCATTCTACATGGCCCTTTTCGGTAAAATACCGGTAAATCTACAGAAAGATGGTCACATTAGCATATGTAAAATCAACATGGGCAAGGCACTATGGCCGCCATATATTACCGGATACATACCCAATTGAAGATGTACAATCCACGGTAGGCACCCAAGGCAAACAGGTAATGCGTTGTAATGGTCTCAGCTTCTCCCGTTCGGGTGAGCTGGAAAAGCTGTGGTAGGATAGCCACCGATTCCAAGTATATTGAAAAGGCCCAGAAGATCTGCATAATTCGTATCTTCCAATGTTGAATTTGCATAAAGTGCACTCTGAAAGCACGTGTTTGGCATCTTACCTCAATTGGATCGAAACCTTTTGCGTAGTTGAAGATCAACGCCAAAAGTGCACAAGGAGCGACAAGATACTCGACGCGCAACGTGTCGAGATTTGGGTCCCATGTTGCTCGGAACCGCACTTTCATCAGATAAAGGATGTAGAACGATGTGCCAATGAAGAATATCTTCATCAGAGTGTTGTATAATGACACATAGTGCGTGACGAGATCCAAGTATCGGGCGCAAAAGACGCCAGCATACAGTGCTTGTGTTTTGAAGGAGATTCCTGGAAAGTGAAGAGAGAGTGAGAGGGATGGTAAGTGAGGCATGCTACAGATTTGCACAGTCTGTCCGAGTTTTTATATGCTCTCGCCCAAAGGCTCGCCAATTTCGCGCTCATCACAACCCGATTCTCAAGAGGATAAGCTCTTACCTGCCGCAGACCGCGTCTTTGTAATCTTTAGCAGTAGGATCACGATTGAAGCCAAATGCATCAAATCCGCAACGAGTCGAAAGATATTCATCTTTGTGACCTAGGGCAAGTCGCCGACAATGGACAATATCGCGGGATGGCTGCCTAGTACAGCAAGCAACTCTAGTGGTTTTCGGCGAAGCAAGGAGGAACTTGACTCCAAGTTGAATTTGTAGCGGTGCGCGAGCTCTTGAAGATCTGGTGTGAATTGTCCGCGCTATCCTGCCTAATTGCTCGAACTCCCCATGTCCCAAATCGGCAGTTCCGGTCGTTGCAAGTCCACGTTCCAATATGCGTTTCGATTCTTTGACGTAGTCCGCTCATGTCACGTGCAGTCAGGTGCAGTATACAATTATTCCTTTTTGAGCGAACAGCCAGCCAATCAGAATCGTCTGGCAGGATACAAGCCACGTCCAGCAAAAAATGGATTTCAAGTGTGTTGCAGGAACAAGCTCTCGTTTTTCCCTCCTCTTTGACCAGCTCTCAGACCGTCCCTACCTTTCACGACAAGCGGACAAAAATGGCTGAGCAGGTGGGTAATGCAGATGGCGAGGACGGTGGTATTGATGGGGAAGGAGTTGGAATGGGTTGCGGAGGGGGGACCGTGGAGATTGTAGGCCATGTGATGAAGGGTGGTGCAAGGTGTTGTGGACTGGAGCAAGAGTTGGGAGGAGAATCTTCTACTACCCATTCGATTGAAAAAGGCGGTGAATCCATTGATTTTGAGAGACCGAGTCTGATCCTGGGATTCTCATATGCAAGAGAGGATTCCATAGCTTGAATGAGGGACAGGTGTCATTTTTGGAAGTGAACGCGCACTGATACGCTTTTGCTACGCTCTTCCTCTTCGCAGACACAAAAGGCCTTCCAGAGCCAGATCGGCATCTTCCAGAACCCCAAGCTCACGGGCAAGAAGAGGACCGTCCGCCGGTGGTACAAGGATGTCGGTCTTGGCTTCAAGACACCCCGTGAAGCCATCGAAGGTCACTACATTGACAAAAAGTGCCCCTTCACGTCCGACAAGGTCAGCATCCGTGGTCGTATCTTGACTGGCGTTGTCATCTCCGTTGGCAAGATGGAGAGGACCATCATCATTCGTCGTGAGTACCTTCACTACATTCCCAAGTACAACCGTTACGAGAAGCGCCACAAGAACTTGGCTGCCCACATGTCCCCCTGTTTCGTCGGTGTGGAGGTTGGCGATGTTGTGACTGTTGGCCAGTGCAGGTAAGGATTTAGTTGATATTGTCAGTGATTCAAATGGATCAGGCATTTATCTGGTTTGTTAGGCCCTTGTCCAAGACCGTCCGTTTCAACGTTCTCCGTGTCCAGAAGAAGATTGTGAAGGGTGCCAAGTCGTTCGCAAAGTTCTAAGTTCATCCCATAGAACTATTGTGGATCATGTACTATAATAAATCTTGTGCGATTTGAACTTGCAGGCCCCTAATTGAATGGTGCTGATACTGGGCAAATGTAGTAGATTCACAGCTCCGCACTAACGCGGGAGTACGGTTGAACAGTTTGCAACCAGATGAGCCATGCACATGTGCAGCAATATCCACAATCTCAAATAGAGCATGGTTGAATAAGAAATACTATTCTGCACGCCAAAACCCTAAGAACATCGTCCAACTTTTACACCTGCATCACGGCAGGTGTGTCCACATCATCATAACTGATGATTTCTCGCTGCACGCCTCCAATCGGTCTATCCAAGTCGCGATGAATTCCTCCACCATTTGCTGGAGGAGCACCTTGTTCAGGTTCGGGTTCTCCGCTCATATAGCGATCCATTTCGTCGTCCAAATCAGTTTTACTTGCTGGGGTTGGACGGCCCCTACCCCGACCACGTCCACGACCACCGGCACCAGCACCCCTCCCAGCCCCGTTTCCTACTCTAGGTCCAAGCCGGTCTTCCAACTTTTGACCTAACCGCGATAAAATGCTCCCCTGGGATTTAGGCCCAAGGCGACTTGTAACTTTTCCTGAGCCGCCCCGGCCGCTTCGTTCCAATAAAGTAATCTTCATCTTCATTCCGTCGAGTTCTCGTTCGTCGAACGTATCGATGGCAACCTGTGCGGCTTCGAGAGTTTCAAAGGTCACTTCGGCATTACCTTCCGACCGGCCAGCATTGTCGTAGAAAATCTTGACATTCTTCACCGGATGACCGAGCGAGCTGCAATATGCAAAGAAAGGAAAGAGTATTCGAGGAATCCATCAATAGATGGGTGGATGAAGAGGAAGGTGAGGCTTCGATTAACGATCGCGTCTCAAAAAGATTTGGGCAAGTGACAACAAATGCTCATATCGGTGCGTTTTGTACCGACCCCATAAGTTCCCAGATGTCCGCTTCCGTAACCTTTGGAAAGCCAAGAAACCAGTTAGTGTCCGTATGAGAGCAAGAATGGTCTGCATATCACAAAGCCGAATAACACGTACATTCCAATGCAAGTTTTCAATGCGAATGCGCGTACTCTCGCTGCTACCTCCTCTCGCAGTTCCTAAAACAGTTCTACCCCGCTGCGCATTCGGACCATCGAAAAGATCGTGTTTCCACTGCCCCTCAACATTTCCCCGAGCATACGGCTTATCTGCATTTCGGTTGCGTCCTCCGCGTCCAGTTCTTGGCGAGCGCGAGAGCGTGTTGGTCACTGAAAACGCTACGTCTTCCCCATCAGCGTTATTCCGCCGCCCTGGACCTCTGAGGTTCCTGCGTCCTCGTCCGCGTCCCCCCCTTCCACGGGATTTTGCGGAAATGATATCCTCAAGGGAAAGATCCATCGGGTCTGACATGATTTACTGATTTACTACAGGAGACAGTTGAATAGATGATGTATAACGAAAGAGTCGGGCGAGGTAGGCGTCAAGAGGAACAGACTTGCAAAGGGACGCATTGCTGTTGCCACGGCAACGCCTGGCAAATATTCACCAATGCGGTATCTATATGACAAAGCAGGAACATGCAAACCAACTTGTAGATTTCAAATTCAAGCAATTTATTATCAACTATTTACAAAACAAAACGTTTGCAGTGCGTTTTGACAAAAACGCGGAATGAAGCCACCGACGGGCGCATGATCCAAATATTATACTATGCAAAAGAGACGGAGCGCGGAGCTTATTTAGCAGACTGGTACTTCGTCACAGCCCTACGGTAGTGGAAAATCGATTGTCAACAATCTGAAAGCAGCAACTTTCATTCAAGCAAGGCGAGTACATACTTGGTACCCTCAGAAACAGCGTGCTTGGCAAGTTCACCGGGAAGAATAAGACGCACTGAGGTTTGAATCTCACGTGAGCTGATGGTGGAGCGCTTGTTGTAGGCAGCGAGCTTGGATGCCTCTCCCGCAATACGCTCAAAGATGTCGTTGACGAAAGAGTTCATGATGGACATGGCCTTGTTGGAGATACCAGTGTCGGGGTGCACTTGCTTCAACACCTTGTAGATGTATGTAGAGTAGGTCTCACGACGGATAGTCTTCCTCTTTGACTTTTCCTTCTTCTCTGTTGCGGGCTTTGCGGGTGCCTTTCCAGCGGGCTGTCAAAGCGGACGATATTAGATTCTGACGTCCTCATGCTTCAAGCTCACGACAAAAGTCACCTTCTTGCCACCAGTAGGGGCTGCAGCAGCGGGAGCTTCCTTGGGTGCCATTTGTGTGTGTGATGGATGAGAGTGGTGCGGGTGAAAGGTCTTGGTCAAGTCGCAAAGTGTTTGTGAAAAAGACGTAGCGGGGGAAGCGCACACACGCCCGCCTTTTATAGACGAAGCTTCGAGCAGGTCATTTAACGATGCTTAGTAGCAATATACAATAAAGCCTAATTGGGACTAATTACGGTCACGTGAAAAACTCACCATGTAGCCTTTTATGGAAATATTGTACACGCTACTAAGCCACTGTAATATCGGCCTCATCGTCTCCGCTTGGAGCATAAAAGGCGACGCTCCTCGCCATTCCCCCAAGTCGTTTTCCGTATTCTGCTACGCTTCAAGCTTTGACGTTTCTCTTCAAGACTCACTCACGACCCTCTCTCTCACGCACACCTTACACAGCAATGGCCGGAGGAAAAGGAAAATCTGGTGCCGAAAAGGTAGCCGCCAAGACCAACTCAAAGTCTCGTTCCGCTCGTGCGGGTCTCCAATTCCCAGTCGGTCGTATCCACCGTCTCTTGCGCAAGGGCAACTACGCGCAGCGTGTCGGAGCTGGTATGTGTCTATATCCGATAAATGATCAACCATAGTGCTTTTTGGTCCATAGGCTAAGATAAATCATTCTGCATAGGTGCCCCCGTCTACTTGGCTGCCGTTCTTGAGTATCTTGCTGCTGAAATTCTAGAGCTTGCTGGAAATGCCGCTCGTGACAACAAGAAGACCCGTATCATTCCCCGCCATCTCCAGCTTGCCATCCGCAACGACGACGAACTCAACAGGCTACTTGGCAACGTCACAATCGCCCAAGGAGGTGTCCTCCCGAACATCCACTCTGTCCTTTTGCCAAAGAAGACAAAGGGCGCCAAGGGCAGCCAAGGAGAATCTCAGTAAACACCTACTTACACACGCATACACCCTTCATCGGTCAAGACCGATCTTTGATTTTAAAAAACGAAATCAGAGCTTTTCAGCTCTACTTTTTTAGTGTAGATATTTTTGTAAAGGTGCACCTTGGTTTAAATATTGAAGATTTGGCCTTTGTTTCCCCATTGAAGTAACGTTTTTGTTTTTGTTTTTGTTCCGTCGCTTGCAACTGGCACTGCAAATGACTTGAACTGCATTGGGCACATGACTTTTGTCGCGTGTCATCAGCGTGCCTTTAGCCAAAGCTCTACCACAGGCCTCCGCCTACTTGTAGAGCAAGTTACTTTTTCTCCCATTCAAGTTTCTTAATTACAGCAATACCAGAGGGCCTGAGAGCTCTACAAGTTGTAGGCCGCCTCATGGCATATCAGGGAGAGACTGCTGACTATGTAGGTGGTCTGCAGTCCACACCATTTACGTATGAACCGCCTTTTCTCCCCGACGACGACGACGAGGATTCCGACTCGCCGCCCACCTTTTTCGAACAACCTCCAGCTTCCCAGTTCCACGTGGCAGGACTAGAAGAGGTTCAGGTGTCTGATTACCCTGTATCTGATATTCCGAACGGTGGATTACCGGAACAAGCACTTTTTGGTGGACAACAGAGAGTCTATAACGGGTTTGGCGCTTATGAACCTCCTAAAATTGACTTTGAGGATGACGACGATGAGGATTCAGACGTGGGGGAGGCGCCGGCCTCAATTAGATTTGAAATGTCACCGCTAAACACTGATGGCCGAGGAGCGCCTTCAGGGCATGGCGGAGGAAATCCTGGCCGCCGCTTTGAAAGAAGACATAATCTCGGTATGAACTATAATCGGAGAAGAACTAAGACTGCTCTGTGGGGAGCTATGGAGGGGTTGTCGGCAAGCATAGCAGAACTTGGACCGGGCTCGTCCAAAGAAAGGTCGGTCAAGATGTGGGTTGAAACACAGAATCTGGATAAGCTCCTCGAGAAGGTATATTGCATACACATAAGCATACTCATTCCCTACAATCCATTTATGGCAATACTCTACTAGATATATGCATTCTATATTGGAAAGGGACTGTATTCCATTATCCTGGCGAGAATCACCAATCTCTTGTGAGTGTGCGTAGTCAGATATATCTATCATGCGTGGGGTCGTCCTGAGCTAATTTCTACAGCATCCTGGCATTCATTGTCGCCTTCTCAACGTTTCTTTTCGGGTGTATCGACTATTCACTCATTCGGAAGAAGCAGCTGTTGAGTGAAGTGATTCGTCCCCACTGTCTCCGCAGGTTGGTACTCCTCAATTCAAGGAGCTGTAATAAAGGATGTAGTTCTGATGGTATGTGCAGCATACACGGAGCCCCGGCCTTCATTCTGATCATATTCAGTATCTGGTGGACTTGGCAATTCCTACGGCTATTAACGGATATACCGCAGCTTCTAAGGATACATCGCTTCTACTATCATGTGCTAGGAATTACTGATGTAAGTTCAAACAGACCTTTCTTGTTTAGTTATGCCTGGGAAGTTGACGAGACCGTTATAGGCTGAGATGCAAACGATTGACTGGCGCGACATAGTGAATAAAATCATGCACATTCCCGACATACCGGGCCCAATGCAAAACCGTGCCATGACGATGAAACTGGACGCGCACAATATTGCCAACCGCATCCTTCGGAAGGACAACTACATGATTGCCCTGTTCAATAAAGATATCCTAGACCTGACCGTGCCATTACTCGGGCGGCGACAAATGTTAACGAAAATTATCGAGTGGAATCTGTCATTCTGCATTTTGTCCTTTGCATTCAATGAGGAAGGCAGAATCAGGAAGAGATTCATTAAGGACACTAATAGGTAATTACCCTCGGATTCGTGTCAAGATGCATGGTATTAATACGTCCTTGGATGATCGATGTAGATCCAAGTTGGTTAATGAGTAAGCAACGGAGCTGTTGCGATATGTTGGTTATAGAGTAACTAAAAATGTCTTTCTAGGTTGAAACAGCGTTTTGCCATGATGGGCCTCGTTAACCTCATATGCGCCCCCTTCCTCTTCTTCGTTTTCATTATGCATTTCTTCTTCCGATACGCACAGGTTAGCTTTAGTATTATATAGAACCAACCCAGCTGATCACTGAAATTTCATTCCATTGTACTCTTTCGCAGGAGTTTCATAAGAACCCATCCTCACTTGGATCTCGTCAATATTCTCCTTTTGCAAGATGGAAATTCCGCGAATTCAACGAGCTTCCGCACCTGTTTGAACGCCGGCTAAACCGAAGTTACCGCATGGCTACGAAATATATGAATCAGTTCCCAAACCAGAAGATTACCATATTGGCACGGTATGTGTAGATTGCCTGAGTAGTACTGGTACAGTTTACTTATATGAGTTGTCTAGATTCATTGCGTTCATTACTGGCGCCTTCTTGGCGGTCCTGATTATTATGACTATGATCGAGGAGGAATTGCTTCATGGGTTTGAAATCACACCAAATCGCTCAGTGTTCTTCTACATTGGGATATTTGGAACTGTCATGGCCGTCAGCCGAGGCATGGTTCCCGATGAAAATGAGGTTTTTGAACCTGCGAGAATGCTGCGTCAGGTGGTGGCAGAGACTCATTATCTGCCTTCTGAATGGAGAGGGAAGATGCATTTGGATGAGGCAAGCATCCTTGGCAATACCATCACACATTCATCAATTAATTCCCGACATCCTATTTGTACAGGTTCGACAGCAGTTTGGCATCCTCTTCGAGTACAAAATCGTCCTCTTCCTTCAAGAGATTATGAGCGTTCTCTTTGCCCCTGTCATTTTGTGGTACTCTCTCCCATCATGCGCTGAGCAAATCGTGGATTTCTTCCGGGAGTTTACTGTCCATGTTGATTCCCTTGGATACGTTTGCTCTTTCGCCGTTTTTGATTTCCAGAGGCATGGAAACTTGAAGGTTTGTCATCACTAGGACGTTTGCGGACTGGAGGTGGATTTGTATCTCATCATTCCTCTTGATCTTCTCAGTACGGGGTCCCTACACAGAACCAGGACGAATATTACATATCCAAAGAGGGTAAAATGGAGCAGTCCTTTGTGAACTTTAAGGTATGCCGTTTTATATCCTCTGCAGTGAAGAGTTTGCGAACGTTCCAATCTAATCTGTTTATCAGATCAACAATCCCGGCTGGGAGCCGAGAGTCGATGGATCGCAGTATTTGAATACAATCCTAGCTCGAGGGAACGAGTTGTTACAGTCGCAGTATATGCCAGACCCTGGCAATTCCTCCTCATTGCTCTTGCATTCCTTGTTGAGACCGAGGGTAAGGGACCATATCAAGGTGTGTTTGTTGGCCAAAAACTGACACCTATTCGCCGCTTCGCAGCGTAACGTAAAGTTCAATGAGATGAGCGGAGACGATCGTCACCCTGCTTTGCAAGGCTCTCCGGAACGGACCGTCGGGACGTCGCAACACCTTCACCCTCTTCATAATGGTCAACCACATCCATTGTTTTATGGAACCTCGTCCACTTTGGGAATAGGTCAACGACAGCTGCAGCAACAGCCGCAGCTTGCCGAATCTATGCTACAGGGATCTGAGATTGGCGATGGACGAGATGTGGGCAGGACGCTCTTTGCCCTGCTGGATGCGATTTACGAGTCCAATAAGACTCTATATTAGTTTGTAGATGATCGATTACACCATGTACAGTTATTTGTAGCAATAGTTCTTTTTTTCTGGTTAAATGAATGTATATCCAAATTCGAACACTTTTGTGATTACAATATTATTCGGTTTTTACAGATCGAGGCACTCCAGCTGATCGCATTGCAGCCCTCGCCACCAAAGCTTGTCGTCCCAAAATGGCCGTAATGAGTCCCAGGAGGCTTCCGTAACCCAGCAATTGGAAAAGATTCAGCTTTACCCAATAGACATAATATAACAATACGCAGAGCGACAGGCTCCCCATAAAGGCCGACCCGGAAATAAATGAAACCGAACTGCTGAACAAGTTTGTAAAGTTCGCACCCAATACGATATACTATCATTGGGTGAAGCATTAGCATGGTTCAGTGCATGAGGCCGCATACTAGCAAACTCCACTCACCGATCCAAGGAGTAACAGCCATGGGGCCAACACAAGTCCACTAAACGTTAAGGACAAGATCTTATTCGGCATTTTGTCAGCCGGACGGAATTTGTGCGTTATCTCTGGAAGTGGTTGGAAAACATCCCAGTCACTCGACCCTTTTGTTGACGGTCCGGCGATTGAGAACTCCGCGGTACCAAGTTTATGAGCAAGAGGCTCCGTGTCTACAGAGCCTGCGTATAACGTCAGAGTGTGCGGGCCTGGGTGAAGTTTGTCGAGGGTTGACTGATCCTGTCGGGTAGAATTGGTCGGCTTGACATCTTTTATACTTTCGCTGTATGAAACTCACCAGCTCGCACGTAAAGACACCTGTCCCCTTCGATGCGCACACCAACGTCTTCTCATCTCTCGTTTTATCGTTCCTGGCTCCTAGGAACAGATGCTGCAAGGACAAAGCCTTGCCTTTGTCATCTTTAACAGGCACGTTCAGGGTCAGCTTGCTGCCTGAACCGAGGGTGAGAGGTTTGGAAATTCGGGGCGGGGAAGTTAAACTTTATTTGACAGTAGAGGTCAGTACAAGGGAATGGGAGCTACCCCAACGAGTCACATGCGCTCCACCTACGTTTCTGAACGAATGTCTGAGCCATCTGCCCCAGTGATCTTCAACGTTATGTCACCGAAACTTGGGATGACACGGCGCGCGTATACATGGCCGACAAGAGCAAGAAGCACAAGGAGTATCGGCGACAACAAGATTTGTGAGCGCATCGTAGGGAGAGTCTGCTTTAACAAGGAATACGAAGTCAAATGCCCAATGTCCTCGATCGTACAATTCCCTGCGCGTCTGGAAACGGCAATGCTCAAGTAGTTTCTATAGCAACAACGAGTCATACATGAGTGGATCCACAATCAAGCCAGATGCTGACCGATGGGTGTGGACCTCCTTTACAGCGCTCAGATGGCCAACATTAATCTTTGCCGAATGTCACACTATGCAAAGAGCAAAGTTTGAATACCACCTCAATCTTGCCTCCGCATGGCTACGACGAGGAATTCTCTTCTTTTCATTCTCGTCTGGTGATGACCATGACGAAGAACCGCTTGAGGATACTTATTATCGGAATGAAGGGGATCCACCAAGCCGGTCAGAAAAGGAGTTCCAGCGATATCGATATGGATTTTATAGACTATTTGGTATGTCCATTGTGATGAAACTGTTGGGTTTGTTTTCATGCTACGGGTGTCTATGTAAATATCTGACATCTGGGCCTTTGAATAGCGGAGATCACAAAGAAGGGCGAGTCGAAATCATATCGCGCGCCCGATACGATAGATGAAAGAGAAGACTTTGGTAGATTTCTGGACAGAATAAAGTTTAACGCGTGCGTTTCCTTGGTCATTTTCTTTTGAATGTCTGATTGATTAATCTTTTGCCGCCTTCAGCCAGATTTCCTACGGACCTATTACCTTCCTTCTTCATCTCTACCTCCTCTACACTTACACAACTCGCACCATCTTTTGCCCCTCCTCAAAATACCTATCCTTCAACCCAAACGCCGAATGCCCACCACATACTGTCACGTTCCTCGATCACGTTTACGCCATTTTGTTCGCCTTCTACACGGCAACATTTATAGCACATTTCGTTTATCCAGCAATGGAACGCATACTCCTTCTCTACGGGGTATATATTGTGAATGGGGCAGTATGGACCGCGTGGTGGTTTTTGTCGGCCGATGCGATAGACAGAGCAAGGTGGAAAGGGAGAGGTGCAACGCGACCTGATGGCGGAGTTGGGACGTGGACGACACTGTGGGTGCCGATTCTTCATTGGTGGCTTTTTCTCATTGCCCGCAGGCGGGTATTGGGCTTGATTCACTGGGAACATGAAAATTGGCTGATGCGAACGGACAGATCAATCGCGGAACGGGGCGTCAAATCTCAATTGTCACATTACTTTTGCTACCAATTGTGGGCATATCTTTCTTCAGCGCTCCCAATACTCACATGGGACTGGCTGATAAAGCCACAAGGGCCGTTTGCATGGCAATCCACAGACTTGCCCAATTGGCCGGGTTCCTTCAAGGTGACGATGTTGGCAGCAATCAGCACTTGGGGCCTGAAGATTTTCTTCAGCTTCCTTCATTTCCAATGCTCTTGTGTGGCATGGACTGAACCTTTTCGGAGGGGACTGATAATTAATGCTTTTGAAGGAGAACTGAGAGTCGGTATAATTTATTGATTTAGGCACGCTGCTGTGACTTTGCAAACAACTAGCCTGCCCATGTGACGTTGGGTCGCTCTAAGTATATAAAGATTCCACCTAGCTAGCATAGCAACGATAGATAGTAGCGACAGAGTTACTAGTGATACAGCGAAGCTGCTATTGCTGGATATGTACGTGTAGAGTCCAGATTTCCATACACCGATTTATACACGTATGGTGTCAGGCACAACTCCAATAGCTTTGCAAGTTTCCACAAACTTTGGCAAATCCTGTAGACACGACAGTACATATCAGCCAAGCAGCTCAGACTTTGGCCACGCCATACCCAGTGACCTACCGTTCTCCTGAGGTACTTCAAAATCTTCATCCGCTTTGACACCCATTTCTCCAGTTGTCGCTTGGTAGAGACATCTTTTCGATGACTCTTCAAATGGTCTGTCATTGCTTGAATGCGGACTGTAAAAATCGCAGCTAGAATATAGACATGTAGTTCATTAGTACACTATCTGGGCGACGATCTCATACTGGCGCTGAATCCTTACCCTGCACTTCTGGGCTTCCGGTATCATGCGGCATTCTGCCAAACAACTGAACGCATCGCTCCGTATTGAATTTTGTAATCTGACTTCGATTCGCGTTTTCCAGACTCAGGATCCTCCGAAGCATTTCAGCCTTTGGCTCTGCCATATCAGCCGAGAGCTGCCCCTTGAGCGACGTTTTGGCAAGACGTGGGGCATCCACAAACAGCAATTCAGCTTCTGAGGGAGTGAGACCATGAGCGTAATATGGTCCTGAGGCCGCAGGCAGTGGGATCTCCTCTACACCTTCGGGTTGTGCAACGCCACGAAGAGCGATGGGTGTCCTCTCCGGAATGATATCCGCGACATTCGCAGGGAGTTTCATTTCCTTCTTCACATCTTCTTGACCGGTTGTTCGAAGGCTAGGCATACGAATACTACCTGCCCTCTCCTGTTCGCTGACTCCATCCGCGCCCTGCTCTCGTGCCTCCTCCGCAGCTCTTTGACTCCGTTCCTCCGCGGTAGCTAAAGTGTCCTTAAGACTACCGGATACGATGGGCTCCGGGTGAGGCTTTTCAGGTGTTGCAAGGAAGGGAAGCAGCTTCGATTCAGGTGGAGGAGTAGGCTGGGCTTGGGACACGGCGGTTGAAGAGCGGGTGGTTGTGGTAGGTGAGCGCCGCTTGTCACGCCCAATTTCTGCATATTTATCTCCCAACCGTTGCTGTAGATTTGCTATTTTCTTCTGGTTCTTTTCCCAAGACTTTTTCGAGATTCGTACTTGGAGGGCTGGAATTCGGGTATGAACGGTAGTGCTGGTATGGAAATGTGTGGAAGGAGAAGATAAGCACAGAGCAGAGGATGGAAGCCGAAGGGATCTCGTTTGAGACCCGCTGCTTGATACAGCTAATCTCCACAACGGGCTCGACATTTCTTGAAAAACGTTGGCCAAACTTTGGAAATGGTCGGAATTTCGTAGCAGAACGAGCAAGATCGGAGAGGCTCATGAAAATGCTTGTTGCCATGACATATCACGTGTTCTCAAGATCGACACAAAAGATGATGGGCATTTGGGATGAAATGTGATATACAAAAAGAAAACAAATCTCTACAGCCTATCCTACCCACTCTCTATTTTACTATATCGCTCCACCGCATTATGCTGTAATAACGGTTTCGATAGTAGCACCTTGTGATCCCGCAATCAACTTTGCATTTGAAATAACCTGAAGGACATCTTTTAGATTTGCCTTCCATGCATTCAATTTATCGTTCAACTGTTGCCATTCTGTCTCGCTGAATACTCGGTGGACCGATCGACCCACAACAACCGTGCGCTTCAACTGATTCATTTTGGCGTCCATCAACCCAGCCCGAATTACGTTGATGACCCAAATCTCCACTTCATCCTCCGGAACGTCGAGAGTTTGAGCAATGGTGTCATACGCAACCTCTCCCTGGACATTTGCAGCAGCCAAACTTGCCATAGATAGAAGGCGCATCTTTGTGAGATTGTCCTCCTCCGAAAGTCCTAACCAATGCCTACGTCAGTATAAAGTGAAGCTATCAAGCGGAAAAGCGTGGAAACGAACCGTGTTCGTCAATGAACCCAGGATTTGCTTTTACAAACTCCTGGTATTGTTTCAGGCTTTCGTCCAAGAAAATCTTAAGGAGGTCAAAAAGCTTGCTTGGCTTGAGAGCCTGGACAGCTTGCAATTTGAACAAGTCCTCGAAATCAAGCACCGTGGGGATGCGGAAAGCCTCCTTCACTGCACGAATAGCAGCATCCTTTGCCTCTTGCAGTGACTTTGCATCTCCATTGTCGAACGTGGCAAGATATTTTAGTAGAAACTCGTACGCCTCACGAGTGCTATAGTATAAAGGTATAAGTAACCCCGTTCATCCACGACATATAACATAGACTTACTATTCCCCGCTCTGCTCCAATTTTTGGCTGATGAGAAGGTATAATGCTCTTCTCTGGTTTAATGCCACACCCCATTCCGCAATCCAAGCATCCAAAGACAACAAGTGGGGAACAAGAACGTCCAGCTCGCCGGTCTCAGCCGCAACGTTCAAAATTGCTACAAACACATCGTAACGGACAGGAGAGTTGCTCTCAAGGTTGTTGTAGAGGTTCGAAAGACTGTGACAAAATCAGCACGTTGTAAGCCCTGCGTATCAGCCTGAACATTACGAGCGATAATTACACTTTGAGTCTCAAGTTGGCCTTGTCGGTGCCGCTAGCAACGATTGGCTGGATGATGCTGTTTACGAGTTTGGGTACGATTTCGGGTTGAGCATCCTTGATCAAGGCAATGAGAAGATTGTACAGTGGCTCGAAATCTGGGGTAACAGAGAGGAGAGTGTTAATCCTCTGCAAGCCAGCGGCCGCATGCTAAAGAGATCTGGCAGCAGACGATATTTCTCCTTTGTCCTCGTCCTACTACCAGGCTGAGAGTCCTACCTTTCTCCGTTGCCTCCAGCAAAGCAGCGCTCTCATTCGCAAATTTGGTTAGCACCTCCGTGTACTTCTCCTCAGAGAGCAATTGCTTTGTCGATTGAAAAAAGGCACCAGTCTCCGCTTGCTCCCCCTTGGCCACGCCAATATAGTTTGCGAGCTCGAGAGCGGACTACGTCAAACAGACAGATCACCAGTCAATCAGGCATGTCGAAACAGGCGGGATCAGACAAACACTCTGTCCCTCCCACATTGAATTTCTTACCTGATCCCCGGAGAAGAAGGCCACACTAGCGGAGGACATTGTGCCGATGTGTTGAAGCCCGAGTGCAGGAAGGTCAATTGGCTCAAGAATTCATTTTCCACCTGGAATGACTGTGCCGTCGGTTGCGTGGCAACTGCAAAGAATGCTTGGGATATTGCTGCCTGCATCTCAAGTAGACAAAAGTTCGATGCAGCAAAACGAGAATAGGAGATGATGACCAGAACCTAATCTTTTGTTAAAAATATCTAAAACTACCATATGCAAAATCGTGCGCCAGATTATATTCACTAGTCTTCTTTTACCAATCGTGCTTGATGTCCTTTACCATTTGCACGCCCTTTGCCCAGTTTTCGATTGCGCCTTTTCTGGTCCTTATTGTCGATTAAGGCAGTCTGCATCCTACTCTCGTCATTCTTTTCGTACTGGGCCATTCGTTTGGAAAGTTTTTCAAAGAACATGTTGTTTTCGACATGTTCAGTGGGTTCCTTGTATGAACCCCCGATGCGATCCCTATAGTTAAAAAGAAGGAAAAAAAAGTTCAAGTATGTGCCATACTAATCGAGAACGCTGCCAAAGGAGATCCATACCACAGAGTCGTGTATTGTCCGTAGTTATAGTTGAACTCCAAATGATGCACTGTGTGGTGCGCTGAGCTATTGATAATGGGATGTTGGGTAAAGTACGCTCTGCAAAAATAGGGAGAAAATGCGGCAATCATCTTAGACGCTACTCCCACAATATCAAAAAAATGCTGTTAAGTAGATTCTCACCCATCATGAATGCTGATCGTCCATATCTGCACAAGCACAAAAGCCGCAAGATAGGCATATGCATGCATCGGGAAGATGAATACAAAGGCATGATAGGGTATGGATTGAAAATATCCATCCTGTGGAGCAATTGGGAGATGGTGAGATCCCTGCGTCCACGAAGAGTATCATTCCGACCACGCTTCACTCTCGTGCGGATCCCAGTTCCCTTGCGCCAACCCGTGAAATCCCACAATTGGCCACGGGTATGAGTCCCCAGTCCTTCCAGCAAAGCATCAGTGTCTCAGTATCTTCAACCTACCAGCGGGTGGAACGCAAAGCTTGCAAACGGCGTCGACACTTTCCATGCATGATGTTGTTTGTGCAGCCACCAATAGAGCATCGGGTGATGCTCGAACCGATGTATCCAGTAGATCAAACAATCCGTGAAGGCCAAAAACATTCCAATACTCAGGTAAAAGTACCCCCACCCATAGTCGTCCACATTCTTGTACAATTTACTGTAACCCCGCACTTCGAAATAGAACCAGGGAACAGTTACCAAGGCGGTCACAGGGAACGAGGTGACGGAGAGCATTATCTCGCGCCGTATCTGATTTGGCAGGAACTTTGGATGCTTCATTAAGGAGTGGTCGAAGAGGAAGTAGTACGATAAGGTAGAGAAAATGAAGTAAAGGAGGTTGACGCCGACAACGGCGATAAGCCAGAGGGAGAAACATTGTCGAAATGCATGATGCCGGTCAGCGACATAGGGTTGAAGTGTCGAAGGAAATTGGGCATACAAGGCATCCAGCCCATGGTTGTCGGCTAAATCGAGGATGACATCCATACTAGCGACACTGCCGAGAGTAGGCTGCAATGAGCAAAGGCAGATGGCCTCGTTTTTTGTCTATTTTATCTTTGCCGTACCGAGAGGGGATGTTCTGCAAGCAGCGAAGCTTACGAACCATTAATACCAGTCATTCTTACAAAAAAAATCCATCACCGGTCCTTGGAAGAAACCACGGAAATGCCACCCAACCAGCAAGTGTTTCTTGCCATGGTGTGATGTGTATCGCGCTTACGCGACTGGGTGGGGTGATGGGACGCGCCAAAGGTCGCGAACACTTACGTGAGCAAACTGCCATTATTTCAGATTCCTTTCCTGTAGAGTTCACCTTCCTTTGACTATTGTCGCCGATGCGGAAGCTGTTATAAGGCTCTCATTATTTCCCATTGGGCTGTGTTGCGGACATTGGAACAGCCAAATTCAAATTCATTGATTGATTGTGTGTTGAGTAGACCAAGGTACAGGACCACCCAGATTGTTGGACGACCGTTTATCCGAGCGATCAGCGGGACATTGCCGACGGCATGCATACATATAGCATTAGCATTTTCAAGTTTCGTTCGCCAGAAATTATCTTTACCAACAACGTATGAAGTCCATTCCATACGTCAGCATCAAAATCTCTCTCCTATCAAATATGACCATTGCTTGAGCAATGATGCTTGGGAAGGAGCATGCACCAATAGTCGTCCCATGAACTGCAATTGGGAAAACTGGTGGCGCTTTGAAGAACACGTATGATCCAGATAACCAAAAGTCCTGGTCAGGTAGACTGCACCCCACCAAGTGTGGAACCACATTAATAAGGATCCATCTTGATTTCGGTGTGAAATGGAGCCGAGACCACTAGAGCTTTTTCACCCACAATAACACTTGTGCCAGCTAATTGGAGCTACTGGAACTTCATCTTACTTTCCCATAACGGCCTTGCCCGCAAGCGTCAATGGTGGTACTTTTGGAAGCTCACCGGTCGATCTGTGTCCCGTCGGGAAAACACTAATGGATCAAAGTAATTTGAGGAGGAGTTATATTCGAATTTTGTTCTAATCATGACCGGTCCACTAGCAGCATATGAGGCAGCCGTCCTATAGTATTCTAATGGATTGTAGTGTTTTCCATTCTGCTTTTGGGTTGAGTACCGGTCTGTAGAAACGCGCTCAAGTCGGTGGATTACGAGATCCTCATCACGTGCCGTCGACCCGACGTGAAGCTCAAGCAACGACGTCCAGAGATCTCTGTTATTCAAGTGACCAGTTCAGTATTATTTCACTCATACAGACAAATAAAGCAAAGCATATGATGGTGGTAAATAACTTTTATTGAATTTTGTCTTTCTGTACTTTGTGTCTCATAATTAAGATGTTATCGAAGTTCGAATCAGGAGACAGTTCCGATGAAGGAACGTCCATTGCCAGGGAAGACGAAGTAGATGGTACATATTGTAATCGAAATAAGCAACCCTTAACGTAGATTGTGAAGTAACGTTCAAAGATCCCAACGGATCCAGACGATAATGATGATGCCACTGATTTCAAGATCAGTGAAGAGCTGTTGAAAAAGGAACGAGAATACATGTAAGCATGAAATCTTCAAAATAGGAGAAGGGATACCCGATCAAGGGCTAAAGAAGGTACTTTTCAGCCGAATGAACAGAGAAATACAGTCAAAGTCGGCCAAGATCGTTAGAGCTGTTGAAGATGTTGTTGTAAGCCAAACTGTGCACTGGGTGTGGTGACTGGCATGGTCATGAAGCGTCTTCTGCTTGTAGAGAGAGGGAAGGGAGACATTAGTTCGGCCTGTGACAGCACCATGCGTAAGCCGCGCGGCGGAGGACACCGTAGGGTAAGAGTTAAAGACATCCACCTTAGCACAGTTATTTATGTGGGTACCCCGCTGAGGCTAGTCCATTCGCAGGCCGGCTGCAGGAAAGACAACAAGGCGACCCCAAACTGGGCGCACTGTTACTCCAGCGAATTCGAAGCGGAGGGTATGTTGCCTCTGCATACTCTTTGGCGGTACGTTTCTCATTCACAATGCCTTTCAGAAAGGAACGCAACCTGTTGCAAGTCTGAGCAAATCGTCACAGTATGTGCAATGGTAGCCTACTTTCCTTTGGAATGCATCTGACTGGTCTTCAGTCAAAAGGAAGCGGCGCACTCGTCGACTCCACTTTCTCGCAACGCTTCTGCCGATATGCCCCAGCAAACAGTCGAATCACAATCATTGAGCGGGTTACCCCCAGATGTAACCGATGAAGCCATTGGGTCAGAAGCCGCCAACCGTATTCTAAAAGCGAGACTGCAAATGATGCAGCAGGACATGGACAGATTGATTTCAGAGCATGAGACCAAGGTATATGTGGTACATATTGTTCTCTGCCAATGCCGTCCATTGACATGGCATCCAAGAATGAAATGATATCCTCTTTAGACCAACGTCTGAAGCTAGCGGATACTGAGAATTCCAAACTTTCAAAAGGGGTCCAATCTCTCCAATCCCAGGTGGACAAATATAAAAAGCAGAATGAAGAGCTCAAAAAGCGAGTGGAGAGTACAGAGGGGGAAGCTGCTACACTGAAAAAGGTACGACCAAATGTACGGTGATGAAGAGTACAATTCAGGTTTCCTTACTCCAAATTGGTAGGACATGGAGGCAAAGGCTCGTGCCCAACGGCAATCGGAAACCGAGGGAAATGCCAAAGATGTCAGGTAGCAATACACTCGGTCTCTTGGTTGATTGATACACGTTTGAACAACTCTACACCTTTCAAAAAGGCTGAATCGAGCCTTAGATGAGATCGAGCGACACAAACAGGCAGCAGCAAGAACAGCGGCCGATACCAAAGTTTGTAGATAACGACTTACGCTTCTGCTAAACCAGAGGTATTGATCAGGCCTGTTACCAGGAAAAACTGGAAGAATCCAAACGTGTGAACGAAAAGCTTTTGGCTGACTTGCGGAGAGTGCAAAAGCAAAAAGGCGAACTGTTAACTGCGTTTCGCAAACAGGCCCAGTTGATTGATGTGCTAAAGCGGCAGAAGGTAGGTTTGTATCTCCTTTGGGTCTTCTTCATTATTGCCTTGCTGAATTGGGACAACACAGATGCACATTGAAGCCGCCAAGCTGTTGGACTTTACCGAAGAAGAGTTTGTTAGAGCCCTGAACTGGGAAGTGTAGTGCCCCGTAAAAGTGTACATAGATATTTGAGTGATCTAAAAGCATTCTTTGGCGGACATTAGTGGTCTTTGAATACGTCCCTAGCCATACGCAGGGTAAGCCGTGCGTCTGTCGTTCTCGTGCTCAAGGGTTGTTCACAAAATCCAGCTCACGGGCACGAAGCCCGAGCGCCCCCCCATGATTGCGTTATGCGACGCGACACGACACGACGCGAGCAATGCAGAGCAGAAAGCGCAGCAGCGATTCCCGCAAAATGCCTGGCAAAGCAGCTATTTCAGTCGCCTTTTACCGAGCTTTTTCTAGAGTAGCCATATTGATTCACAATCGCAATGTTTCATAAACGTATCATTCAACTCATTGCCGTACTCATTCCCGTCCTTGTCCTGACAATGGGCCCGCTTGTCGTACTGACTCTGTCCTTGTCGACCACCTTATTTCGGTATTTGGACGCTATGGCTCCGCCAAATAAATGAGACCCAGTAATCATTCATTATATCTATTTAGTCCCGTGCTTCTCGTTTATGTGGCATGGTACGCTTTATTTGATCGCGATCCGTGGAAGGGCGGAGGGAACCGAGTCAACGACGTTCTAAAGAACAGGCTGTATTTGCCAGAGCATATCCGGTAGGGACTGACCGAGTAATTGTGATCCGCGGGTGCATCAACGGCTAATGCCTTGAATGCCAGCGACTATTTCCCGCAAGAGTTGCACAAAGAGGCGGATTTAGATCCAGAAAACGGGCCCTATCTGATGGGTTTGCATCCTCATGGCATTATCTGTAAGGGTGGCTGACTATTAAGCTTGTGGAATGTGTACCGTTAACTATCAATCTCCAGGCTACAGTCATTTTGTCAACGTTCTCACGGATGTCACCGGATTCAAATCTCTCTTTCCGTCCATCGACCGCCGTATTGCCACGCTCAATATCATCTTCCTCTTTCCGTTCATTCGAGAGCTCGCATTGATTCATGGTCTTATTAGCGTTGAAAAGAATTCGATCAAATACTGGCTGAGTAGAGGTCGAAATAAGGCTGTTGGAGTTGTGATTGGCGGGGCAGCCGAGAGCTTGGAGTGTTTTGAGGGAACGAATAGGATCGTCTTGAAGAAAAGGAAGGGTTTCTTTAAGGTTGCTTTGGAAACTGGGTAAGAGCACGCTGCATCTCTTCTAGAATTCATTTCCTTAACCAGCAAACAGTGCAGCCCTCGTTCCGATATACAGTTTTGGAGAAACATCGCTATGGAATCAAATGAGCCACCCTATGCTCTACAAACTTCAAAAAGCACTCCTGCGACTATGCGGCTTCACCATACCTCTGGCTTACGGACGATGGTATACACTGATCCCGCGACAGCAACGTGTCGTCACCGTTGGTACGTTGCAGCCTTGCTAAGGACAGGTAACCCCCCTGATACGTTGCCTATCATACTTGCAGTAGGAAAACCGATACCCGTTACTAAAACGGAAAATCCAACCTCGACTCAAATCGACGAACTGCAAGCAAAATACATTCAAGCTCTGCAGAGCCTTTATGACAAATATAAGGATGAGTACGACAAGGTAGGAATGTCTGTGATCTCTATGTCTCGTTGCACAACCTCTCACATTGCTATAGGATCGGAAAGAGGAGTTGAAGATTGTAGGATGAATCAATGCATATGAGGCAGATTAAGGGATCTGAGTATGAGGAAAGGCGGAGGAAGTAGTAATTAAAGGCACAAACAGGAAACAAGAATTCTTTGACAGCAATCGCGTCAGACAATGAGTTAGCGTCCTGCGATATGGTTAACTGCCCTTGGTCATCTAAACTGTATTTATGTACTTTTGCAGACTTTTATTGCTGATAATAAGCATTTGCACCATATACGATTTCTTCATGGTAAAACTGCAATTCGATTCGATGTTTATTGAGTTCAACTCCCGCTGCTTACTCAATCCGATCACGTGTTTATCAATATAACCTTTTACGAACAGATCGTGAATTGTTTTTGGCGAGTTTCTTGAGCTTTGGCGATTTGAATTGCTGGAGAAGGATGAAGGTCAAGCGTCAAAAGACAAACAAGCGTCATATAAGCGTTTACACCCATTCCTTTGGGTTTAGGGAGCCGTATCAAGTGTTGGGTAAGGTTCTCATTTTCGGGAGCGAGCGACAGAGAAATTGAATTGACCGAGTGCTGTTTACAGTGGATGGAAACTTTATAGCTGTTGCGCTTCAAATGCGAACAGATGTTAGGGATGCTTTGCCGAAGGTGCTAACCGGTACTGCGAGGCCGAGTAAGTTTGATTAGAGAGAGTTTGAGAAAAACACACATGCACAATCTGTTTGGACACCTGCTCACTGTTGCTTTTTCTAGTGACAACCTCGTGTGTACAAGCCGAACTTCGAGCGCTCGGCCCGGATTTCACTGGTGCTTCGCTGAATGCTAAGCGTTTCGAGCGTCGTCGGTGTGCACACACCCATTCCCCCGTTCCCGCTGCCGAATGTATACGACAAATCATTGGAGAGTCCAACCAGCACAACTACTGTGTTGCCACACAAGATCAAGCATTACGAAGCGACCTAAGAAAAATACCTGGCACACCGCTGATTTACATTAATAGAAGCGTTGTCATACTCGAGCCGCCGAGTGCGGCTACCATGGCGAAAATACAGGAGGTAAATGGTGTACGGTCCTTGATCATCCTACGAATGTCACTAAGCGACTTTCATGAAAAGATGGAGATTGCAAAAACTCTTCCTCAGTCTTTCGAGGTCTCTATTTTGAACAAACCAGAGCCACTTGCGCCTGAGCCATCAAAGCGTAAGAAGAAAGCAAAAGGTCCCAATCCGCTTTCTGTCAAAAAGAAACGAACGGACGCGGAAGCAGCAGGTTCGAAAAAGGCAAAGAAGAAGAAGACGAAGAAGAAGACTGATGAATTGGAGGAAGGCGGCGAGCAGGGGGATACCGGAACTTCTGTTTCGGTGGGGGAGGCAGCAACGCAAAAACCAAACAAGATGAGGGAGGATGGACCGGGTAGTCCATCAGTAGTCGAGGTTGAACCTCCGCAGGTAGCTCAAGAGGCGCTCTCCACGTTGACGAAAAAGAGGCCACGCCCTTTAGAGGACAACGATGAAGCACTTGAGGGAGAGAAGACAGTAGATGGGGAACCGGCTGGAGAGAAAAAGAAAAAGAAGCGAAAACGGCGAAAGAAGACAAAATCCGAAGATTCTTAGGGGCTGATCTGCAGAGATAGTTTTGGCTTAATGTTATTTTATTCTTTTTATCATTATTCTTTTGCTGTATACAATATGTGAATAGGTGCATTGTGTCCAATAAATTGTCTCAATTTGGCGAGCATTGATTGACAAAGGATATGAAATTTGTAACGCTCACCCGCAGACACAACCATTTCAATGCAGTATCCTACCTCCCATTACTTACTCGAGCTGAGTATACATATTGGGCGTTTGAAACTTTGGCCTGTGCTGTTACACGTAGAGGGAGCTGCCTGGTGGGCCGACTCTTGAGCCGCTGCATCTCTTGCTGAATTTCACGAATTGTTGGATCTAGCACCGCGCGGTTGGGTAGCTGGGGTGGTATGAAAATGGGAGGAGGGCGCCGAGCTTCCGGTGCGTGCCTCATGTTCAAGTACGATCCCGGCCGCGCACTAGGTCCTGGGTACGACATGATATTGGGTTGAGGGACGGTATATGGGTAAGGCTGAATGTTGGGGGTGGCCAGGCGTGCTCCAGATGACCAAGTCGAATGTTGGAGGTGGCCGGGGTTCACCGGCGGGGTCCAATTCGTCGCATCTACTTGTGCCCAACGAGGAACTGGTGGGATCCATCCTAGACCCACCGCCCGGTAAGGCCCAGGTGGTGTTTGGGGTGCCCTTAGGTGCATGTTTGGGTTGATGTGTGGCGCGGATATGTTGACATTTGGGTTGATGATCATACCAGTATTCATGTTCAACATGGGGCGACGCGGATAGTCTTGTACAGGTCTACTATAGTTCATAGTGCCCGTTGCTCTCATATCCATGATATTGGTCGGTTGGCTGGGAATATGTTGACTCGGAATGTTACCGTCCGGATCGGTTAAAATTGAAGAACTCTGGCTCATTCCGGAATAGAATCCTGGATCATCCCCAAGGTCTGGAAGGTCATTCAGATAGTCACCATGCATTTCTTGCCAAGATGATGCGGAAAACGAGGGGTTTCGGTGAAATCTGGGCGATTCGGCCGGTGTTGGAACATCTTTGAAAACTAGATCGTGCTCCTTGACCAGACCTTGAGGGTTCATGTTCCTTGGTTCAAATCCTGGTGGAGGTGCAACCCTTTCATTCCAGCGCTGGTTGTAGGGTTCGCTCAAGTCCTCGATATTCCTAACCATCGACTCGGCCGCAGGTGCCATCATTTCAAGCCCTCTTGGCTGTTCAGATGTTACTAGATCGTGCTGCTTGACTGTCACTTGAGGGTTCATATTCCTTGGTTCAAACCCTGGTGGAGGCGCAACCCTTTCATTCCCAAGCTGGTTGTAGGGTACGCTCAAGTCCTCGTTATTCCTAACCATCGACTCGGCCGCAGGTGCCATCATTTCAAGCGCTCTTGGTTGTTCAGATGTTGGAGGAGGAAGAGATTCTGCTTTCTCTTTTCGTTGAATATCGATGGCCGTCAATATAGGGTTTCCTGTGGGTATATCCACAATTTGGTGCACTTTAGCTTCTATAACTTGATCAGATAGCGTACGAGAGGAAGCACCTTGAAGAAGTGTTTGTGAGGGGGTGCGGTATTCGTCAAAGGTGTAGCCCGAGATCGTGGTGGGCGAATGGTCTTCCGCTTGGGAGATCAATGGACAGGTGTCTACTCCGATTTCCGTGCTTGTGACTTGTGGCTTTTCCGGTATGGAGAATGACGCCGGACGTTGCGTCGATGAAGACGGGACGGGTGCATCCGAGCTGCTGCCATTTCGCACTGGCGAGTCTCGCTTAAAGTCGCTTTTATCGCCCTTGTCCTTGGAATGGTGAGCAAAATGGTAGTTCGATGGCCCTGGTTTGCTCAATCCAAGATGGTCGCCAGAGGGTTGGCCATCAATATCAGTAGTACC